TAACAAAACTTTAGATTAAGTTTTAGAAAATTATTTAAAATGCTTAGGTGTGCAATTTTGAAGTATGGATTTATCATTTTGATTCTTTAAATGTAAATTACTTATACCTAGAATACAAATTAACCATACCTAGGGTTAATTTACATTTAAATAGACTGTGTAGTTTATATCAAATTTCTTGAGTATTTTAAAGTAAATTACCATATGGAAAACAGAACATGATTGAGACAAAACTCCTTAGGATGGCCTCCTACTCCATGAAGCTAAATTCAGCTCCATCTCTACATCACTCCCCCAACATCCACAACAGATACATACATACCAAGCTTCTCCCAGCTTTTAGGGTTCAGTAGCCATGAGCATCTGCCTAGCAAGCACAAGACTCTGAGTTCAAACCCCAGTATGGAAAAAAAAAAAAAAAGAATTGACAGCCATGGTCACATTTCAGGCCTTTTCACACACTATCCCTACTCCATCTAACCAACCTCTTCCTTCTTCTAAGATCTATCTTAGAAGTATTTGGGAATCCTTTCCTTCTCAACCCTGTGGAGTTAGTCACTTCCTCTTTTGCATTCTGGGAACATTTTGTGTCTTTGGACATTCTGGGTACATAGTATTTGTTGAGTAAAGAAAAGCAGAGGTTTTAGAACATTTCATGGTTACCTCTTTTTCACCTAGGGAAAGCAGAGACCTTCCTAGTGAGTTCTCACCAAATGCATTTCTTAAAGGCAATTAAATCCATTGCTTGACCACTATTCTTTCAAGGTAAATGATTCTCACATTTTCTGAAGTCATAAAACCCAAATATTCTTCATGGTATTTCAGAACCCTTTTAAATTAGATTCTGAAAGTTTTTCATGGAACTCTGCCTTAAATGTGAGTTGAAAAAAAATGTATATATATATATAAAATTATCATACCGTGTCCCATAAATACGTACAATTATTATGTGTCCATTATAAAGAAAAATGTGAGCTGAATTCAAAGTATAGGTATAGAAAAGTAATGGACAATCTCACTTTAGCACTTACTGTAACTATCACCTAGTGCTGAGACTATGTTCTGGGCAAGCCTTACTATATAACGTTCTCTGCACTAATCAGCTTCCGAAAAAAGACCTGGGAAATCCTTCCAGACAGTTTTAATATAGCATTTAAAGAGTGAGACCCAAAATGCATCATAAGAGAAAAATGTTCTACTTTTTCTCTTCAGATAAACTAGTATTAAATTTAAGGTCATGGTAGTCCATGACCTTCTTTTGGAAGAGTGATAATCAATTATATTGTGGTTAGCTTACATTGACAATACAGCAGCCCTGCTTACAAAGTTGCTATGAACAATTATACAATGCATGTGAAAATATTTGTAAGTGCTTACTTCCTCTATAATTGCAAGGTCTACTATGACCATTCAATCAGAACTAGTGGTAGCAGTAGTCAGGTACTGCAAGAAGCAGTATCATTACTGCTGCTATGTGTGGCTTTCTGTAACTGTAACAAATACTTCAGATAAATCTAATAAGAAAAAAAGATTGATTTTGGTTTATGATTTTGGAGGGTTCTGTCCATAGTCGGTTGGCCCTGTTGCTCCTGTAGCTGTGGTGAGGAGTGGGGAGTGCATAGTGGAGCAAGCTTTTTTCTGGCAATCAAGACGAGAGAGACAGAAAGAAAGAATGCATGTTTGTCAGATTTCTTGAATCTGTATCAGTCTACTTAAGAATCTAAGTGAAAGGGTGTATTTGTTTAAAAGAAGGTATTATTAATCAAATCTTACTAAAATGTTAAAATTAAGTATTGCTCATTTTTGTCTTATGTCAAATATTATTAATAATTATAGAAGTATTAAAGCCATCTGATGCAGTAAGAAAAAAGAAGCCTATATGAGACATAGCAATTTAACACAGTTTTTTCATCTAAAATGGTATTATTTGAATTTTTAGGTTGACTGTTAAAAGGAAATTTCTGAAAGCTCACTGCATCTCAAAGTTTTTTCATTATAAAAATTTTGTGGAGGCTGATAGAGTGGCTCAAACAGTAGAGCACCTGCCTAGCAAGCCTGAGGCTGAGTTCATACCCCAGTACCAGCAAAAAAATATTTTTTGTGGAGCCTCTGAAAATATTTCTAGCCACACACATGCATGAATTTATATATGTGTGTCCATATATATATAGGTATATAATGTAGCATTTAAGCCAGGTTCAAAAGGTGTCTACAATCTTCTATAAGGCCTAAAGCATAATAGTATATTTTTGGGGACCAGGGGATGAGGGAGAAGGATGGAGGGGATGAATTTAACCAAAGTACATTGTAAGCATATATGGAAATGTCACAATGAACCACCCTATACAACTAATATATGCTAATAAAATGTAAAAAATGAAAGAACATTCTTCCCAGATCATTTTCCAATAAACAATATATCTTTCGAACAAGCTCTTAGTGGTATAAAGATGTATTATTTGCTTTTGAAAAAGAATTACATATATGTCCATTTCTACCACCAAAGTTTAAAGCAGTATCAAGTCTACATACAGTATCTAGCATCTTTCATTTAAATAGTTCAAAATTTTTAATGCAAAATTGTATGGGGGACTTGTAACAATGGCAGAGGGAGAAGTCAGCAAATCCTCTTTCCAAAACAACTATAGAACTGGGCAAAACTGTCTGAGATCACTACTTTACTATCCTGGATATTAACTAAAGGCAAACAACAAATTAATAAGTGTTTATTCATGAAAAAGTTGCTAATCTTAAGGTAAGATAAAAGGGTTTGTATCATTCTTGTCTGGAAAGATCATAGTAAAAAAAAGGAAAAGATTTTATTTCTTTGAAAACCCAACAAAATTGTTAAAACTTTTAACTAGACTAGCCAAGAAAAAAAGAAGGCATAAATGACTAAAATCAAGAGTGAAAGTTATCCCTACCCACCTGAAAGAAATGAAAAGGTAAGAGAAAATATGAACTTTATATCAAGGCTGAGGCAGGAGGATCAGGAGTTCAAGGCCAGCCTGGGTTATATGACCCTGTGTCAAAAACAAAACATACTCAAAATAAACAATATCAATCTTATACAAAAATATGGAAACTGTGTCAGCAGTTAAGGAAATGTTTTCATTTATGAAATAAATCTAACAATAAAGCTCCAAAATACTTTTATCATCAGACCGTCTTCAGTGTGGCTAATATTTTACCAAAAACTTCATTACTTACATGTTGAAGCTGTGGGGTTGGCAAGGTTAAACCAATGCAGGTTTTTTGTTTTGCTTTGTGTGAGACAGGGACTCATGATGTGACCTAGGTTGGCCTGGAACTTGAATTTGCCGTGCCTGGCTTCAATACAGAATTCTTAACTGGGCACGGGAAGTCTGAATAACAAGATTTTTGCATGACTTTATACAATCAGGCATTTCTGCAAAGATATGGATACCCTTTTCTCCTTACAGTCACCTGTTACTCTAGCACATCATGCACGAAGGAGGTACTGAATATGTCACTGGGAACTCCAGCTGAAGAATACTTATAACAAGACTGCAAAAAGAGATGGGAACCCAGTTTTGAGAGTTAGATGGATACTGTTATGTAAAGCATAAGGTACCCTCACATTTTATAGGGAGGGCAAATGACTTATGTGAAATAAAAACATAGCCCCAGACAAGATCTTCCTTTATATGTTTATTTTCAATCATTCCTATAAAAAAAAAATCAGCTCTCCCTTAAATTTCCTTGTCAATATCCTTTCTCTTTCACAATGAACTGAGATTATAACAAAAGTAGTGGCTTTATCAGATTCACTTTGTATTCACTGAAGTGTGTTGTTTACTATACATGGAGGCATTACTAAAATGAGTAAGAAATAGCCATTCCCATCAAGAATTTCAGCTTAGGCTAGGTGTGGTGGTGCACATCTGTAATCCTAGCACAGGGAGGCTGAAGCAGGAGGATCATGAGTTCTAGGCCAGCGTGAGCTACATAAAGAGTTCAAAGACAGCCTGGGCTGCATAATCTGTCCTCGTCTCAAAAAAAAAAAATTCCATTTAGGAGAAAGGACAATTACAAATATAAAAGTAGATCAAGTATCAGAAGGCACAAAGTTCAAAGGAAGTGCAAAAATGGAATGTGTTCACACCCGTTGCAGTGACTAAGAAAGGCTTAAGGGAAAAAGAAGTAGAGATAAGGCTTGAGGCACTAAGTGTGCGTGTAGGGGGTGGGATCTGAATTCAAAGCCTTGTGCTTGCCAGGCAAATGATTTTCCATTTTAACCACACCCCCCACCCCCACCTAACTAGAATTTTGACAGCACATCTCAAGAAGGGAAGAAGACATGTGTCCTGACTGACTGATGCATGGAGGTCGGTGTTTAGGAATTTTTTCTACCATGATACAGTTTCCAAACAGTATTTCCCATGGCAGTCCACTGTGCCTATTTTCATGGACACACTTGAAGGCATAAAATAATCTGCCTGCCAGGTACTATTCCCAGTAATCCCAAATCTATTCTGTACCATCCAAAAACATGTATCAGAATGCAAATGAGTTCAAGACCAGCCTGGGCAAAATAGCTAGAGCCAGCCTCAAAAAGCAACAAAAAAAGCAGTCCGGTGCCGGTGGCTCACGCCTGTTATCGTGGTGGAGATGAGGATCACGGGTTCTAAGCCAGCCCGGGGCAAATAGTTCCCGAGACCTTATCTCGAAAAAAACCATCACAAAAGAGGGCTGGTGGAATAGCTCAAACAGAGCGCCTGCCTGAGTTCAAACCCCAGTACCGCCAAAACAAAACAAACCGAAAAAACAGCCACGAAGCTACATCCTGGAGATGCTGTGCCTAAATTGCGTTAAGTCCACAGGTCTTTGCACTGCTTTATCTGATCTTTCCCCCGGGTCTCTGATGATATACCCCCGAAGTGGTTCTCAAGGTGTGATCCCTGCACCTGGGCATCTCAGAGACTGTGTTAGAAAGGCGCATTCTTGGGTCCCGCACACGATTACAAAACTGCGGGTAGGCTCCGCAATCCGGGGCTTCCCCTCTAAGCCCTCCGCCTCGGTACTACTCACTCAAAAAGGGCGGTGCACGACCTCGCCCAGCCAGCAGCGCGCCCCGCCAGGGCGGAGGCGAGGAGAGGTTCCCTACCCAAGCCAAGCCCCACTCCTTTGCCGCCCCGCGCCCCAAGGCGGAAGCCCACGGCTGGGATCTGGGAGGGGCGCCGAATGGCGCAAGGGGGAAATCTCGCGATAGCAGAGCGACCGAAGCGGGGGTGGCACTTCATCCCTCCTCCTCCTCTTCGCGTTAGTTCCGGTCGCAGAGGAGACACCGCCGCAGTTGCCGCCACCTCGGGGATTTCTGGCTCTTTTCTCTTCGCCTTAAATTCGGTGAGGCGCGGCGCGCTGTTGGGCCCGGGCCGAGGTTGCGGCGCGTTGTCGCCGGGCAGAGGTTAAAGGAGGCCGCCGGACCGGTGCGGCGCGGCCGCGATGGTGCCAAGCAGAGACTGCCGCATGAGGCCAGGCGGATTCGGGGCCTGGATTCGGCCGGGAGGCCGGCAGCCCGAGGGTCTGGTCGGAAGTGGGGCCTGCGTGCGTGCCGCGGCGCCGCGGTCAAGGCGGATCCCTTGTGCGCCCTGCCCGGCCTGGGTAACAAAGCCGCCGCGGCCTCTGTTGGGTGATGTGCGCGTGGGGGGCTCTGGCGGGCGGGGCGGAGGAGCCGCCACCACCACTGCGGCCGCCTCCCCCGCCGCTGCTGTCGCTGGAGGGCGGGCGGATGTACGGGGCGGCGGGGGCCCCGGCGCGGAGCGCCTCGGCGCCTGTGGTCCGCTCGTTGCGGCGGCAGCCACCACAGGCGGCTGGGTCAGTGGAGAAGAGCTGGTGGCACCCCACGTCGCCCCGCTGTGGTCTTGGGGAGGGGGATCCCGGACTGAGGGCGGCTTAGCTGCTGCTCGTGCGGGAAGGCACGGGAAAGGGTGTGGATGGGAAGACACGTGCCCGGGGAGGAGGCCTGGACCGAAGCGTTTGAGGCCAGGGAGCCCGGGGTTTGCAGGATGGAACGGTGCGAGCGGCCCTTGCGGTTACAGGCACGACTTGGGGATAGGGTGTGCTACTCAGCGACTCCCCTTTTCCCAGTGTTTTAAGGTTGACATGCACGTTCCGGTATCTTCTGACCATGAGGGTGATCTCGGCGTTCTGTGGTGCTTAGAAGTAGGGGAGGATGTAGGCGAATTTAGAGTAATGTAGAAGAGACCAATTAGGTTTGTGATGGGTGATTTGCCACCAGTCACTGTGACAACTGTAAAGTGATCCAAAAATGTAGTTCCCAGCGCTTCCTTAAAGAGTTTCTTGTAGAGAGAAATTTGCCTGCAGCAGGTATATTGCCAAGCTGAAAATGTGCTTCATTTGATTTACATGTGACTAGATTATAACTTGATACTTTGTTTTAAAAGTGAATGTTATGGCACATACACTTTTAAGGCCATATTTCTCTTTTCCTAGGGTGTCTTTTATGAATAATCAAAAGCAGCAAAAGCCAACGCTATCAGGCCAGCGTTTTAAAACCAGAAAAAGAGGTAAATACTTGTTTTACTATATTTTAAGACTCCAGATCTCTTTTGTGTCCTGCTTCCTTTGAGAGTCATGTGCATAGTACTGAAACCTCAAGAAAAACTACCAGAAACTTGAATTTCTAGCTGTCATTTCAAATACACCCTTAATATTTCTACTGCTTTCTCAAACTTTCAGTTTTTAGAATATATCTTTTTAGTGTGAAGATACAATAGCTTTTTCCCCCAGGCAAATAGTTGGGGAGATCCTATCTGGAAAATATGAAACACAAGTGTATCTCTCCCCCACCACTCCCAAAAAAGGACTGTTTTCTCTAGCTAGCACTTAATTTAAGCAAAATTTGCTTGAGCAGAGGTAAACTTACTTTAAAAAGTGAATTCCTAATGTGGGTCTTAATTTTCACCCAGATTTTGTGAAGATATGTGAGAAAGGGCTGGGGATGTAGGTCAGTGGTAGAGCACTTGCCTAGCATGCTTGAAGTCTTGGAAAAATGATCGTTCGGATTTTATCCCTGGAAGTTAATTATGGAATAGGATTGTTTAAGAGTCCTTTGAAGTTACATATTTGTCACAGGTTTACTAAGGAAAGTAGGAGAATGATTAAGTGAATATAAAATTCAGCAAGGCATTGTGTTGGTAGTACAGAGAAAAACAATAATAAACTTAGTGTTTCCCTAAAACATTTTAAAATGTTTAAATGTTATTGCTTAAAAGCACATATTAACTTTATAAGAAGTTTTGATGAAATAGAGAACTGGATTAGCTACTGGATTAACTAAATTGCTTTGGTTTTTCTACTTTTACAGACACTTCAGGGATATATATTGCAGATTCTTTTATAATCTCTAACTATAGTCTGTCTCCTTATACAACTGCTAAGACCAAAGTGTGATTTGATTATAGGCTTTGCAGATTTAACTAGTAAATTTTCCAAAGGAACAAGAGTTATAAACTAAAGCAGTTTGGTAGTAATGAAGGACAGTCTGTATCCTTTGTGGATTACTGGTGTCTCCTATATAAATGATAGCAAGTAACTATTTTTATTGTTAGCATCTGGGAGAGGTGTCACTTCCCTAATTCCACATAGTGATCATTCATACCCTTCTGGCTGTTAATGATTAGGGCCATGAATAGGTCGACAAACCATCTGTATTTGCCTAGAACTAAGGGAATTTCTGAGACAGAACTTTGAGTGCTAAAACTGGAAAATCCTAGGAAACAGAAGAATTTTTCACCCTAGTGTTGGGTGAAAATTAAAACATCATCTACTCTAGATGAGCACATCAAAACCCTATCAAAGGGTTTTGGATGTAGTTCAGTGGTAGAGCACTAGTCTAATTGTGAGTCCCTGAATTTGATACCCCCACCACAAAAAGAAACCTGTCATAGAGTGTATGAAAGCAACAAAGTAAGGCTGGGTAACTCAGTAAAGCTAGTTGTGTGTACAAGGTACTAAGTGCTATCCACTTTATCTGTTAACAATTTTGTAAGGTATTCTTTTTTTTTTTTTTTTTTCTTTTATTATTCATATGTGCATACAAGGCTTGGTTCATTTCTACCCCCTGCCCCCACCCCCTCCCTTACCACCCACTCCACCCCCTCCCGCTCCCCCCCCCAATACCCAGCAGAAACTATTTTGCCCTTATCTCTAATTTTGTTGTAGAGAGAGTATAAGCAATAAGTAAGGTATTCTTTATCCCATTTTACTTTAGGGAAACTTAATAAAGAAGGTAGTGGCTCAAATTTAGGGTTTTAAATGGTGATCAGGATATGCAGTCAGACTGTTTAACTCCAGAGCCTATGCTCTGAACTACTAGCCAGTACACTTTCTGTCTCTCTCTCTCTCTTTTTGGGAAGGCATACCAGGATTTGAACTCAGGACCTCAGTCTTGCTAGGCACACACTTTACCACTTGAGCCACTCTGACAGCCCAAGTATAGCCTCTTCATTACCTACTTCTCTAACTTGATTTCCCTTCTGAATAATGAAAACAAAAAGATCTGTCTCATTGCGGTTGTTGACCTGGATTAAAGCAAAACAGCTAGTACAGTTTTTATCTTATTGGGTGGTCAGTAAATATGCTGTCCAAAGTTTACCTTAATAAATACCAAATGAGTGGTTAAATTAAAAAATAAAATGTTATGAGCCTTTAAGGAAAAGAACTAAGAGCTTGCGTGTGTGGTTAAATTTTCAGAGGAATAAAATTTACCTAAGGTATAAAGGATGGTGTAAATTTTGAAAAAGCCAAGAGTCTTTAGGAGAGCATTCCAGGTAGAAATTGTCTTACGGCCATGGGAACGGGAAACAGCACAGTTAGCTGGCTTACAAGATTTGTCTGAGAAAGTAGCAGAATAGCCACACTGTTCTTATGACTACTTGGTTTTGCAGAGGGAATGCTTGCAGGGGATGTGTATTTAGTCTCTTCTCTATCCTGTCCTTTTTGGTTGTTGCAAGTCTTGCGTACTGTACCTTATGGAACTAGTTGCAGCTTCATAAAGTGATGACTCAGCATTTTGGTAAGCCTCTTAAAACTTGTGTTCTGGATTTTTCCTCCCAGATGAAAAGGAGAGGTTTGACCCTACTCAGTTTCAAGACTGTATTATTCAAGGCTTAACTGAAACTGGTACTGATTTGGAAGCAGTAGCTAAGTTTCTTGATGCTTCTGGAGCAAAACTTGACTACCGCCGCTATGCAGAAACACTCTTTGACATTCTGGTGGCTGGTGGAATGCTGGGTAAGTGTCTTGGTTTGTTCGCCTAATCATTTTGGAAAGTATAGTATATGAAAATTATGGACGATGTAAACTTTTGACAGATCTATCAAAATGTAATTTTTGGTGGTTTTATTTCTACTCCCCTAGGTTTCTCCCAAGACATAATAAATTATCAAATTGTCCTGTTCTATCAAGTCTCATGTTTGAAGTCTATACAGAACTGTGACCCTTGGGGATGACTTTTCTCATGACTAAGTTTCTATAACATCCTTAATTAAGGATTTTTCCAGCTTGTGTTTGGACACTCCCAATTAATGGAGAAACTTTTACCTCTTTTGTCCTATGAAATACGTATATGTGCCTGAAAGCTCTCCTCCTAACATTGCTAAAATAGCTACTGGCCACATGTGGCTATCATGTACTTGAAATGTAGCCAGTCTAAATTGAGATGTGCTCCTTAATAGAAAAAAGAATGTAAAACATATTTCAGAATATTTTTGGAGTAATACTGTATTGACCTCATAGTCAAGCTATGAGAGAATTAGAACTTTTGTATACTTGTAGAATGGGAGTTCAGAAAGGCTTACATGACATGTGGCAAGTTACTCAGTTGTAGAGCCTACAATTTAAATTTCGTATCTTCTAATGCATTGTCAAATGAGTATTTATATTACAAATTTGTAGTAAGAAATGTGAAAGATTGCTATTTCTATTTGTAAGGGTTATTAGCTAGGCTTTCAAAGATGTATTTACTAAGGATTTGTTTTTTGTGTGTGTTTGTGTGGTACCTTGCTAGGCAAGCACTCTATTACTTTGAGCTATATCCCTAGCCCTTCTGTTTTGTTTTGTGGGTTTTTTTGGTGGTACTGGGGTTTGAACCAATGACCTCACATTTGCTGGGCAAATGCTTTACCATTTGAACCACACTCTAACCTTTTATTGGCTTTACTGGAGCTTGAACTCAGGGCCTTATGCTTGCTAGGCCTCTACCACTTGAGCCATGCCTCCAGCACTTTTGTTTTTGAGAAACTGGTCTCACTAACTTTGCCTACAGTGGCATTAAACTACTCATCATCTAGTCTCAACCTATTCAGGCATTCTAAAGACAATAGTAAAATGAACATCTGATCTGTTACTCAACTTCAGCAATTACTGACACATTCTTTGTTTATACCCTCATAGATTTCATTCCCCCTCTTTATTTTATTTTTTAACTCATCTCTTTTCTGCAGTTCTGGGATTTGAACTCAGCCTTATGTTTTCTAGTGCTCTGTTACTTGAGCCATGCCTCCAAATTGTCCATTTTTAAAGCGTAAATGGGTTCTTAAGCTGGATGTGGTGGCATACATCCTGTAATCCCAGCACTCAGGAGAGTGAGGCAGAAGAATCAAGGGTTCCAGGATGTTCTGGAGTACAAGGTGAGACTTTGTCTCAAAAAAAAAAAGAAAGAAAACAATAAAAGGGGAGGGAAGTTCTATCACAACTTCTTTGAAGTTATATATAATCAAAACACACTTCTGGCCAGGCACTGGTGGCTTGTGCTTGTAATCCTAGTTACTTGAGAGGCTGAGATACAGAGTATCAAGGTTTGAGCCAGTCCTGGACAAATACCTGGAGGCCCCCCCATTTCCAAAAGAGAAAAAACAGCAAAATGTACTGGAAGTATGGCTCAAACAGCAGAGTGTCTGCAAGTGTAAAGCCTTGGGTTCAGATCCCAGCCCCACCAAAAAAAACACCTTTGAAACCTCTCCACTTGATGGACTTGGCATTAATGAATGGTTAATTCACTGAGTTTATTTGGGGTGCTTAGGTGGGCTGTTTGATTCCTGTTTTTTCCCCTTTATCCATACATACTGAACCAACCAGCTATTTGGCTTTTAATTCATCCTTTAAAAATATTACCATTTAAAAAAAATCCTTATTAGAAAGTAAAATCACCAATTTTAAATGAAGGTCACTGCAACTCTTTATGAAATAACCTTAGCTCCAGGTGGTACACTGGCAGATGACATGATGCGTACAGATGTCTGCGTGTTTGCAGCACAAGAAGACTTAGAGACCATGCAAGCATTTGCTCAGGTAAGTGAAACTTAATTATTTTCAGTTGGCCGCCATCTGATTCATGTCTGAGGAATGTTCTGCTTTTTAAAAGTTGCATGTAGAAGGAATTTGATTTTAAGTTTTAGGAATACAGTTCTTGGTACAGTATGATGGATTGGAAACTTCAGATGTGTTGAAAATAAAATAGAAAAAATTAAATTAGTTCTCCTTTCTCATTTGTCTCTCTGGAATTAGTCTTTAAGAAAGATACTACCCCAGCCATGGTAGTACATATCTATAATCCTAGCACTCAGGAGGTTAGGGCAGGAGGATCATGAGTTCAAGGTCAATTTAGGCTACAAAGTAAGACCTGTCTCCAAAAAAAAAAAACACTTAAGATATTAAGCCAAAAAGAAAAATCGGGGTGAGGGGGAGAGGGCGGGGTGGGGGGAGAAATGGCCCAAACAGTGTATGCAGATATGAATAAATGAGTAAGGAAAAAAAAGAAAAATCAGTTTCCTATTGTGATTTCCACAGTTAAGCCATTCTTCATATAACAACTTTAAAAGAATAATGAATTACAAGCCAGGTTAGCTTACTAATCAGGATCTCATTTCATAACACAGTTACTGACCTAGAATTTGCTATTTCATTAGGAAATGCAGAGCTCTTATTTTATGATTTTACTCTTTTCATGTCTTGCACATGGCAGATGACTTGTATTTGAGCAATAATTGGTCCTTGTTTAATATATAACATTAAAAAACTATTGGAAAGTGGCTATTAATGTGTTAGTAGTATTGGTATTTAGTAAAATTGAGGAGTTCAACTCTGAACTAACAACATATTGTAGACTCTTATATCCAGTGGAAGGTTCCCTTTGTTGATCTAGAAATGACTTTGATGTTCACTTCATAGGTTTTTAACAAGTTAATCAGGCGCTACAAATACTTGGAGAAAGGTTTTGAAGATGAAGTAAAAAAGGTAGGAGGAACTTGGATATAGCTCACTGGTATTGAATGTGGTTTGCATGTATGATGCTCTGGGTTCAATCTCCAGCATCAAATAAGCAAAAGGATGGGGCCAGAAAGAGAAGGGTAAATCCTAATTCTGCCATAGATTTGATACAATTTTAGATACTTCAGTAGGCTGTCAATGAAATGCAATTTTGGGGTATATCATTGAGCTTGCTAAAGTATTTCTAATCTGTTGTGTACTGTTTCTTAGCTCTGTGTCCAAACAAATGGCAGAGTTAAAAATCTTAAGTGGAGTTTGTTTAGAAAATGGAGGGTAAATCTATTGGGGAATAAGAAATTTAGCTAACTTGATATTTGAGTTTTAGTGTTAGACAGGTCATTAATACATGTACAGAAAACCTGTTAATATTTATGGAGTGTTAGCACTGTTCTAATTATGTTAACTTGTTTAATATTTATAAAAACCCCGTGAGGCAAATTTTATTGACCACATTTTATATATGAGAAAACTGAGGTACAGAGGTAACTTGCAGGATATCATCATTCAGCTAACGAGTATTATAACTGAGATATAAACTTGGATGGTTAAGCTCCAGAGCCTACCCTTTTAACCAGTATAGTGTTTTACTGCATCTCTTAATGTAATGCAATTGCTTTTTTTGATCCTTTTTTTCTTTTATAGCTGTTGCTGTTCTTAAAGGGTTTCTCAGAGTCAGAGAGGAACAAGCTGGCTATGTTGACTGGTGTTCTTCTGGCTAATGGAACACTTAATGCATCCATTCTTAATAGCCTTTATAATGAGAATTTGGTTAAAGAAGGTAATTAGCTTCTAATAAAGGGTAATCTTTGGTTGGCTGAGGGTGGGGTAGATAACTGCATGAAAGATGAATGTATATAAAAGTTAGGATGTGGTTTACTGTTCATCAATGGGACTTTTTAATAAGTGCATTCTATTTCATAAACATCTAATGCATGCTGCTGGCATCCAAGTTTGGCTTTCTTTAGTGTACAGTAAATGTCTAGGGTTTAGACAAAATGTAATAATTAAGTAAAAAAGAAGTGCTGTGGGAACCCAGAAAGAGTTTCATGCCAATTGGGAAACTTGGGAGCATCTTTAGTTGTGAAGATATTTGGAAAGATAATTATTTCATTGTTGTGGCTTCAGCTTTCTGGAAATTTTTTTAAAAGCTGGGTTTTTTTTTTTTGTTTTTTTTTGGTTGGTTGGTTGGTTTTTTCCTTCATACTTACAGTACTGAACATTTAAGTTGCCTTCTCAGAATAGCCCTGTTGAGTGTAAGAATGATTATTCTCAGTTTACACATTAGAAAACACTTTTAAGTTACTTTGCCAAGAATGTACAACTAGCAAATGATAGCACAGGGGACTTGGAATGAGATGGTAAACAGTGGCAGAGGAAAGTTGAGGGATCAGTTTGGGAGAAAGTTAGTGATTCTGAATGGTTGAGCTATGGAGGCTAAATATGGCAGGATATCATCATTGAAATCAGGAAGGTATGTTAAGTAAGCTCTTTTTTTGTTTGTTTTTTTCTCTCAGGGGTTTCAGCAGCTTTTGCTGTAAAGCTCTTTAAATCATGGATAAATGAAAAAGACATCAATGCAGTAGCTGCAAGTCTTCGGAAAGTCAGCATGGATAACAGACTGATGGTTTGTAACTTTTTTCTTCTCATTCCTGCCAACCTTTAAGGCGAGTGTAATGAGAAAAATTTCTCATTTTTAAATCTGAAGAGAAAGTGTTTTTCTTAATTTGAGTTAAAGACCATTTAACAGATTGAATTCTCCTTTCAGGAACTTTTTCCTGCCAATAAGCAAAGCGTTGAACATTTCACGAAATACTTTACTGAGGCAGGCTTGAAAGAACTTTCAGAGTATGTTCGGAATCAGCAGACCATAGGAGCTCGTAAGGAGCTCCAGAAAGAACTTCAAGAACAGATGTCACGTGGTGATCCATTTAAGGATGTAAGCTGGTTTTATTTTGTTTTTGTTTTTTTGTTGTTGTTGGGTTTTTTTGGTGGTACTGGGGTTTGAACTCAGGTCTTCATGCTTTCTAAGCAGGCTCTCTATCTACCACTTGAGCCACACCTCCAGCCCCTAAGCTGTTTTTGTTTAAACCATCTTTTTATGGCAAAGTTTCTGGCATAGAAATTTTCATGCTTTTAAGAAACCTCAAACTATTTCACCAGAATGAGTCTGAATTAATAGTTTAGAATGGGGCTGGGGGTGTGTAGCTCAGTGGTAGAGTACTTGCCTAGCAGTCCAGCATTTGTGAGACCCTGTGCTTGATCCCCAGCACACAAAAAAAGTTCCCCACCCACCCAGGTAGTAGTTGTAGAATGTTGTACTTCCCCTAAGCCATTTTCATATGTTGAGTCAGCACTGACCGATGCCCAGAAATGATAATTCTTGGAGATTTCATAGTGTGCAGTCCAGTGAAGAGACCTGATTTCTATTTCCTTCTCAGTGACCTCCTAGCCAGTTTGTCTGTTGCAAAGGTTTTCTGTTTATATGTAGTACATATGTGGTTGTTGACAGTTTCATGGGAAGGTATTTTTATGCTTTTGTAAAAAGTGTAAATTTCACTTATGAAGTATGTGTATATAAAAAATGATTTCTGTTACTAAATTTGATTTATTTTGCAGATAATTTTATATGTCAAGGAGGAGATGAAAAAAAATAACATCCCAGAGCCTGTTGTTATTGGGATAGTGTGGTCGAGTGTGATGAGCACTGTGGAGTGGAACAAAAAAGAGGAGCTTGTAGCAGAGCAAGCCATTAAACACTTGAAGGTATTAGAACTTTGTTTTAACAAAACAAACTGTTAGCTTTTAAGTGAGGACACATGAAATTTCACTGTAGTTTTCACTAAGAGGACTTACCACATCCTGTGGTATCTGGGGATAACCCCCTAGTAAGTAGACAAACAACATTAGCTATTGGTGATAGCTGTTTTATACCTGACTTGGGCCTTGTTTGGTTCACAGATTAAAAACAAGAACTTGTTTAAAAGTAATTTAAGCCTGCAATTTGATGTTTGCTTCTGAGGGAGTATTGAAAAATAGGACCACTGTTTTTGTTTTCTGCTAAAGTATAACATTGATAGTTACCTGAAATACTTGTAGGTATTGCTTATTTCATTTAGATGCTTTGTAGATTTTTCTGCTTACCGTTTTTGTTTTTAATTTCCAATAAACATATTTCACGGTGATTGAACAAGTTGAGTTAGTTTTGTATTGTTAAAGTTTTGTAGTGGATGGTCATTGTAATGAATGACTAAATGTTTGCTTCCTTTTAAAAGCAATACAGCCCTCTACTTGCTGCCTTTACTACTCAAGGTCAGTCTGAGCTGACTCTGTTATTGAAGATTCAGGAGTATTGCTATGACAACATTCATTTCATGAAAGCCTTCCAGAAAATAGTGGTGCTTTTTTATAAAGGTAATGATAAATCTTAAATTTGTGAATGCTTTATTAGAAACCCTTGAGCACTCAAAATAATTCAAGTGAGCATCTGAACATTAGTTCCCTGAAATATTTTACTTTTAGTTTGAAGATGAGGCCATCACATTCTCCAGACGTACACTTTCTCTACTTTTCAGCCTGTGGGAAATCTCCCCTTCACTCAACACACCACTCAATGTTGACTGTCACTTGTGCTTCAAAACTGGTTCAGAATACTTCTGTAAAACACCCCATTTCAGTTATAACTTCCCTTTCTGTCATCCCATTTACTAATCTGGGAAGAGACTCCACTGCAGTTAGTTTTCTGTGATCAGTGGCAGAGCACTTTTTAAAACTGCATTAGACCAGCTTGGCCTTCATTTGGATGGCTGCTGTACACGTGTATTCTGTCCTTTAGTTTTCAGAGATTATTTTGTCAGTACCTATATTCTGAATAATAGGAATAGAAAATAGGATGCTAGGAATAGAAAAACCTCCAGAGTTTTTGTTGTTCTTTTACGAAAGTATGGGTTATAATCTCAGCACCCATGCTTCATTGACTATCAGCTTGTTGTTAAGGTTGTTTTGTTTTTGTAGCCTAAGTAGGGCTTCATACTTGTAAAGCCCTGAGTTCAAAATCCCAGTCCCACCAAAAAATAAAAACAGTTCCATTTTATACCTAAAACTTTCTCATTTAACGGAAAGTTCCCAAACTTGGCATTATAAACATTTTGGGTGGCCAAGCTGTTTGTAAGAGACTATCCTCTACATTGTAGAATGTATCAGCATTCGTGATGTCTATCCAGGAGATGCTAAGAGCATCTCTTCTCACTGTGACAACCAAAAATGTCTCCAGATTTTATGAAATACCTATTGGAGGGGCAAATTGCCTTCAGTCAAAAAAAATACTAGTTTAAGACTTTTTTCCCTAATGGCTCACACCTGTAATACAAGCTACTTGGGAGGCTGAGATCCTGAGAATTGTGGGTTGAAGCCAGGCAGGGCAAATAGTTTGCAAGACCCTCATCTCCAGAACAAAATGGACAGCAGTAGAGTAGCTGCTTTGCAAGTGAATATCTGTGATTTCAAACCCCAGTCCCACCAAAAGAAGGAGAGAAAAAAAAAAACCCTCCTAAACAAGGTTCTGTTTCTATTTTCTGTTGCTCTTGAAATCAATCATTATTGACATTTGAATACAGATTTGTAAAAAACAAAAATAATTCTTTTTATTTAACTTCCCAGGAGGATAGTATTTGCCAAGCAGGTATTTACACCTTAGGTGACTAACTCTGCCTGAAGCTGGGAAATATGTTAAAAATTCTTTTCTTTTTTTGTTGTTCTTTTGAGTGGTACTGGGGTTTGAACTCAGGGCCTCACACTTCTTAGGCGGGCACTCTTACCACTTGAGCCATTCCTCCAGCCCTTTTTTGTGTTGGGTATTTTCAGGATAAGATCTCTTAGAGCTATTTGCCCAAACTGGCTTTAGACTTTGATCTTCCTGATCTCTGCATCCAGAGTAGCCAGAATTACAGACGTGAGCTATCAGTGACTGCTTAAAACTCCAGTGATGTAATGATTTACCCTTTACAGCTGAAGTCCTGAGTGAAGAGCCCATTCTGAAGTGGTATAAAGATGCACATGTTGCAAAGGGGAAAAGTGTCTTCCTTGAGCAAATGAAAAAATTTGTAGAATGGCTCAAAAATGCTGAAGAAGGTAAGTCTTCCTCTGTGTGGTGTTTGGAAACTGGCTATAATATATGTCCATACAGCTTTGTTCTTTTATCCTGTCACCACTTTGTACCTAGAGGATAGAATTTTTGTTTACTTACGACAAACTTGCAAACAGTCGTTTGATTTAATGCAGGTGGTATTTTATGCAGCTATTTAATACCTCAGTCATTATGCTGAACTTTAAGGGGGGAAATTGAAATTTTTGAGATATATAAATGAATACATCCTCATCTAAGATTATTAATGAAATACCTCCTTGACTATAAAAAGTAATAATTTGCTCTCTAATACATAATGCTTGACTGCATTTTCCCCCTTTTTTAGAATCTGAGTCTGAAGCCGAAGAAGGTGACTGAATTTTGAAACCACATCCTCAGTAAAGCAAACAGGAGTTGTAGATAAAATGTCATGTCTCATGTGTCCTAATTCTTACATCTTCCTACCTCCCTATATCAAGCATGATATAAGGGCTTTCATGGCAAATTTTATTTTAACTGTTTCTATGGTTATTGGAAATGTTGGGTTTCGTTTCTAAAACCATGTTTTAAGTAGCTACAGGAGCTATAGATTTGAATCTAATGTTGCATTAGTTTTTTCAGTTACCTTCTACCTCCTGTATTTTCTACTGTAATAATGTAATTTAAGGCCTTCCACAATGAACAGTTCACTTTATTCCCTGGGTTTTCTATATAAATAGTTTTCAAGGTATGATTTGGTTAAAAATGATTTGTTATAAAAATTCTGTTTTGCAAATTAAACTGTAAAGTATCCAAAGTCTCAAAAGGCCATGATTTGTGTGATGGTTTGGTATGCCCAGAGCCCTGTTCATCAATGAAAATCTCCTCTACAATAATTGAATTCATTAGCATAAATTCTGAGTATTCGGACCATTGCTTACATGTTAACATTTTCTTATATTTTTAATCCCACTGTCCTTAAGTTTTAACCCCGAATGTCCTTAAGTTCAATTGTTTGCTCTCTGGTTTTTTATCCTTAGTGAAGGAAAGGACAAACTGAAGCTTGAGAAATCATATGTGCCAGAGGTACTGGGAAGAAGAAAGTTGAGCTTTTTCCCATTGAGAAACTTCTGCATTCAGTTGACTCTTACCATAGGCAAAACAAATGGGTATTCTTTTCATATAAGCATTTTCAAATACACCTGAGAAAAGTCTTATCAGTTAAAAAAATTTTTAATTAAAATATTTTATGCTTAGTATACACCTAGATTGCTATGAAAGGACTTTTAAAGGAGTATGACTAAAGGAAATGACTGATGTACTAACTTCAGTAAAAAGTCAAATGTGACTTACGTTTCCTAATGGCTTAGAGTATTTGTTGTAAAGAATGAAGTGCAATGTAACTATGTATTCCCACTTGGTTGTACTGGACTGCCTTCATTCTGTTAACATTCAGTAATGACTCAAACATCTGGCTACTAACTGAATTTCCACTTTTTAATTTCCATGAGCCAAATATTATAAATGATCAGTCCACTTATTGTAATGGCCTAAGAATTTGGTATTGAAAAGTTCATCTTGAGGGAAAAACATGTAAAATAATTTGAAATAAAGATATAGTTGACCTTAAGAGCATTATAACTGATAACATTGTGAGTGGGGTGAATTTGTTAAATGAATGATTTTGATGGTTTTCATGCACAGGCAAAATGTATTCATTAGATTTCTATGTAGTGATTTGCTTTTACTTTGTAATTTGTAGTCCTCAAAAGACTTTTTTTTTTTTAATAAAAGTTCATCCTTAAATTAGGTTTTATAGATCAGTCCTTTTTTTTTTTTTAATTCCATTTTAACACCTACTGGTACGCTGTATGTTATATGTGTTCATGTCTTTACTGTATAAGCATTAAATCCTCCTTTCATCTTTATAACTTCCAAACTATAAACACTATAGAATTATGATGTAGCTGAAAACTACATTGACATTTCTACAGCCAAATCATTGCATGTTACTGCCGTACAAAGTGTACCGTTTATTATATATGTGTATAGTGAGAGAGTGTGTAGTCTTCCAGAACTAATTATGATCTTTGATCATAGTTTTTTTCTTCATAATGACACAGTAGTACTTATTACAGTATTTTAGTAAAGGATGTCACCTATTAGTATAATGTAAAGAAAGGGAATGCTTTATAAAATGATTTTCATTTTGAATTTTAAATGGTAATTTTAGAACTCAGCTGCCAGTGCCACCCTTTGGCTTCAAATATGTAATCCATAATATAGATGTCACAACTGTACTTTTAATTATGATTGGGTAAATGTTAATTGATTTTCCTAACTTGGTGTCAGCTTCTAAGGATAGGTGTCTTGGATACTATAATGTGTTTAGAGCTAATCATAAATTTCTTAATCTTACTCTGGGAGTATTGTCCTAGAAATTTATTCTGTTCTTATAAAAACTCCAAATAGCAAAAATGCCACAAGATACTTTAACATAGCATAATGATGGCAGTGAGGGGAACTGCATGTGACCAAAAGATTAACATTGTTTCTTCAACTTTTTCCATTATCAGTACCCCCCAAAAAAGCCTTTTTTATTTTTCCCTAATAGCACCCCAATAAATTTTAATATAGATAAGCCATGTATGTACTGTGTCTATGCTTTATACATTTCATCTTGGAGGTGAAATTACCTTGAACATGTGTACTCTTACATATCCTATTAAAATGAGAGGGAGACCTAATGACAGACATGCCTTTATGCTTATCCATGGTGTGAAAGTTTTTTTGTTGTTTTGTTTTCCTATCAGAGTCCCTAGAAAATCAAGGAAATTCATTTTTTGTGAATTATCCTTCAACAGTGTACGTGTACCTTAGCCCACCATAGGCACCAGGCAAGGCATTTCCCAGTGGCTTTGGAGGGCTTAACAGATTCTTATTTGATTGTAAATGTATCATTAAGTAATCATTTGGGTTCCTTCACATCTGAAGAACTATTGAAAATCCTGTAGACGAATGACGAGTTGTATGCCTAGCCATGGGAAATAGTATTGAAGTTTTGCTGATGAACCCTGTGTACTCAAGTAGGGTGTTTTCAGGAACTGACATAACTATTGGTTGGCTGTACGTGAAGTACAGATTCCAGAGTTACAGTGTACATTATTAAACCATTCAGAATGTTTTGTAAAATTTTCCTCAGATGTATTTATAGGTGCCATGTAAAACAGGTTAATAAGCATTTCTGTGAGGGTCTGTTAAATTGCCTTGCTTGGATTTCTTCATGTTTAGTATTAATCCTTTAGTATCAATGTGAAGTATTCCTTTTCACCAGCCTCTATTGAGGCCTAAAGGTTTAAAATATTAGCATTACAGAGGTTTTCCATAGACTTGATTTAAGTAGAATCTGGAAGATCTGATAAGTGCTTTTTAACTTCAAAATAATTCAATTTATAATTGGCTTTTTTTCTAAGAATTTGAATTATAGTGGATTAATATCTGAACACAATCTTAGGTGTAATTGTTTGGAACTGGTTCAGAAAGGCTTCCTGAGGACTCCTTACTTTCCCCCACTTAAATATGGGCAGTTAGCAGTCTTATGAGAGCTAATCATTTTCAATTTCTGATGCACTCATAATCCTTTTACATTTATTTTAGGGTTATGGTCTCTGTTCTCAAGGAACTGAAAGCATGAGGATACTTTACAGATGTACTGAAATCACTGTCATTTTATAACCCTTAATTGGAGCCTTACAATAAAAGCTCAACTACTAGCCAGACACAGTAGCACATGCTTGTAATCCCAGCACTCAGAGGCTGAGACAGCCTGGGTTACATAGCCTGACCAACCCCCAAAAAACAACCAAAACAAGATGGGTGCAGTGCCTAGAGATGGGAGATTACCTGATAGACCGTCAGAGAGACTGATATGTTTGTGGTTGTGTAAAATGAATTCTTAGGTGCTACAAATTTATCAAATATAATTGAGCTGTTGTAGCTCAGGGAATTCCCATTAAGTAGGGGGATAGGGATGCAACTCAGTGGTAGACCACTTGCCTAGCAAGCATACGTCCCTGGGTTTGATTCCTAGCACTGTGAAAGTAATCTGTACAAAACAAAATAGGAACCAGTTCATACTGATTAATGCTAAGGACAAAAATAGTTTAAACCATTTTAAAAAGCTGAACTTGTAGCTGAACCAAGGCTCACACCTGAATCCTAACTACTTGGGAGGCTGAGACAATCTCGGTTCAAGGACAGCCTCAGCAAATAGTGCTCAAGCCCATAATCTCCAAAATAACCAGAGCAAAATGAACTGGGGGTGTGGCTAAAGCTGCGGAGTGCTTCCTTTGCAAGTACAAAGCCCTGAATTCAAATGCAGTCCCACCAAAAAGAAAAAAAAAATAGCCTGAACTTCTGAATGCTGTGTTTAAAAGTAACTTTTAGAGGTAAAGTTAGAAATAACCTGACCTAATTGAAGCCTCTAACTTTAAAAGGATGTTCTGCCGTCTCTTGACAATTTAAGAATAAATGATGTTCTTGGTAAACACCTCATTTCCATTGCAGTCTGGAATAATGAAGCCTGGTAAGGCAAGTGCTGAATAGTAAAAACTGGATAGCTGGTTACCCAGGTAATTCTTGGCACTCTTAATAACCTCATGTAGAGCCATCCAAGCCAGTAAGATTGCTGCATTCATTGTCTGTGTTCAGCTGTGCAACTTGCTTCTTGTCTACTCTTGAATAAAGTTTCATGAAACTCCTTGTTAATGTAGAGAAAAACTGGCTGTTCAGTTGGCAGTTGTACTTTTAAGCCCTTGGACCTAGACCTTTGTTTTCCCTCTTGTGTTTGTATGGCTCACATATACTTCAAGCTCATCTACATGTGTTCAGAAATGCTGGTGTTCATTCAAAGAATGATCTGTTTAAATCTCCAGAAAACTTTAGCCCACGCATGTAATCAAGTCCTGAACATTGCAACTTGAAAATGACTTGTCTTATAAAAGTCACAGCATCTTACCTTGTTTTGTTTTTTTTTTTTTTTGGTGGTGATACTGGGATTTGAACTTGGGGCTTCCTTGCTAGGCAGGCTACTCTACCCCTTGAGCCATGCCCCCTGCCCCTTACCCAGTTAAGTGATCCACTTTGCCTGCCTCATCTATTCACACACTAGCTAGAACAGTCTAGATGAATGTAGTTTAGCAGTTAAAACTTCTGTCTTCCCCAGAAGGTCCTGCATGATTTTTTTTTTTTTTGGTGTGTTTGGGGTTTGAACTCAGGACTTCACACTTAAAAGCAGGTGTTCTATAGCTTGAGCCAGATCTCCAGTCCATTTTGCGGTGGTTATTTTGGAGATGGGGTCTCATGAACACAAACCACTATGTTCCCGGATCCATGACGTTTATGGAATGATATTCACTGGGTAATGAACTGTTCTTTGAACCAGAAACCATACCAGCCTGTGTGAAGTACATGGGTCTAGGGAACAGTAATGGAAGCACAATGGCCTGTCACCACTCTAGCAACCCTTATGATACTTTCGAAGTAGAAAATTCTGTTCCCAAGGACAGGAAACATGCACCAGGGACACAGAAAGGATTCCACTACAACTACTGCTTGGTTGGTCACTTAGGTTTGTTTTTTGTATGCCTAGTTAACCACTCCCCAAATAAATGTATTAGGTTGGGAATTTGGCTGACTTATGAGGGGCAAGTCAGACTATTCTAGAGCTCAAAGGATTCACTGGGGCCCCTCCTAAGACAGCTATACCTTGACAGTTACGAGTAATTTCAGCAGTCAGCCTTACATGGGCATGGTGAGCAGGGATTTGATTAGCTTGGAGGGATGAAAGTCTGTTCCTATAAGGAAAACCTATTAACTAGCCCTTCTGGTGTCCAAATGTGTGGGGGTTTTCCCACAGTTCAACTCTGGCAAGTAGCAACTGGGTGTCCTAAAATTCAATTCTGATGCTACCTACCTCTGATATTTTCACTCCTGATTAGCTGGATTACAGGTGTGAACAACTTAAGCAAATTTTTTTTTTTTTTTTGGCAGCATTGTGGCGTGAACTCAGGGCTTGCTAGGCAGGTACTCTTAACTGCTTGAGCCATTTCACCACCCCTGTATTTCTTAACTGTAGTACAGCATCACAGTACCCCATTAAGGACGGACATTCTAGACCAGTAGGGTGAGGAAGTGTTAGCAATCTTGACTTAAGGACCAATTGTGGCTGTGGGACTATAGCTTCATTTGCTCATCCTGTTACAAATCAAGGGGCTTTGTATTTTTAAAATGTTACATGCCAGGTGCCAGCTGGAGCAAATAATTTGTGAGACCCTATCTGGGAAAAAAAAAAAAATCACACAAAAATAGGGGTTGCTGGAGTGGCTCAAGGTGTAGGCTCTGAGTTCAAGTCCCAGTACCACAAAAAAAAAAACTACCTAGAGCAAGCAATAATGGAACAGTAAGTTTAATGTAAGACCTAAGTGGGTAGGCTGTTGTAGACTGTTGTTGCTGCCTTATCTTTTCAGGTTTTACCATGATAGTACATACAGGTTCAAGTTCTCCCGACACCCGTATCTTTTTGCTTGAGGGCTTTCTTTGCTGGCCAGAGCCTACTCTCCTGAATATACTATCTGGAAGTGCAAAGAAATAATATCCCTGGTATCAATTCAGAGCAGTGTAAATCAGTGATTGACGGTGTATAAAAACTATTAGTGATTCAGATGAAATAACTTTAAGATGTGTTCTGCATTGTTTCTCAGAGTTGCTAAGTGGCTTTATTTACTGTGTAGCTGAGGCTCCCTCAAGCACATCACTCCTGCCTCCGCCTCCCAAGTGCTGGATGGCGGGTGTGCCACCATGCCCAGCTTCTTCAGTGGTTTTTAAACCCCAGTTACTCATAGTGGTGGTAAAAGACATGTTAAAAATTTTAACCAAGTTGAGCAGGTATTCATAATTCAGCACCAGACTGCACATGGTTCAAAGCTTTACTACATTGTCATGAGGGGAGAACTTTTATAAGGTAGCCAGAAGTTAGTTGGAAGGTTTTTGTTTGTAGTGCTGGAGATCAGACCTAGGGCCTCGTGCATGCTAGGCAGAAGGTGTACCAGTAAGCCCTTCCCCCAGTTATTTTAACAGTGGTGCTTGCTTGTAGACTAAACCATATTTCCTTCTCTGTCTCACTTCTCCCACTCCACCACTGGTGTTTCATGGGATCACATCCCAAATAAACTACCAGCACTCAAACTACTCTCTCAAATAAGCTACTTGCACTCCCTTACTTGTATAAAGGTCTGACCACGGAGAACCCAAATGCAGATTACCTGAGTATACACTTAGGAGTAAGAATGGGTTGGAAGTAGATTATCCATTAAAAAAAGGTCTCTGGGTGCAATGATGTGCACTTGTAATCACAGCTATTCTGGATGCTACAGGAGTTTGAGACCAGCCTGGGCAAGAAAGACCTTGTCTCAAAAAACAAACAGCTGAGTGTAGTGGTACACACCTGTAATCCCACCTATTCCAGAGTTGGAGGTAGGAGGATCTGTTAAGAGGCCAACCCGGGCAAAGGTAGCAAGACCTATTATAAAAAACAAGCTGAGCATGGTAGTACATATCTGTTGTCCCACCAATTCCAGGGGCAGAGGTAGGAGTATCATGGTTTGAGACCAGCCTGAGCAAAGCTGGTCCGAGACCCTATCTGAACACTTAAGAGCAAAAGGACTGGGGGTATAGCTCAAGTGGTAGAGTACTTCCCTAGCAAATGTGAGGCCAAGTTCAATCCCTGGTACCATGAAACAAAAAAAACAAAACCCTGGGCATAAAGGCTCTGAAAGGTGCAGAGAAGGCAGAACATCTAGGGTCCTCAGGATCCAAGGGATGACATGGCAGTGTGTCTTCTCTGGGTTCTTTCTGCCTCTTCTATCCTAGACTGGATGCCAGGGAAGCTGGCAATCTGGAAAACACCAACAGGTGAAGATGAAAAAAAGCACCAGTAAACCAGGCACTGGAAGCTCACACCTGTAATCCTAGCTACTTGGGAGGCTGAGATCTGGAGGATTGAGGCTTGAGGTCAACCCAGGGAAATAGTTCATGAGACCCCCCCCATCTCCAAAATATGCAGAGCAAAATGGACTGGAGGTGTGGTTCAAACTGTAGAGTGCCTGCTTTGCAAACTGAGTTCAAACTCCAGTCCTACCCTACTAAAAAGAAAGGCAGATTCACTAGCTACTCCAGAGGAAAGAGATCAGGAGGCTTGTGCCTCAAAGCCAGCTTGGATGACTAGTTTGAGAGACCCTATCCTGAAAATACCCAACACAAAACAGGGCTGGTGGAGTGGCTCAGCAAGTGTGAGGCCGAGCTTAAACTCTAGTTACCTCTGCCAAAGGACCAGGAAAAAGGCAGCCAGGAAAGAAAACTACAGACACTGACTGCTCTACTCCAGCCAAATAGCCCCAAAAACTATGGCTGTACCCCATCCTGTAGCAGTGTGGAGAGCCTAGATTCCTGCCCTCATCAGGATGTAAAATTCCCCAATCCCTAATAGGTGGGGCGGGGGAGGCAAGAAGAAAGCTGCAACTGTCAGTCCCCATCACCGGTAACCAGACACCCCCACCCGAATGTGGCACTGGAAGGCAAGTGGAGAGTCCGAACTTGGGCAGTAACTAGTAACTAGTAATGAGGTAATTCTTCCCCTCCCAGCCTCCACGGTAGCAGAGGTCGGGGGAGTGGGGGCCAGACCTCCCACCCCTGCCCAGCAGGGGTCAACAGAAGCAGAGTGGAGATTCTGGACTGGAACTCCACCCCAGGTGGCAATAACTAAGCAGAACGTTTCTTGTCAGCAGGGTGTCCAAGGCCTTCTCATAACCTAAATGTCCAAGTTTCAATTAACAAAAAGAAAAAAAAAATCACTTGTCACACCTAGAAAATCCCAGTTTGCAAAAAAGCAACTCACTCACACCAATACTGAAATGACAGATCTTGGAATTACCCAATGACTTTTTTTTTGCAGTATAGGGGTCTGGACTTAGGGACTTGTGCTTGCTAGGCAGGTACTCTACCACTGAAGCTATACCACCAGCCCTTTTTTATTTCACCTAAGGTCTTAAGTTTGTTCCCAGGGTTGGCCACTGTCTGCTATCCTCTTAGGTCAATCTCCTACATAGCTGGGATTTCAGGTATGCACCATCATAACAGCTTAAGATGGGGTGGGGGTGGGGGGCTCTTGCTTTTCACCTGCACTGGCCTCAAACTGCAATTTTTACCTCCCCAGTAGCTGGGATTCAAGCCAGACATATAACCTAGATCATAGGCTAGCCCTAGGAATTGTAACACAGGTATTATCCAACCTTTTTTGGCAAAATTTAATGTGGTATTTAGAATTATGAATATAGCATACAATTTATGGCAGTTAGGGTTGTCATTTTACAGGTTGCACATCTTAACTTAGGGCCTAAAAGATTTCAGGGAAATCTGTACATTGAAAATTTTTCCAGTGCTGGGGATTGAACCTAGGGTCTTGCACATGCTAGGCAGATACTTTACCACTGAATTATATCTGCAGCCCAGAATTTGAGACAGGGTCTTGCTATGTGTAGCAGGCTGACCTCTTAACTTCCCATCTTGCCTCAGCCTCCTGAATGCTGGTATTAATAGGTGTACATGGCTCCAATGTAATTAACTACTGGAGCTGGGTTACAGAGTGCTTAGTGTATGTGGGGCCGTGGGTTCTAATTCCAACACCATACCTCACTTCCTAAAAAACCACCTTACAACCTAAATTATTGCATGGGATCGAAATAACAGAGTACCAAATAGGATATGTATGCCCTTGTCCCAGAAGAAATAGCTCATGTAGATATTAGGCTGTGTTCCATTTTTCTCTTTTAATAACATGTATGACTTTGAAATAGCTAATATAATCCTTAGTTTTATAAGGTAAGAGTCAAGCACGGAAACAATGTTGTAAATATACCTATAATAAAGGCTAGGCACTATGGCTCCTAGTGAGACCCTATCTTGAAAAATACCAAATACAGAAAGTGGCTGACAGAGCAGCTCAGTGGCAGAACATCTGCCTAGCAAGCCTAAGGCCCTGAGTTCAATCCCCAGTACCCTCCTACACCCCCACTTTTTTTAAGTACACACCAAAGCCAAAAAAAATGACTAAGGTTTGGGGTGCCACAATTATCAAGCACAAATAAAACAAAAAAATTGCCTCATTATAGGTACCTTGATTATTCAGAAACTTGGCTGCAAAGGATTCTGCAAGTTATTAACCATGAAGGAACAGAGGATCTGAAGTCATTGGTAGAATCCCACTCAGGCAGACCCCCAAATAGCCATACTATACTTTTAACAGGAATAGAGAACAAAACTTTCTTGGCTAACTTCTATTTCTTTGTGACCTTTAATTTGGTTTCATTATCTTAGAGAAGGAAGGCCTAAGTGCAAATTTTCACAATCCACTGAAATGGAAGAAAAACAGTGCCAAAACCAAATTGTACAGATTCATATAAATTTCATAAGCACAAAAGGTTTATTCTGAGTAAATCATTTTATAATTACTGAAAGACATTTGTTACTTTACTGAGCTATGTACTAACGTATCAAATCATCCAAACAAAACAAACATGGCAATACAAAATTTAATTTACAAAGCTATACAAAATAACTTAGTATTTAAAAATTAGACTGATACAGTCTGTAAGATCTCTTTAAGAGAACTATATAATCATACATCTATGTAGCTTTTTTTAGTGGCTGAAAAAAAGGATGCTTTAAGGCTTCTTTGAGAGTAATTCTTCTGACTGGATCATATTCCAACATCTTTTGAATGAGGTCAAAGAGAAGCTCATGTTCAGCATCCTGAGAAAGCATAAATTCCTGAAAAGAAAAGAGAAATAACATTCCATAGGCTTTCCTACCATCATTTACTATATTTTATTTCTCCATCACAAAAACAGAAGGGAACTGGGGGGTTAGAGCTTATCAGGTGAACGCAACGTCCTAGGTTCAATACCCGGGACCAAAAAACCACCCCTAAAAAAAACAAACAAACCAGAGGGTACAACTCAAGGTCTTAAATCATTTAAGCAATAACCCACCCAGGCTTACCTTCAGAGGCTTACAGCGCCGTGAAACATATCTGCCAGCAGAACTGTGTTCATCCCAATCTAACTGGTCATGATGAAAATATTTACGTTTCCTAAAAACAAGTCAATATCCATTCATGTTTATAATGTTGACACCTAATGCTTAAAACACCTAGCAAAGGTGACTGGTTGCATCAATTATTTTTTTAGGTTAAAGAACAATGCTTTTCTAGAAAGTTAAAAGGCAGCAAAAGTAAGCTATCCATTTCCTATCTACTTAAACTCAAGAAGCACTAGTTGCGTAAAAATCCTTTTTATCTTTGAGAGTGTTTCACTATGTACCCTAAGCTGGTTTGCAACTCTCAATCCTCTGGGTCAGCTGCCCAGTGCTGGAATAACAAGTGTGCACCACCATGTACAGTTTATTATAAAGTTCTAATCAGAACACAGAACTAAGTAGTACCAAAGATGACACTAACATACCTGGTTTTCTGTATCATATGTTTTGGTAGAGGTCCAAGAATCCTTTCCATCATTGCTAAGTGCTCCTTACTATCATGTGTCTGAAGTAAAAATAAAAACAACTTGTTAATAACTCACTCTGCTTATGCACTGTGTTTCATTCTCATGCAAAAGCAGTGCTAACTTTCTAGGGCACAGGTGATTAAGAGTCACAAGGAAAGCAACTGTCAAGATGACCCATTTCTCAGCAAATTGAGGACAACAAAAACTATTAAATCTTGCATTAAAAAATTATGTAATTTTTACTTCTTTATGCTCATCTATAATGAATAATCTGTGAGAAAAAAAAAAGCTACGGAAATGTATACACTTTTAAAGCATTCATTCACGTAGGGCACTTTTATTGTGGAAAGTCACTGAAACAGATTATTGTCACTTACTGGAAATACTGTAAATCCAAGATAGTACTCAATAAGAATACAGCCTATACTCCACACATCACATGGTTGGGACCACCCTAGGGCTGCAAACCAAAGCACAGTGTTAGGTAGAAAACATCAGTATTTCTTAATTAATAAAAGTTAACAAGAACACTTTCTTGAACATATAATGCACGAACTGGGAGGAGTCCTAAAGGAATCAAAGTTAAATGCAACACAGTAGTGCTGTAGATTAAGAATTAATCGCTACAGACATGGCTCAAATGATAGTGCCTGCACAGTAATTTTGAGGCCGTAACTTCCAACTCCAGTACTGCCAAAAAATAAGGGGCTTTGGAGACATCTGGGTTAAAGTCTGAACTCTAGCTCCACTTTGGGAAAATTCTGTATTCTAAGCCTCAATGTCCTAATCTATAAAATAAAGCTAAGTCTCTGGGATACAATATATATTAAATAATTGTATTGGGCTGGTGGAGTGGATTAAGTGGTTCAGTGCCTGCCTAGCAAGTATGAGGCCCTGAGGTCAAACCCCAGTACTGCCAAAAAAAAAAAAACCCAAAACAAAACCATAAAGAAATGTAGGTTTTTCAACGCCTACTTAGTAAATACTAACCTAAAATAACTTCAGGTGCTCTGTAATGTCTTGTAGATACCAATGTACTGTGATGTTCGTCGTCATATGTTGCACTTCCAAAGTCTACAACTTTAATATCTGGATTTATCAGGGTACGTTCATCTCGTTTCTGAAAATCATAAATGATGGTTATGAAGACAAAATACTAAATCATAAATTATTCATTTGAGAACTCTGAAGATAATTGAAAACTTACCATTTTGGGATTATATGCCTCTGTGTAGTCAGACTGTACAAACAAGATGTTTTCAGGCTTTAAGTCTGTATGAGTCAATTTATTACTGTGCAAAACTGAAAAATGAAACAGAAAAGATTGCTGCAAACTGAAAATAAAATAAAAAAAGGACCAGGCATGGTAGTGCCCACCTCTTGGGAGGCAAAGGCACAAAGATCGCCAGGCTGGCTGCACAGTGAGAACCCGGTCTCAAAAGACCAAGAAACAAAGCAACTCCCAAAATCCTACAAATGAACACCTCTTGATGCTCCCCTAGTAACATCAATCTTGTAGAAAATCACCAGGTACTAAAGCCTGCTACCCTCCTGAAAAATTCCACAAGTGCTACATGGCTGTAATCCCAACAACTCATGAGGCAGAGGGAGAAGGATAATGTTTGAGGCCAGCCTTGGCTACAATGAGACCCTGTCTTGAAAAACTTACCAAAGTCCACTTACAACTAATTACACATTATGGACCAAGAGCTTGTAATCAACTAAATCTTATTTCCTATCTACTTTTTTTTTTGAGACAGGGTCTATATAATCCAGGCTTTCCTTGTGGATGGATCCTCCTGAGTAGCACCCTGCTTTAATACACTATTCCCTTTTCACTTTTTAAAATTTTTTTGAGTCAGGTTTCAGTACGTCACCCAGCTAAGCCAGAACTCCTGGGCTCCAGTGATCTGCCTGCCTCAGTCTACCAAGTACCTGGAACTACAGGTGCAATGCTGCATCCTGCTCCCCATTTTACTTATTTTTGGCAGTACTAGGGTTTGAACTCAGGCCTTCACACTTGCTAGGCTGGTCCTCTACCACTTGAGTCACTCCACCAGCCGTCTTTTTTGTTGTTAGGTATTTTCAAGATAGGGTCTCAAATGATTTGCCTGGGCTTGCTTAAAACTGATATCCTGATCTCTGCCTCCTGAATAGCTAGGACTACAGGTGTGAGTTTTTAACTGACAAAAATTGCCTAGATTTATGGTTTACATGCTTAATATGTGTACACTGTGAAATGGCTGAACTAAGCAAATTAGTTTTTACATACTTCACATACTTTTTTTGTGATAAAACTTGAAATAATCATACCAATTTTGAAGTCTGTAACATAATTACTTTTTGGTGCTGGGGGTTAAACCCAGCTAAACTCCCAGTTGTATAGTATATTAGCAACTATAGTCAACATGACTAGAGCCTTTTCCTCTGTATTAATTGAAGTTTTCTAGTCTTTGGCCAACATCCAACATCTTCCCAATCCTCCCACCATAAATGCATACCCAGGGACCAGCGCCTACAAGGCAGACACCCTACTACTGGGCTATGGCTATGCTCAAGCCAAGCTTCTAAGTCTTGTGTTAGTTCCTATCTTTTTTCTTTTGTGATACTGGGGCTCAACCCACATCTCATGTGCTAAACCATTGGGCTATATCCCCAGACTCGCTAGGCTCCCTTTTTTAAAGATCCAAGTTAAGTCTGGCATTAATTTCAAACTCAAGTTTTGGAAGATATCTGAACTTACAATTCACAGATCTGCATATCTGATATGCCATCTTCCTGATGTGATCCAGTCGAAATGGAAGAAAACCATTTTCCTTAATGAAGTCGTAAGTGCTAAGTCCCAGTAGTTCAAAAACAATGCAAATGTGACCATGATGCTCAAACCACTCCAACATCTGGACACAGCGGCTATTAACACATGAAAAATAACTTGAGTTCAGCTTCTCACAATTCAAATCTACCTAAGGCTATTTTCCAAGTACTAATTTGATACTTACAAAGTACTGTGGGGATCTGTTGTATTTAAATGTTCCAGAACTTGAATTTCTGAGCGAGCAGCTTCACAGTATCTATCCACATTTTTAACTATTTTTACTGCTACATGTCTACCTCCCCTGTCAGAAAGAATCAAAATTAAATAATGATATATATGGTACCAACTCGTTTTCTGTTTCTTATCAAACTGTACTACTTTTACTCTGATCCATCCTGTTTGTTTCTTAAATTTATGTTTATCTTTTGGGTAATTACAAGTCAATGTAAGCAACTATAGTGACCTTAGACTACAGTATTATCAGTAATGCCAACATCTTGAACATAAACTTCATCAGATCACCACCCACATGAGTTACCATTTGGTCCTTTGACCAAACAATGTGTGACCCATTAACTACCTCAATTTGCATTCCAACTAAGACTAAAAAACAAACATACACATAATTTTTTCCTACAGTATGTGACACTGAACTATCTCATCTTCCTTTGGGTCCAGGTTATCAGAAAAGTTGGATATATAGTAGCAAGAGTGCTAGGTCTCAAAATTTTACCAACAGGAAGCAGCCTCCTCAAATAACTCATTTAGAAAAGTTTTGCAATTCAGAAGGGGGGGAGGAAATCAATAAGGGAACAGAAAAGGTAGAAGAAAAATTTACACCCTCTTAAACACTGTAAGCACATGTGATTTCTAGAACTGGGGTGGGTGGGAGAAATTTTAATGAGTAATTTGATGGGCCTAGATAATTTAACTTATGACACCAATCTAAAAGAGTTATCAGCCCTGGCTGTGTTATCAGGAAGAACCATGACACTTAAAGTTTAGACTCCTGGGTAACTAACCTGAAAAGATTGAGAGTAAGCAAAGTTCCCTGGTATAAAACCAAGGCTGAGTTCAAACCCCAGTACTGTCAAAAAACAAAAACCACCCAAAGCTAAGAAAACTGGAAAACTGACCCAATGACTGGAGAATTAAAAACAAAACATCTGTAACTATACCCGGTGGGAAATCAGAAAAACACTTCTCAAAAAAGAAAGAAAACAAAATAAAAAAAAACCTAGGGCTGGAGGTGTGGCTCAAGTGGTAGAGACTTGCCTTGCAAACATGAAGCCCTGAGTTCAAACCCCAGTACCACCAAAAAACAAAACAAACCAAAAATCTACTATGGTAGGGCATCACGTAATTGAAATATGAAGAAGGCTGAGGCAGGAGGATTACAAGTTCAACGCCAGTCAGGACTATACACCAAAACCCTGTTCAAAATAAAAGGATACAAGCATACACACCCTGCCACCCTTTGGTGGATTAACCCCAAAGTCTTTTGAATTACAGCACAGTCCAAAAGTTGCACTGCATATCCTATCTATTCACTGCCATTTAAAAAAGACAAAAGGCAAGGCAAGTACCTTTACCTTTAACTGGGAGTGTTTCATACATTCAGATTGGAAGGGTATAAAGATATAAGCTAAACATCCTATACTAACAACTTCAAGTGTAATCCAAGTAAACTTACGCTTTAAGATCGATGCATTCCACGACTTTCCCAAAAGCTCCTTCACCTAAAGTATCAACAATTTCATCTAAAAAAGAGAAATAATTTTGTCACACCAGAAGTGGGAACAATGCACTTATAATAAATGCTATCAATGCAGATTATTCTACAAATTTCCTTATTGCTAGGTATTTATCTTATTGGTCAACACCATCAAAAAACATACAACTATTCTTAGGTCTAATTTCATTCTTAGGCTAATTTCATTAACTTCATTTACTGTTCTGGAAGTTCTGTATAACAAACATTAAAATTCTAAAGAACCAAAAACACAATCCCCCCACCAAAAGAATGGAAAAACAAAATAAAACAAAACAAAAAATAGAGAAAGAAAAAAAGATTTTCAAATCCCTGCAATCTTAATCTATATATAATGTTATCTGAAAAGTTAATAAGTGTTGAAAAATATTCTATACATCTTGCACTTAGTACGTCTCCACTCTGACAGATCAGGTGACCCTCCTCATCATCCTCTACACTCCTGGTTCTTTTCCTTCGGTGACTCTTCTGGAAACGTCAAGTGGGCGGCACCAAGATCATCCAGCCAATCAATATACCCGAGTGAATTCAGGGCAGAATACGAAATTCATTCAGCGGGGAGATATTCAGGCATTCAGATACACGCCAGGCCACAAACGGTTGGCAGGAGCAATTTCAAATTCAGTCCCCAGAAATTCACAGGGCACATAGTTTATGTTAACAGGAGAAAAACATGGCAAGGAACAGATTTTCAGATAAGATACTCAAAGTGGTAAGGCAACAAAACATAAATACAATTGTTTTTCTTAAAAAAAAAAAATGCTTAGCTGTAGCATTCACTGAAACATAATTTTAAGTTTCTCGTGTCCTAATTTAATGCTGCAAATTGTAGATGTAATATTTACTTGTCAAAGTAGACTGTGGCCAAATTAAAATTTCCTAGCTAATGTAAGAAAACAAATATTAAGACAGTAAATAAAATCACATTCCTAATTTGGGGAAGAAAAAAGATTTGGTATACTATAGCATTTAAAAAGTCATCTGAGCTGATTTCAAAATTAATACATAACCCACAAAGTTCAAATCTGTTGTAGTTTGCTTAATGAAAAAAGGATTAGAGAACATGCTTTGTTAGAACAAAAAGACATAACTAATCCTCAATCATACAAACATAAAAATTACTGTCCTGTTTTTTGTGATAATGCTTTTGTACTAAGTCAGATTTCTTGAACCATTAAGAAAACCTTTCAGTATATCTTGTAATCATTTTTACTAAGCTCTACTATTCAGAGTGACAATTAATAGCCAACCAGTAAATTAAAATCTATTTTTACAGAATTATGTACTGTTTCATGAATTACCTATCTAATATACAAACACAGAAAGAATGCTGCAAGTTAAAGTTGAGATGACTTTATCTTAAACAGAATTTTTCAAATAAACACAAATGCAAGTTTTCCTTTTTCACATGAAAAATAAAACTTCCAAAATATTTTAAAAGTACTCATACCCCATGTGAGCGATGATGTGAAGTTCTGTGTTTTCTTTTATAACTACTTCCTCCACTTCTGCCAGAGGACTTGCTACTATGGTTCTGATATCTGCTTTCATGGTCTCCATGGCCATGTCCTGGTTCATACCCTTGACTGTAGTCATTTCGGTACTCATCAATGTAGCGCCGACTATGATAGTCTTTCTCAATGATAGATCTGCTTTCCAAGTAATAGCTAGAGAAGAAAAATTATTTCTTTTGTTTAATAATAGTATCATCCATTGCCATCGCCAAGCTCTCAGTAACTCTCTTTTTTATTTTAGGGTTGGGGAATGACCTCCAAGGCCTTTGCATACAAAGCAGGTGCTCTACCACCCTGCAGGTAATCCTAGCTACTGGGGAGATCCGTAGAAAGATGAGTTTGATGCCAGTCAGGGCAAAAATAGGAAGACCCCATCTCAAACAATAGACAATAGACAGGATGTAGTGGCATTGCATGGATGATCCCAGCGAAGGGAGAGGCCGTAGGATGCTGTTCTGAGGCTGGCCCAAGGCAATAAAGCAAGACCCTATCTGAAAAACAAAACAAGAGTCTGCCTAGTAAGTGCCAGGCCCCAAGTTCAAATCCCAGAACTGACCCAAAAAAGCACTTAAGTGCTTGTGAAGAGTTTATGCCTCAGTTCCCCAAGCACACCATTTTCACACACTCTCTCATGGGAAACAAAGTTATGACCATCACAATTACTTAAGTGGTACTAGTTTTTTTGGCAGTTCTGGGGATGGAACCCAGGGCCTCCCGCTTTGCTAGGCAAGCATTTTACCTCTGAGCTGTACCCAGGCTCACATCTATCTTTACACTGAGACGCCTGACCCGTCTTACCTATCCGATGTCTTAGAGGGATTGTATCTGCAGCGCTTGTGCTCCCGAGCACTGCTGTGCGATCGCTTCTTTCTTTTATGACTGCTGCTGCTTCTCCATTTTCCACGATCCCAGTCTTTTTCATCCCAGTCCGGGCAGTAGGTTCTCTTTGAGTGCCTCATCTACACGAACGACAAGACTTTGCCAGTTAAAAGTGAATCCACCGTAGTTTCAAGTTCAGAAACTGTTGTCATCTGATGTGAAATCAAGGATAAATGACCTCACTACTTTACTCATAGGTATTCTGCAAGGTCCACGTCACGCCCAGATTTGTTGGAAACGGGAGAAGAGAGGAGAGGGAGCTTACTAATTCTGGTAAAATTTGACCCCTGTCCTGTCCCCAGGAAAACGAGTATTAGGAACCAGCTCCGACCCAAATGCTTTTCCTCAACTGCCCTCACAACGCCGGGGCGCTCCAGTGGTTATCCGGGTCGGCTGGGCGGGTGGGGCGCACCTGTAGTCCCAGCCACTCCATGGGTGAGCCCGGCCGACAGGAAGCGCGCTCCCTCCCCCAGCCAAGGTGTTTGCGAACATTCCAGAATCCGCGCCAACACCGCCCCTACAGGCCGCAGCGCCTTTGGCACCCGCCCCGCCGCCATCTTAGAGCTCGGTGGCCGACAACATGGCGCCCGGCCCGGCCGCCAGTGGGCTGAGCGCCCCGCGCGTCGAACCCGTCCCCACAGGCTCGCCGGCGGGGCTCGGCGGGGCCGGCAAGCGCGCCGCCTTTGCAACGCTCGCGGTGCGTGGAGGCGGCAGCGCAGGGCCCGACAACAGCTAGCAAAGGCAGGCAAGCATTAGACAGCGCCAGGCACAAAAAGGGACCCGAAGCTGCTCCCTGCTGCACCTTACCGTCCTGCTAAGACTCCAACCCCAGGGAGACGAAACCTGGACGCGGCCTTCCGAAGCGCACAACTCACGGCAAGGGCACCACAGCAAAATGGAGCTGACAGCCCAGCGGCGCGACTCGCGAAAAACACTGCTGACGTCGCAGCGCGTCTCCGCCCGGGGGCGGGGCCGGCGCGCAGCCCGCCCTGTGCGCGCGCAGCCCTGTGCGCGCGCAGCCGCGCTCGCGAACCGAGGGAACCCTGCGGAAAGAAGGAAGCTGGTGGGTGCCGGTGGCTGTTTTGACCATGGCTCCTGCAGAATCCGAGAAAACAGTGCAGCTATTGTGGACAAGGGTTTCCTCCACGCTCACTGGAAACTGAATCCGTGTATGTTAGGGACGAGAAAACGTGAGAGAAATCCTACTTGCGACTAAAACCAAGTTTTAGGCCCCAGGCCCAAGTGTAGGAATTTCCCCCTGCCAGTTCTGCCACTTATCCCTCTATGCCACGTGGAACAGTAGTATTGAAGAGCAGATGTTAGAAATATCTTCAAGATACTGGGATATTACAAGAGAGACGACATTACCCAGAAGTCAGTGGGCAAGGCAAACTTTACTTCTGCATGAGGTTTGCACACCAGAGAGTCTGGGAAGCAAGCACCCTGGGTGGGAAGTCCGCAGGGGTTTTAACCTGACACCATGCTGTCCCTCCCCTGCCCGTTGATTGGGCAGGTTTGGGGTTCACAGTCTACGTAGTTGGCTTATCAGCAGGAGGCTTTGGGAACAAAGTCGTTTTTAAAATTTCAGGGAAGCAACAACTTTTTGGTTATCAGCTCCGGAACCAGGATGTCTAGCGGAATTCTTGCCCCTACCCAGCTGAGGATAACACCCTTTGTTCATAATATAAACTTTTATCATATTAAGCTAAGTACAACATGACGAGAACGAAAAAGGGAAGCGTGAAAAAGGAGGTTTAAAACTACTAGTAAGTGTAAAAATCTCGACAGAAAAAGGAACACCGACCCAAAAGACACTGAACAAGGATTTAACTTACTCAATGCGACTGCGAAAGGAAGAAATGCAAAAGCAAGCACTAAAGGTCCATCTATAGGAAACGAGCAGTGCTGTTTAACACAATGGGAAGCTTTAGGATACTTAATAGCAGAGAAAGACATATAGGGACAAGGTGAGAGAGGCCAATGCACTGGCTTTCTAATAGGATCCCAGTGATAACGCAACTGGCTACTCTAGTAGTTTAGGTAGAAGTCTTATCCGTCACTTGATTCCCTCATCCACATAACGGCACGTATGCGCACTCTGGCGTAACAAGAATAAAAGTGAGATTCATGTAGATCTGCCCTAGAAGTCGGTCAGACGATGAGTTACATCCTATCCTTTTCTTGGGGGCCAGACAAGATTTATCTCCATACACTCACTTGTAAATGTAATATTATAAGAATCCAGTCCTGTACAACTTCCATGGATTATCAAGAATGAAGTGGACTCAGAGAAAAAGACAGAGATCCAAGCTTATTTCCTAAAGACCCCAAGCAAAAGAGTACAAGATGCTCTTTATGGCCAGAAAAGCAGTTTCCAGTACTAGTTGCCAAATGGCCATTAAAACAAAAGCTCTTAAAACATATACACCCAATTATATCAATAGCATACTGAAGTTAGTAAATTGGGATTAGGGCTTTTGCATACAGTCGATCCTGATTAATAAAAACTTAGCGTTTTTAACTAGTCGGGATCCAATGGGATATCAACATAGTTACTAGACGTCGATGATCGAGAAAAAAGCAACGATTTAAACATCACCAAAGGATTATTTAACATCAGTTGAAGAAATGACAGTGACAAGGAACTGCAGAGATGAGGGGCAAAGGAGCTTCAATCAATTTAAGCATAAAAGTAGATATATCAATCTTAAAAAAGGAGAGGAAGTCCTCTAGCAAGTGATTGTGAACATGACATACTTCGAGACCTAAAAAAAAGCTCTCCTCTTCTCTGTCTTTGCGCTGACACTATCCGTATACCAAGTGTATTGACTAACAGAAAAATGAAAGTAATTGTTTGGACGGAGTTCCTGCAAAAGAGGAAAAAAAAAAAAAAAAAAAAAAAAAAAAAAAAAAAAAAAAACCTAAAAAAAAAAAAAAAAAAAAACAGAAACACAAAAAAAAAACAACACAAAAAAATAAAGAAAAATCAAATTATAAAGAAAAAAAAAGACATAAAAAAAAAAAAAAAAAAAAAAAAAATGAGCAAAAAATCAAATAAAAAAAAAAAAAAAAATAAAAGAACAAGACAAAAAATAAAAAAAAAATACGATCGCCACAAAAAACAAACCAATTAGAAAAAAAGAAAAATAACTAAGCCACCTAAACTTATAACATTGATACATACTTATGACACTTGTCCCTAAGGCCTCTAAAGCATGCTCTTATTTCTCTTTGGCAGTGTTGTTAATGCTAAGGAAAACCACTTTTGAATGACTAATACAGTAACTAATGGAGTCAACTATTGCAGGAAAAGGAATTAGATAAACACTGATCCTAAGACTTTCTAATCAGTAATCTGTGTTTACTTTTCAGAGCCTGGGATATTACACACTTCATATAACATGACATGTGGGCCAAGGATTTGTTAGTCTTTTTAAATTAAAGGTAGAATAATGTTTAACTTGTAGACAAATAGTGTGTTCATCTAAGGACTTATAAGGACTGGCCTAGAAGATGAAAATTCATTACTATCTCAAGGATATTCCAGCAGAGAAAACAGACTGGATAACAAGACCCTGTTCAGCACATAGCTTTCCTGTCCACAGTCCCCTACACTTCCTTTTCTCCCAATAAGAGTGAGCTCCCTAAGATGGTCTGTTTTGGGGACATGCCTTTGCCCTATCCTATAGGGTGCTGCCCCTGTTCAAACTGGTTTTCTTCCCACCTACTCTTGGTTTCCTAATATAGGCTTTAGAGAGGTAAACAAACCCTCATGAGTCCAGTAAAACAGATCAAAAAACTTACTAGTTATTTTGAGAACAGGGTATTTCAGTCTACCTGAGTTTGGGTAATAGGGAAGTATAGCTTGTTTTAACCCTGAGAGAGTAACCTCAGGTTAACCAATCAACCTTTTAGCTATTTTCTTGTTCCCACCTCACAACTGGACTATTTCCCTATTGCCACTATTTTCTTATTGCCCAATGAGAGTTCTTTTTGTAGAATGGAAGTTTTCACAATTTTTTTTTCTTTGCAGTGCTGGGGTTTGAACTCAGAGCATACACCTTGAGCCACTCCACCAGCCCTTTTTTTCGAGATAGAGTCCCCAATCCTCCTGCTCTCTGCCTCCTCAGTAGCTAGGATTACAGGTGTGAGCCACCAGTGCCAGGTTAATAATTCTTAAATTTTGAATAAAGGCCAATTAGATCTGTAACTAGATTTGTTGTGATTTTGCCCTTTTACAAGGGGAAATTGGAAGATATGGAGAAGGGAGAAGAGTATCAGTAACAATCTTTGAACAATAACAATCACTTGATCCTGTCTCTACACCTCCTTTACTTTGTCACTTAAAAAAAAAATCCTCATTTATTCCTTCTAAATTTAGTGGAAATCACTAAATTTGAAATCACCATATATGGGGACTGGGGATGTAGTTCAGTGGTAGAGTGCTTGGAGGCCCAAGTTCAAAGCCCAATACTGCCAAAAAGAAAACAAATCCAGCTATTATTAAGTATAATTTTAATGGCCTGCCTCATACTTCTAAAGATTAAAGTGCATATTTGGGCAAGAGGGCAATGTAGATCATCAACCCTGTATAGATGCAAATATTGTAGGGTAAAGCTGATGACGGATGTAACTTCTCAAAATTGATTTTTTTTTCCTTTTTTTGTGCTGTTGGGGTTCAAACACAGGATTTTGCACATGCTAGGCAAACACTACCACCGAGCTATGTATACATCCCTTACTTTTGTGAGACAGGGTATCACTATATAACCCAGGCTGGCCTATAACTCATTTTTGTTTTTTAGGGGGTAGAGACTAGGACTTTGAACTCAGGGCTTTGAGCTTACAAAACAGGCACTCTACCTCTTGAGATACACCACCAGTCAATTTTGCTGTACATATTTTGCAGATGGGTTCTCTCAAACTATTTGCCTGGGCTGGCCTTGATCCTCGATCCTCCATCCTCCGGATCTTGGCCTCCCAAGTAGCTGGGATTACAGGCATGAGCCACTAGTGCCTGGCTAGAAAATTTTTTCTTAACAGGCAAGACAGTAAATGGGCTTGTAGGCCATTTGGTCTCTTATCACAGCTAATCAATACTGCTGTTATAAAGGACCAGGAATAAGAGACAACATGTAAACAACTCAGCATGTACAAAAAAGCCAGAAGGCTGTGGTTTGCCATTCAACCTTTGGTCTAGATAAGAAACTATACTGCTTTCTTTATAAACAGGAGAGAATAGGTGATAACTAACATTTTAATTTCTTAGAAATTATACTTGCTGCCAATTAATTCAGAAAAGAGAATGTTAATCACCCAGTCACTAACATAATCAGTGTGAACCAGTCAGCTTATGCAGATAGAACATTCTGGGCCTTGATCTTTGTAGTGCCTACACTGGGCCCAAGGTGGACAACCAGTATATGTCCCTATCTGTGCTATCTTTATGGCTTCTTGAGCAGACACTTTAATAACCTCTTAAGAACCAAAATAGTCAACGTATTGGCACCATTAACAAAACTAGAAGAGGCCTGGCCCCAGTGGCTCACTGCTGTAATCCTAGATACGTGGGAGGCAGAGATCAGGAGTATAAAAATTCCAAGCCAACCCAGGCAAACACCCAACCTAAAAAAGGGCTGGCATAGTGGCTCAAGTGGTACAGTACCTGCCTAGTAAACATGAGGCCCTGCATTTAAACCCCAGTAAAAGTAAAAAAAAAAAACAAAAACACCCAGCTCACCCCCACAAAAAAGACTAGAAGAGTCTAGAATAAAAACAGGGGATTTGCCAATAAATACAAAAACATCCTAACAATCAATAAAGGCCTCTTAAGAATGACCACATACATACACAAACGACATGTTTAAGAAAGAAAGATGAAGTTAAGAAAAGTGCCACACTGACACAAACTCTGATCAAAAGAAGCTATAATCCTAATTCTACAAACCAAAATGATTAAAATTAATATGATGAAATAAAACATGAAGTAATGGTACTAGGCACCTCAATTCAGTGGAAGGTATGAATGATAATAATAGGATAGCCCCAAACATTAATTAAATTAGCCATTGGGAGAAATGAGACAACTGAAGATATGTTTGGTGATCTATACAGTAAGGGGAACATAGTTTTCGATAAAATCAACAGTACAGCCAGGCACGGGTGGCTCATGCCTGTAATCCTAGCTACTCAGTAGGCAAAGATCAGGATGACTGCAATTTGAAGCCAGCCACAGCAAATAGTAACGTGAGACCCTAGATCGAAAAAAACCCATCACGAAAAAGGGCTGACAGAGTAGCTTAAGGTGTAGGCCCTGAATTCAAACCCCAGTACCACAAAAAAAAAAAAAAAAAACAGTACAACAAAGTAAATGGATTGATTAGTTGGTGACAGACATGAATATATTAGGACAGCAGCTTCTGGTTACTTACTATAGAATACATACTACATGCCAGAAGCTTTACAAACATTTTTCATTTAACACTCATAAACCTCATGAGGAAATATTATTTAGGGATAAAAAAACAAGTAAAGCTGGAAATGTTAACTGTCTACTGTCAGGCATTAAGGAGCATTGTGACACAGATCAGGACTCCACAACAGGTGCTCTTAACCAGTTCGTTGCATTTTCAATGTTTTAAAAGATTAAACTTTAAAAAATGTTCCATGAACAAGTAAGTTGGGAATGTTGAGTGTTTATTGCACTCTAGCATTTGTTAGAGCTTTACCGTAAATCTAAAGACAGAAAAAAAGTAACAGACTGGTTTTTACACCATCTCTTTATCTTGGTTCTCTTCTTCTTTTTTATTTCTTTCTTTATTTTTGGAGTAAGGATCTTGCTATGTAACCCAGGTGGGCCTTGAACTTGTGATCCTCCTGTTTCAGCCTCCTGAGTGCTGAGATCACAGACATACACCACCATACCTGGCTGGTGCTCCTCTTTCTAAGTGCATAAAGTGAATAGTTAGTGAAAAAAATAATACTTCTAGGATATGGATTAGCTATGGTAGCATGTAACTGAAGTGCTCAAAATGCCTGCATTTAATTAAAGATTAGCATTTAAAAATGAATATTTACATGCAACAAAAACAAGGTATTATCTTAAAGAAATACATTGGATAACAGACATAAAGAATATGCTCTAAGAAGGGGGGTAAAAGCTGTTGGGCTCTCCTTGGTCCCAACAACTCGTAGATGATCTTAGCTGTAAACAAGAGGATGACAGTCTCTGAGATAATTACAACTGGCTAACCTACGATGGGTGTGTTCCAGGGAACAGTTTGCCAAGTATCTGTCCAGGTCTTTTACAGCTACTGAGCAAATGGGTTGGCATGAATTGTTATGTCTTTAATGTGTACATCATTAAGAGGCCGATATGTCTTCTCATTTACTGGTAACTTCTCCAATTCATCCAGAGTCTCCAGACCATCTATTACCCTGAAAGAGAAACAATGTAGTATAAGAAAATTTCCTGATTTAAATATAATATCCAAATGCAGAAATTATAGTTTTAAGAGAAAAGTATCATGTTTTATAGATCTCTGAATTCTCTAGTTGAATGTACAACAAAATACTCATCTGATTTTCTGCCACAGACATGGGTTAGCAATTCAGAAATAAAAATGCATTCTTATTGAATGAATGGGTAGGAATATTTCTATCAAACTGCCTAAGATTATATTCTGCAGCATTGATACAGTCACACAGAATAGCTGCAACTGGTTCCACTATAACCAGTCAGTTAAAGGGAAAACAAACTACTCTTAAAACAGTCTGACACTAACTATTCAGATCCATTGGTTAGTCCGTAAGACAGCCCTGCCACTTCAGATGCTAGATGTGATTCCCAAGTGGCAATCTGGACTTCTCATCAACCAACTATAAGTCAGAGGTCTCTCCAACCCTTCCTCTGGTTTGATAATTTACTAGAATGGTTCACACAACTTAGAAGCATACTTTACTTACTATTACAGTTTATTATAAAGAATGTAACTCCAACAGGTGTTGGCGAGGATGCAGGGAAAAAGGAACCCTCTTACACTGTTGATGGGAATGTAAACTAGTACAACCACTCTGGAAAAAAATTTGGAGGCTACTTAAAAAGCTAAACATTGATCTACCATTTGATCCAGCAATACCACTCTTGGGGATATACCCAAAAGACTGTGACACAGGTTACTCCAGAGGCACCTGCACACCCATGTTTATTGCGGCATTATTCACAATAGCCAAGTTATGGAAACAGCCAAGATGCCCCAGCACAGACGAATGGATTAAGAAAATGTGGTATCTATACACAATGGAATTTTATGCAGCCATGAAGAAGAACGAAATGTTATCATTCGCTGGTAAATGGATGGAATTGGAGAACATCATTCTGAGTGAGGTTAGCCTGGCACAAAGACCAGAAATCGTATGTTCTCCCTCATATGTGGACATTAGATCAAGGGCAAACACAACAAAGGGACTGAACTTTGATCACAAGATAAAAGTGAGTGCACACAAGGGAGATATAAGGATAAGTAAGACACCTAAAAAATTAGTTAGCATTTGTTGCCCTCAATGCAGAGAAACTAAAGCAGATACCTTAAAAGCAACTGAGGCCAATAGGAGAAGGGGACCAGGAACTAGAGAAAAGGTTAGATCAAAAAGAATTAACCTAGAAGGTAACACACATGCACAGGAAATTAATGTGCATCAACTCCCTATATAGCTATCCTTATCTCAACTAGCAAAAACCCTTGTTCCTTCCTATTATTGCTTATACTCTCTCTTCAACAAAATTAGAGATAAGGGCAAAATAGTTTCTGCTGGGTATAGAGGGGGTGGGGGGAGAGGGAGGGGGCGGAATGGGTGGTAAGGGAGAGGGTGGTGGCAGGGGGGAGAAATGACCCAAGCATTGTATGCACATATGAATAATTAAAAAAAAAAAGGATGTAACTCAAGAACATTAATGGCAGAGATTCACAGGGCAAGGTACGAGGTAGAGGCACAGACCTTCCATGCTGTTTCCAACTGGGCCATGTTACCAGTACCAACATGTGTTCACCAACCTGGTGAACATACACATAAGCCAATGATTTAAAATCACTGGCCACTGGTGCTTGAACTAAATCTTCAGCTCCTTTCCTCTTCCTGGAGGTCAGGTAGATGGAAAGGTGAGAGAGTAAGAGCTGAAAGTGCCTAATCACTGAGCTTGGTTACTATTTGTTGAATGAACAGATGGATTTACTGATTTCTAAAAGCAACTCTCAGGTATAGTGCTTGCAAAGGATAATATGGCTGAACACCTCCCTAGAACCCATTTTCTCTTTCTTACTCTGACAAGCCTGGTTTTATGAAGGGGAGCAATGTGTCCAGTAGAAAAAACATTTCCTTCTCTCCCTTGTAGGTAAAACATAACTACATTACTAAGTTCTGGGTCTTTTGGGAAAGTTCTTAAAAGGGGGCCTGGTGGCATGGTTCAAGTGGTAGAGCACCTGCCTAGCAAGCCTGAGGCCCTGAGTTCAAACCCCAGTGCCACTAAAAAAATTAAATAAGTAAGAAAAAGATAAAATACAATGAAATAAAATAAAAAAGGGGCTAACTCAGCTTCCAGGAACTTCTTGTCCTTCCTCATCTTTTCTGCCTGGAACACAAATGTTCTAATGGGAGCTGTGCTGCACATAATATGACCATGAAGTGAAGTTGAAGATGGAAGCTACAAATGGTTGAAAAGCAAGAGGCACCTTGAACACTGATGATATAAAGGAATCATCATGCCAGTCCATCTTCTTTAACCCACTATTTTCAGATCTGTTAGTTGCTGCCAAATACCATTCTTTTTTTTGGTGGTATTAGGGTTTGAACTCAGGACCTCACACCTGCTAGGCAGGTGCTCTACCACTTGTGTCACTTTGCCAGCCCTTTTTTGTATTGGATATTTTCAAGATAGGGTCTCTCAAACTATCGACATAGGCTGGCCTTGAACCGGAGTCCTCCTGATCTCTGCCTCTGGAGTAGCTAGGATTATAGGTATGAGCTACCAGCACAGGCAGATGTGTTACTGTTAATTTACATAACAATTAAAAATAAGGAAAATGATGTTCAGAGGTTATAACTTCCTCAGGGTCACAGGGCTGGTGAGTGGTAGGATTAAACTCCAAGTACATTTGGCTCTTACACTGCTCTTTCCAATATTAGCTTTGCTACCTACTATCATAGCCACACATGTGCATTGACATACCAAAGTAAACCATAACCAGAATACTCACTTTCCAAATACTGTGTATTTCATGTCCAAATGTGGCTGCTTGCCATAGGTGATGAAGAACTGAGACCCATTGGTGTTTGGGCCATTATTAGCCATAGATACGACACCTCTAACATTGTGCTGAAAAACACAGACCAAAGCATCAACCTAACTATGATTTTTAACTGTGTATTCCAAACACAGGCTTGAAATAATACATGCACTCTTTACCTTCCCAATGTTTAAGGGACCAAAAAACATTTAATTAGCTTCTCTGGAAATAGGGATGTAGCTCAGAAGTAGAGCGCTTGCCTAGCATATGAAAGTCCTGGGTTTGAGTCCCTGCACCAGAAAATATAAAGGTGACTAGCTTCTCTCTGTTAAGATTAATTTAAATGTTCAGTTTCTGTATTATCTGAAAAACTTGCATGTAAATTGTTTACAACTCAAATAATAGTCTACAAATAATTTCATTTTAATTTTGGAGAAATACAGCCACAAACACTGTTGACAATACCAATGTATAATAGAAATAATCCTTACATTTATATTAAGGAATAGTATGCTGGCATGAAATGATCAGTCAACAAAACCAAAATCCCCATAATCTCTTCTCACATACTGGGCTCTCGCTAGTTTCTTTATCTGTAAAACAAGGGAGGTCAGACTATTTCAAGAGTCTATTCAGAATTCAGATGCTTACAAGGGTCACGTAGTTAGTAAATTGACAACTGAATAGAATATAAACACTGGGCAGAGATGGGGTCTTGTCTAATAACATTTAAACATTTTTTTTTGGGTAGGGAGGTTCTGGAGTTTGAACTCATGGCTTCATACTTGCAAAGCAGGTGCTCTACTGCTTGAGCCCACACCTCCAGTCCATTTTGCTCTTGACATTTTAGAGATGAGTTCTGACAAACTCTTCACCCAGGCTGGCCTTGAACTTTGATCTTCCTAATCTCAACCTCCCAAGTAGCAAGGATTCCAGGCAGGAGCCTCTGACGCCCAGCTAAAACATTTTTTTCTTAACTGATGGCCACAGAGAAAGCACCTGTGAGTCTTTCATTCATGTGCAGTCAATTTATAACCCCAAGACTGGAAAATCTAAAGAAAGGTCTTATCTACTCTAATATTATGACACTATTTATAAGGAGCTGGGTCCAGGAATCAAAAGCACCTTACTGCAAAGACTAAAGACATGACTGAACTATGCTATAGGGATGTGCCCAAATTTAAAAAACAAAAATCACACTACAAGTAACTCTACTGATTAGTCTAGCATTAGCTGTTCATCAGGTGCCACTAATTAGACAAGCTATACAGGTACAGCTCCATCAAAATACTAATGCTTTACCTCCCTAAAAGAATACTAGCTGGGTGTGGTAGGGCAAGCCTGTAATTCCAGCACTTGGGAGACTGATAAAGGAGGATCAAGAGTTTGAGGTCAGCCAGGGCTACCCTGTCTCAAAAAAAAAAAAAAAAGAGCTGGGTGCTAGTGGCTCTCATCTGTAATCCTAGCTACTCAGGAGGAAGAGATCAGGAGGATCATTGTTCAAAGCCAGTCCCAGGCAAATAGCTTGAGAGACCCTATCTTGAGAAAATGCATCACAAAAAAGGGCTGGTGGAGTGGCACCAAGTGGTAGAGCACCTGCCTGATAGGCATGAGGTCCTGAGTTCAAACCTCAGTATTGCCAAAAACTTTTTAAAAATGAAATTAACAAATGGCGACTGCCAATCAAATGTAATATTCAATACAAAAACAAAAATACATGTACTGGGCTGGCAGAATAGCTCAAGTGGTAGAGTGCCTGCCTAGCAAGCCTGAAGTCTTGAGTTCAAACCCCAGAACTAAGGAACAAAAAACAAAAAAAAAATGTATGTATCATTTGCAACTTAATAAAATAAGCAGCCTCTAAAATATTTCCCAGCTTTTTCCCCCAGCTTTAAGAGCTAACATTTATCAAACTGCTGCATATGTTCCTGTCCATCTATTACCTCATCCTCCCTGAAAGGTAAATTTATTCCTGCCTAGAAATGAATTGTTTCCTTTGACTAGTTTCTGAACTCTAGAAAATTGTACACAATTCTAGTCTTCTTTTACACTTAATAATGTTATATTTCTAGGATTCATTCATGTATATCTATTTTTGTGGATTTTTATTTCACTATTGAATATACTAAAATGTATCCATTCTATAATCAATAGACATGTGAGTTGTTTCTAGAACTTCGCTGTTACAAATAGTGCATTAGTATAACTTCTGCACTTCTCTTGGTACAAGCATACAAGAGTTTCTCTTGGGTAAACACCTAGGAATGGTCTTGCTAGGTCAGAGTATATGTGGACACTCAAGAGCTATTCTCAACTCTGGTGTGCAAGATAAGGGTTCTTAACCCTAGCTGCAAAGGAATCACTGAGAACCTTAAAATGTAGTCAAACTGTTAGCCAGTCCTATCAGACAGCTCTATTTTTAGAGGGGTAAGGCCTTAATCTTTTATACTTTTAAACTTCCACAGGCTGTCACAGCTGATCACTGGCTTTCAACTGGTATATAGAAGCAGTCATTAAGTAAAGTATAAAAACTGTTTAGCTTCCAATTCAAGACAAGGTCAACTTTTGAAAAAAAATTTCACTACTCAACACCAACTGTTCTAACAAAACAATATATATTTTCATACAACTGAAAATCAAAAAAAAAGAACGTTTTTACTCTCATCAGCTAAACAGTGCAATGAAAAATTTCCTAATTTTTATGGATATAGTTTAATGTAACTGAAATACTATATACTAAACTGTATACTCTGATTGAGAATTTATTACTCTTTCCCCCCCATGTGTATGGTCTTGGGGATTGAACTCAGGTCAAGTGGTTGCTAGGGAAGCACATGCCTTCAGTCCTTTTGCTTTTAGTTTGTTTTTCAGATACGGTGTTGCACTAACTTTGCTCAGACTGACCTCAAACTGCAATCTTTCTTTCTCTGAAGGTGTTCACAACCATGTCTGGCCTGTTGATATATTTTTGGTGGGACGAGGGTTTGAATTCAGGGTCTTATACTCCCAAACACTGTACAACTTGAGCCATACCTCTAGTCCATTTTGCAGTGGTTATTTTGGAGATGGAGTTCTCAAGAACTATTTGCCCAGGCTGGCCTCAAACCATGATCATCCCAATACTAGCCTCCTAAGTAAATAAGATTCAGGGGTTAGTCACTAGTGCCTGGCTCTGTTTTTGCGATTTTTTTAAAGACAGGGTCTAGGTCACTTTTGGCAGGGCTAGTCTTAGCAGTTTCCTCTTGTCTCTGTCTCCCAAGTAGCTGGGATTACAGATGAGAACCACCATGCCTGGCTTTTTATCTTTATTTTCTTAAAAAACATTTTAATTAGCATATATTAGCTACATTTATCTTCATTTTCTAAACACTAAAGTTACCAAAGTTTGAAAGTCCAAACAATAAATTGTTAACTGAAGAAGTGAAAGAATCTTTTAGGATTGGCAAGCACTAGTTTTTCTTCCTTCCCCCCTGCCTGCTTTTTTTTTTTGGGTGGTACTAGGATTTGAACTGAAGACCTTGTGGTTGCTAGGCAGGTGCTCTACCATGTGAACCATGCCCCCAGCCCTTTTGTGTTTTACCTTTTTTTTAGGTAGGGTCTTGCGATTTTGCCTGAGGCAGGCATCAGACTACAATTCTCCTACCTACAGCTTCTAGCGTGGCTGGAACTCAGCTTGTGATTGAGATGAAGTCTTACAACTTTTTTTGCCCTGGCTGGCCTTGAACCACAATCCTCTGGATCTGTGCCTCCCAAGTAGCTGGGCTTACAGGCTAGTTTTTCAGTTTTAGAAAAATAACTGATTCTCTTAATTTTTTGAGACAGGGTTTCGCCATGGAACCCAGGCTGGCCTTGAGTTTACTATGAACCCCTGATTGGCCGCAACCTTGTGATCCTCCTGCTTCAGACTCCTGAGTGCTAAGATTACAGACACATACTACTACAGCCAGCTTTAGTAACTGCTTCTTGTTAAGTCCTGAGCCTATGGAGTTTTCTTGGGAAGTTATTTTTGTCTGTGTGTGTGTGCTAGGGTTTGAACTCAGGACTTCACACTTGCACACTTGTTAGGCAGGCACTCTACTACTTGAGTCACGCCTCCACCCCAGTAAATGATTCTTTATATGCATTTCTAGACAAGATCTACCACAAGTATTAAGTTAATAGAGGAATGTTCAAAATCTAGTAAGAGATCCCAAAAGTTGGGAATTAATAATATATTGCCAATAGGAGGTAGTCCTTCCGTCCTCACCTCTCAAAGAAGGCCAGTGATTCTGTCATTCAACATGAACTTTAGGTAAGACATTAAGCCCCTCTGGCATATTACTAAGCATTTCAGGTTAAGACTTAAAGATGAACTCACTAGTATCAATATCCAGGTGCCAATGAGACACCAGTACGTATATCAGGTTAGAACTGCCATTTATATTGTCTCCCTGATATCATTTTTTGAGTGCAAAAACACTATGAAAAAGTATAATCATTTAGTAGTGATGTGAACTTGTGTTACTAAAACATTCATTGAAGTTTCCAAGTATAATCAGACATGAGAAAATAAAATTCTGAAGCCCTGGGATATACCTTAAGATATTCACTGTATTCATCCTCAAACTTCTTGCCCCAGATACTGTTACCTCCTCTTCCAGTACCTGTAGTATAAGACAAGCAAATCAAAAGAAGAATCTAATTAAAGTTGAAAAATGGTCCAATTTCTAAAACTTAAGGGCTACCTAATGCAGTTCAAACCACAACTATTTGTTTTTTTATTTTCTGGTTACGGAGTTTGAACTCAGGTGCTCATGCATGCTAGGCTCTACCACTTGAACCACTTTACCAGCCCTTTTTTGTGCGGGGTATTTTTGAGATAGGGTCTCATGAACTATTATTTACCTGGGCTGGCTTCAAACCACGATTCTACTGATATTTGGCTCCTGAGTAGCTAGAATTACAGGCATGACCCACCTGTGCCCAGCTGATTATTTACTTAATTTATTGTAGGCTAGAGCCATGACTCAAACAGTAGAGAGCCTACCTTGTAAATCTGAAGCCCTGAGCTCAAATTTGTTTACAATAAACAAACAAATAAATAAAGTATAGTAGTTCTCAAACCTAGGCATAACTCATACATATCCTCTGTACCTGACCTAACTTTTAAATACAAATATGGCCTCTGGTACCTGACCAAATTTAATTATAAAAATTGAAAAATAAAATATCTTCACAAAAAAGGAAAACCCTCCTTATTAATATTGCTTACATTTTATGGGTAGGTGCTAATAGCTTCCTACCCATAAAATAGTTTTTCTTGCTATTGTATGGTAGACTTGTTATAAAGACCCTACATGCTTTTTTTTTTCAATGCTTTTACCCTCTTCATTCATACTATGCTTCAAACTTCATTATTTTAGTTAATGGAAAACTTACCGGTTGGATCTCCTGTCTGAACCATGAAACCCTTGATATTTCTATGAAATATACAGCCATTGTAGTAATTACTGGCACAAAGAGCCAAGAAGTTCTAAAGAGAGTAAAAATGGTAACTGAGAAATGAGAAGGCAGAAACACACTTAAGATAATGAAACAAACATACTTACTGAGCACTACAGCAATATTTTATTCTTTGATTCAAATGGGTTTGAACTCAGGGTTTCATGCTTGTAAAGCAGGCACTCTACTGCTTGAGCCTTATCTCTAGTCCATTTTGCTCTGGTTATTTTTTGGAGTTCGGGGTCTAGCAAACTATTTGCCTGGGCTGGCATCCTCCCAAGTAGCTAGGATTGTAGGCGTGAGCCACAATATGAAATGCCTGGCAGCCACACATTAAATGACTTTCAGGCATTATTTTAGATAATGCCACTTCCCTGCTTTGATAGCGTCCTTCTGCTCTTAGAATAAAATACAAAGTCTTCAGCAGAGCCTAACAAGCCCCATTTGACCATGGCCCCCTCTATATCTCACATGATAATGATCCCTTCTCTCTTGCTTACTATGTTGACCTTATTAGCATTTAAACAATTCATCCAAAGAGGGGAGGTTTTCCTAGCTTGGGACATTTGTAGCAGTTATTTCCATACCTGGAATGTCCTTTTTATATCTCTTTCATGGAGATGCTTTCAACTGTCTGTATTCAGTTTAAGTATTACTTTTTGGGGTAGGTCTAGTCTCACCTTCTTTTAAGTAGCTACTTTTCTGTTATCCTCTATCTCAACACTTTCTATCCTTCTAAGTATTACCATCTTTCAGAATTTATTTGATTTTCTGTTCCTGCCTATTTTCCCAGCTAGAATACTAGTGGTAAAAAACAAGGAATATCTCTTGCTCCTCGCTCTTCCCCACACCCTGGCAAGATAGCCTTTCACAAACAATTAAGTGAATAAATATGTACAGCTGACTCTTCTTTTTCTATCCTTGTCATTTCACCAGATGAAATACTTACATAACAGTTCTCTTATCTAATATCCTAATGATTACATTTTCTGTAGAAATGAGCCAAAGAAGATACTGGACACTCTATAGTTACAGGAAATATATCTACCTTCTCTTTGATCCACCTTTGACATCAGGAAAGGTAGAAATTAGACCTGAAATTATGATAACTAGTTTTGCCTGACAATGGTTTTACAGACTGGTTGTTTTTTAAATTTGATGATTCAATTTCAAAATGGTTATTGTGTAACATTAATTGATTTTTAATCTGTAACTGCTGGTACTCACCTCACATGTTTTAGGTGTCCTCTCACAAAATATTTCTATTTTAATATCACCTACATCTGTGTGCAGTGTCACAGACTAAAAAGGAAAGAGAATATGATAACAAATGTGATTTCTTTCAGGTACTGTGTTACTTCTCTGACTGGATATTCAAAATGACAGTCTGACTAAAGACAAAATACTTCACTGTCTGTCACTGTATCTAAAGGCCAGAAAGTTTTTGGTCTTGTTGGAGAAAGCATTCAAGGACAAAGAGGAGACATAAGCAGGAGCAATTTTATTAATAAAAAGCAAAATGACAGCCAGGCACCTATGGCTCACACCTATAATCCTAGGTACTTGAGAGGCAGACATCAAGAGGATTGTGGTTTGAAGTCAGCCTAGGCAAATAGTTTATGAGACCCTATCTCAAAAATACTCAACACAAAAATGACTGGAGGAGTGGCTCAAGTGGCAGAGTGCTTGCCTATCAAGTGTGAGTCCCTCAGTTCAAACCTCTATACTGTTACAAAAAAAAAAAAAACCTCACTTTGTGGTAATGCCAAGAGTCTCGTTTAGCCAGGCTCGGTGGCTCACATCTGTATCTAGCAATTTAAAAGAATTCTACACTTACCATTGTTCTTCTTGATGGTTTCAGGAATACTATTTAAATTCTCAGAGCTTTACAGAGAGAAGTTTGAAAATAAGTTTCTATTCCTGAAAGAAAAAAGGATTAACTCATTTTACCTGTCCTCGTCTTTACTTTTTATCTAAAAGAAAAAGCCTCCAATAGCATCCTTCGCGTAATAAAAAGTTTGATTTGAGGGCTGGTGGAGTGGCTCAAGCGGTAAGGGCGCCTGCCTAGCCAGCGTGAGGCCCTGAGCTGAAACCCCAGCTCTGCAAAAACAACAACAAAGAAAAAGTCTGATTGTAGAAGTGATGAGATTCTACCTAACTCAAGCCTTCCCAGCCTCCTACTCCGCCCTCACTTTTCTTCAAGCCCCTCTTTAAAAGCCCAGCGCCCCGACCATCCTGTAAGCATCGGGTGGCCGCTTCACTGGGAACGCCGACACGTGAACATCTGTACTGGCTAGTGCCCGCACGTCCAAATTTCTTCAGAGGTCAGGTCTTCCTGACCCAACAACCCTGTTCAAGACTGCTTTAAACCTAGGACCCACCCCATTTCCTTTCCCCACTGCTCTGAAAATCACTATACTACATACTTTCCTTACTTATTTTTACGTTCCAGCAACACCCTCGGCGACTAGAATGTTCAGTATCCCAAGAACTGAAACAGCGATAACACAGAAATCAGCAAACACCAAATAAGTGAACGAAAGACTAAATAATGTTACTACACCGTTACCAACTTCATTTACACAGCCGCTGCACATTTATTGGTTCGAAATTGTAGTTTCTTTGGAGCACCGGAAGTCGGGTGCGGGACCCATTACAGAGAACACTTCTCACTTCCTCCTCTCCGTTTCCCTTCTCTCCTATAGCTGACCCAAACGACCAGAACTAGGGGGACAATTATCAGTTATCCTCCACCCCTAGAAATCTAGCAGTTAAAGGGAGATCTGTTAATAATTACACTAGGACAAGAACTGTAACCCGTACTACCTGGGCAACCTCAGGCAGTGCTGTGGAGTCGGATATAAAATGAGCAGGACCACTTCCGCCCATTCTCCCGCCACCAACCTATTTCCTCCACGCCCGGAAGTGACGCGCGAGGGTTTCCGGGACTGGTGAGTAGTGGGCGATTTAAAGACCCGTGAGGGTGGTGGTGCCTTTTAAAAAGTCGCAGGTTCTGGTCTGGGCCAGCCACGATTGTCGTGAGGAGGAGGCGGTGCTACAGAGAAAGGGCAGAAAAGGAGATTGGAGCAGAAAACTGCCCTGCCGCAGGGGCTTGCTGGCTGTGCACCTGGCTCTTCACTGTCCTCGGAATGGCCTCAGGTGGCGCTGAAATGAAAGTAGACAGATGAAACGTAGAGCACATTACAAGTTGTAAAGAGAGCCCTATTGCTATCACTTAACCATACCAAACATTACTATAGGCTAGGGATCGTTTCCTGCTTTATGTTTGTCTCGCGACATTATGAGCTGGGCATTATTTCCGCTCTTGAGGGGCGGCAACTTTAGCTGTTAGGTAATTTGCCCGAGTTACGTTCCTGGGCTATGGGCTTCAGTCTGGCTTGAGTCCGTGCTCTAAAACTGCCATGCTCTGCACCCTCTCCTTGTTGTTAACTGTGCCCGCAAGTTACGAAGTCTCCTAGCTTCCTAATCTGTCATACGGGGTGCTCTAGTATGTTACTTCCAAGGACTGTTTTCGGTTGCAACTCTAGGTAACTCCACCAGGGCTTCCTCTGTCCAAGTTCCACATTTAGAATACTCTGGAGAGTGGCGTCGGGATCTGGAATTGGAGAGTAGGAGTTCTATCAAGACCTCAGTGATTTTCGGGCGCCCCCGTCCCTTCAAATAATAAGCGTCCACGTCTTATTATTTCTTGCTGATGTTTTGAGATGGGACCTTGAGACTGACCTTGAACCCACAGTCTTCCTGCCTCAGTCCCAGGAGTTCTGGAATTACTGACAAGCCCCCCTCACCCCCACACACACCCGGTTTGGCTATGCTTCCTTGTTAATATTTTTGTATTCTTTCAAATACTTTTTTAACATTTACTACTTTTGTAATTTTCATATTTTAGAGTCAATAATTTCTAGCTCCCCATTGTTCTCTGCAGTCTTGATGTGTACATGTGTACCATTTCCTGTGTTTTGATTTCAGACACTTGAGTGCTACCTGATTTCTGTATGTTACCATCTTCTGTACACCTGATCCCCACAACAGTCCGGCTTGTCCAGTCCTGGATCTACAATTCTTCCCGTTCCTTCATGGATTTGAAGTCTCTCCTTTCCTCCCTGAGTGACTTTGCATCCCTCTCATTTGCTGAGAGTTGGGACAATGTTGGATTACTGGTGGAACCAAGCCCACCACATCCTGTCAACACACTCTTCCTGACCAATGACTTGACTGAAGAGGTAATGGAGGAGGCGCTGCAAAAAAAGGCAGATCTCATTCTCTCCTACCATCCACCTATTTTCCAGCCCATGAAGCACATAACATGGAAAACCTGGAGGGAGCGCCTGGTAATTCGGGCTCTGGAGAACAGAGTTGGCATTTACTCTCCTCATACAGCCTATGACGCTGCTCCACAGGGAGTCAACAACTGGTTGGCCAAAGGGCTTGGTGAGATGCCTCTTGGTTTCTTTATATTTAATATTTTCCCTACAAATACTTTGAAATTTTAGAACGTCTTTCCAGTAAAGTTTTCTTTTTTGGTGGTGGTACTGGGGTTTGAGCTCAGCCTTGCCTTTGTTAGGCAGGCGCTCTACCACTTGAGCCATTTGGACAGCCCTCCAGTAAAGTTTGAACTGTTGTAGGGGTAAGGGGGATTATTTCTATTTTTATATACTATATTTTAAAATAATGTTGCTGAAGTCTGGCAATTAAATTGCATTTGAAAAATATAAGCCAGATGTGGTGGTGCATGCCTGTAACTCCAGTGCTCACCTGTAATCCCAGCACTCAGGTGACTGTAACAAGAAGTCTAGCCTGGGCTTCATACCAGACCCTGTCTCAAAAAAAGAAAAAGAAAAAGGAAAAAGCTAATAAAACTTTTTTCTTTTTTTTTTGGTGGCACTGTTGTTTGAACTCGGGTTCAAGCTCGCAAAGCAAGCACTATACATCTTGGGCCATGCCTCCAGTCCATTTTACTCTGGTTATTTTGAATACTTTATTTATTTTTGGCAGCACTAGGGTTTGAACTCAGGGTATCACGCTTGGTAGGGAGGCACTCTTACTGCTTGAGCCACTCTACCATCCTTGCTCTGGTTATTTTGGAGTCTCACAAACTGTTTGCTTGAGCTGAAGTATGTTAGTTAAACAGACACCAAGATGTTTGTGTGTGTAGTTTTTTGTTTTCTTTTTTAAACAGGGTCTCATTATGTAGTTGAGATTCCCTTGCCTTAGCCTCCTGAGTGCTGGCATTACAGGTATATCCCACCAGACCCCAGGTGACATCAACATTTTATTGAGTGTTTCTTATACCCAACACAATGAATGAATGGGTTTTAGCTTTATTTTAGTAAGCCATTTTAATCTAAAGCTTTTGTGATGATATGATCTCTATTAATGTGGTCAACAAATTATGAGCGTTTGTATTTGAACTGGGGTTTACATGGATAGATTTATCAAGCAGTAGACAGTCTTATATATCATCTAAAAAATTAATGAGGCAGTCTTTCTTGTCCAGTTTTTCTGAATTTAAGAGTCTTCTGGAAAATAATTCTGAAAATGAGTTAATTTTTTTGGTAGTACTAGGATTTTGAGCTTAAGGCCTTTTGCTTGCTAGGCAGGTACTCTTACTGCTTGACCACACCTCCAGCCCTTTTCACTTTAGTCATTTTTCAAATAGGGTTTCTCTTTTGCCTGAGTAGGCCTAGACTGCAATCCTCCTATTTACACTTACTCTGTAGCTGGAATGACTGGTGTACCATACCACCACTCCCAGCTTTTATTAGTTGAGCTAGGGGTCTAGAGAATTTTTTGCCTAGCATGGCTACACCTTAATTCTGTTCTCTGCCTCTTGAGTAGCTTGCATTACAGGTGTGAACCAGTCTGAAAATGAATTTGATTTTGTATTTCTTTATCAAATACCTAAATTGTGGGGACTGGTGATGAACACTGAGGGATATGTATGTTTGTGTATATGAAAATGAATTTTAAAAATACTTCTTATAAATTTTGCCCATATTAATTTATCTTTTTAATCTTAAAACACTACTAAAACTTCCATTTCTCCACAATTTTTCTTCAGGAGCTTGCACCTCCAGGCCCATACATCCTTCAAAAGCTCCCAGCTACCCTACACAAGGAACTCACCGAGTAGAATTCAATGTTAACCACACGCAAGACTTGGACAAAGTCATGTCTGCTGTGAAAGGAATTGGAGATGGAGATGTTTCTGTCACTTCTTTTTCTGTTAGGTACAATATACTTTCTTTCTCTCTTTTTTTTTTTTTTTTTGTCTGTAGTGGGGTTTGAACTCAGGGCCTTGTGCTTGCTAGTAGGCAGGTGTTCTACCACTCAAGCCATGCCCCAGCCCTACTTTTCTCTCTTTGATGTGTTTTTATTTGTAAGGATATTCCATACTTCCAATAAATAGCAATCATTTTCTGTGTGAGAAGGATACTATATAATTTACATATAGTATTTCTAATCATCCTGGTAATGTTGAATCCACCTTAATTATTTTTTTTTTTTGAATATACCTTAAATCATTCCACCAGCCCTTTTTTTTCTTTCTTTTTTTTTTTTGCTTTTTGGTGGGCCTGGGGCTTGAACTCTGGCCTTCATGCTTGCAAAGCAGACATTCTACCACCTGAGCCACACCTCCAGCCCTCCCTGGTAATGTTGAAAAGTAGTTGTTTTTAGTTTAGAGATTGCAAACAGATCCTAGTGGCAGTGCTTACTTTTGTCAGTTCTAGCAAATCAGTGATTCCCAAGCACTTTAGAGAAAAAATACATTTAGGTGCCTCTTACAAAGTTATTTAGTTATCTAGGGCAGAGATAGGAGATTTTCCTTTATACTAATTAAACCCAATACCCATGGAAGCATCAGAAAAGATCAGATAGGGATTGGGGTGTAGCTCAGTGGTAGAGTGCTTGCCTAGCATGTGTAAGGTCCTGAGTTTGATTCCCAACAGCACCAAAAAAAATAGAGAAAAGGTAAAATATACAAAATTAAGTTTGACAATTGTTTTAAACACAAAGATAAAGTGACTTTTTATTAAAATGGAAATATATATGGGGCTACACCAAAAAGCTATCCCTTTGATGAGTGTTTTCTTTGTCTTGGTATAGTTTGAGGTGGTCTCACTATGTAGCCAAGGATGGCCTTAAACACTTGGTCTTGCCAGATGCCTGTGGCCCATGCCTGTAATCCTAGCTACTCAGAAAGCAGAGATCAGGAGGATCACAGTTCAAAGCCAATCCAGGCAAATAGTTCGTGAGACCCTATCTTGAAAAAAACCCTTCACAAAAATAGGGTTGGTGGAGTGGCTCAAGGTGAAGGTCCTGAGTTCAAGCCCCAGTACCACAAAAAATATAAAAAAACCTCTTGATCGTCTTGCCTCAACCTCTCCAGAACTGGAATTACAGACATGTACTGCCATGCCTGGTTGGTAAGTGCTTTTTAAGTATAAATTTCTTTTCTTTTTTGGCAGTACTGTAGTTAGAACTCAGGGCCCTGCACTTGCAAGGTAGGCACTCTACTACTTGAACCACTCTGCCAGCACTGTGAATTTCTTAATGATAAAACATTGCAGAGCCAGGCACTGGTGTCTCATGGCTGTAATCCTAGCTACTCAGGAGGCAGAGATCAGAAGGCTCGAGGTTCAAAGCCTGCCCTGACAAATAGTTTGTGAGACCCTATCTCAAAAAAACCCATCACAAAAAAAACAAAAGGCTGGTGGAGTGCCTCAAGGTGTAGGCCCTGAGTTCAAACTCCAGTGCTGCAAAAAGAAAAAACATTGTAGATATCCTGGAATAGTTTGGGAGCCTTTCAAGAATCTCAAGAAAAGTCATTCAGTGGGGCTTTGAATTTTTTTTTTTTTTTTTTGAAGATACTAGAGTTTGAACTCAGGGCTTTGAGCTTATAAAGCAAGGTGCTCTGCTCCTTAAGCTCCATTTTGCTCTGGTTATTTTGGAGATGGCAAAGTCTTAAGAAATATGTGCCTGGACTGGTCTTGAACCATGACCCTCCTTATCTCAGCCTTCCAAAGAGCCAGTGCTTGGCTGAACAGCTTTTTTTTAAATCATGGAAATCTGAAGTCATATGAAAATGCTGTAATTAAAAGAAAAACTAGGGTGTAGCTCAGTGGTAGAACACTTTCCTGCATGCCCAAGGGAGCCCTTGGTTCCATCCCCAGCATCACAAAATGAAAAGAAAAATGAAAAAAAGTGCAGGATGCTCATACCTGTAATCCTAGCTATTCTGGAGGCAGAGATCAGAAGGATCTCGGTTCAAACCCAGCCCGGGCAAATGGTTTGAGAGACCCTATTTTGAAAAAAATCTCATCACCAGAAAGGTCTGGTAGAGTGGCTCAAGGTGTAGGCCCTGAATTCAAGCCTCAGTACCACAAAAAAAAAAGGGGTTGGGGGGAGGGACTATAAAGCATAAAAAAATGTAGCCAATATTTTATTGTCTGTATTGCTTCTATTCAATCCCAGTTTTCCCCAATCATCAAATCGTCTTTTTTTCTCTTGTTTACAAAGAAGTAGGTATTTTGGGTGGGGGGGAAGGAGGAGGGGAACAGCATCTCTCTGTGTAGCCCAGGCTGACCTTGAACTTGAGATCCACCTGCCTGAGCTGGGGTGTGGCTCAAGTGGTAGAGTGCCTGCCTAGCAAGTGCAAGGCCCTGAGTTCAAATCCCAGTACCGCAAAAAACAAGAAGAGAAAGAGATCCACCTGCCTCAGCTTCTTGAGTTGTGCCTATACTACTACACTTGGCTGAAAAGTGGGTGTCTTTGCAAACACACATAAGTACATAAATATACACGTTATTTTCTTAATTAAATGGTATGCTGTATTTGCCTTTCTTAACAGAATGTCTTAGAGATTTTTCCATTTGAGTTTACTATATTTCATTCTTTTCAATTACTCTGTAGTATTTATTATTGTACCTGTATGCTTTTTCTGCTGATAAACTTTTTAGTTCTATTCAGTTTTTCTGTATTAGAGATTACATCTAGGTTTTACCATTAGGTTGGGGCCCAGGCTTTGTTTTTCTTTCTTTTGTTACTAGGGGTTTTTTTTTTTTTTTTTTTTTGGTAGTACTTGGGTTTGAACCTCAGGGCTTTGTGCCTGAGCCATGCTTCTAATACATTTTGCTCTGGTTATTTTAGAGATGGGGGTCTCACAATCTATTTAACAGGACTGGCCTCAAACAATGATCCTCTTGATTTCAGCCTCCCAAGTAGCTATGATTATAGGTATGAATGACCAGTGCCTGGTGACAACTTTCTTGACACCAGCTTTTTTGGAGTGGTTCTAGGGCATTGCTTCTCAGAAGGTGATGCAGGATCTCTCTATCAGTGTTAATGGACCACTCATTAAAAAATGCAGACTTTTTGGCTTCCTTCCCACATCTATGTAGTTAGATTGAGATTTGCCTGAGACTATCTAGATTTTCATGTTCAGCGACAGTTGATAATTATCCTGTCTGAGGCTTTAAAAAAAAAATTCACTTTCCTTCAGCCCCATTCATAGGTGTTCAGTTTTTATTGGATCTATGGAAGGGATCAGCAGCTGCCACTTATTTTTTTTTTTTTGGTGGTACCAGGAATTTGAACTCAGGGCTTTGCACTTGCAAGGCAAGCATTTTAACACTTGAGCCACTCCCCAACCTCTAGCAGCTTCCATTTTAAGAAGCTAATACATGCTGGGCACCAGTGGCTCACGCTTATAATCCTGGCTACTTGAGAGGCTGAGATTGGGAGGATCAAGATTCAAGGCCAGCCCAGGCAAATAGTTCACAAGACCCCATCTCCAAAAATAATCAGAGGAAAATTAACTGGAGATGTCACTCGATTGGTAGAGCACCTGCTTTGCAAGCAGGAAGCCCTGAGATCAAATCCCAGTCACCCCACCACCAAAAAAAAAAAGCTAATTGAGTAGAATCTTCCAGGGTGATTCTGATGCATGCTATAGTTTGAGAAACACTTCTTGAAAATGTATTGGTTTGGGATTAAATGAATTCTGTTGGTTAAATCCTTAGTTCCATATAAATGGAACAGCAGATTTGTAAACTGGTTTATTTAAAATACATTTTGATTGTAATTATTCTAAACAATAAATTTTTTTTTTTTCTCTAGGATTGATGATGAGGAACACGTACGGGTCAGTGTGAATTGTACTCAGAAGGCTTTGATGAAGGTTGTGGCTTTTCTGTCTCAGAACAGACAACTTTATCAGAAGACTGAAATTCTGTCCCTGGAGAAGGTAATACAAATATTTTATATTCTATCTTATATTGTGCATTTTGATACTTTCTTAGAATTATAATTGATAGACAAACAACTGCACATATTTAATGTGTACAGTTTGGTAAGTTCCTTTACTCTGTATTTTTATTAAGCAAATTTGTTTGTAAACTGTTAGATCAAGAGGGCATTAACTATTAACTAAACCAGTACAAGTGAGAGGGATGGGGAGTGTAGCTCAGTTGTAGAGCACTTGCCTAGCATGTGTAAAGCCTGGGTTCCATCCCCAGCACCATAAATAAACCCAAAAAGTACAAATCAGTGATGAATATGTAACATACCCTGGAAAGTATATTGAGAAAGAGAGAGATATTCCAGTAATAAGAAAATGTTAGAATTTCTTCATGGTTAGAAATTAGACTTGGTTAGAGGGTACCAGATTTAGTCTCTATATTACCCTCTGAGAAACCATTTCACTCACTCCTTTAACTTGATAGACAGTGTCTAATGATGATTCCTATATTTTTATTTTCTAGCTCAGAATGCTTTTTTTTCCCTTGGTTACTAGGGTTTGAACTCCGGGCCTTGTACTTGGTAGGCAGGTACTCTTACCATTTGAGCCACTCTGCCGGCCCCATGCTTTCTGGTTTTTCTGTAAGACCCAAGTCCATGTAGAACCTTCTTCAATTGTACTTCCTCATTAACCACCCTCCATCACCTCCCAGCATATTTGTCATTCCTTTGTGCTCCTATAACATTAGCACCTACTTTATATTTAAACACTTGTATTATGATTATTTATTTAAACATCCGCCTTTCTAGGAGGGTGTGAGCTCCTAAAAGCCAAAATGTTTTTGTCAGGTTTGCATCCCCAAACTTTAGCTTGAAGTTTGTTATAGTAACCTTATAGTATACATATTTTATTGACTTCAGCATTTAGTGTTTGTTTTTAGAACTGATAATGGATAGTATTTCTTACGTCTGTTTCTCTTCAGCCTTTGCTTCTACATACTGGAATGGGACGGCTATGCACACTGGATGAACCTGTCTCCCTAGCAACCATGATTGAGCGAATCAAAAGATACCTGAAACTGTCTCATATTCGCTTAGCTCTTGGGGTAGGGAAGACTTTAGGTAAATATGTCTTCTTCATTTTTCCAGTATACCTCTTGATAACCCTGGACAAAGATTAAGACTCTTGGTTTTATTAACATGAGTGATAGAGAGCATGTTAGCAGCTCATGTGAGATGATTGGTTTACTTTCTCCACCAGGGTGGGATAGGTTACACTGTGTAGTATATCTCTCTGGCTTAATCAATAAGATTCATTTCTTAGTCATACCATACTCATCTCAAGTCAGCAGGGTAAGTCTGCTTATTATAAACTGGTTACTGCTCCAGAAGGAATAAAAGGTTTTAAATCATTGGGTAAAAATTCTAGGCTGGAAATGAACACGTTACTTCTCCTCAACTCGTTGTCAGAATTAAACACATGATCCAGTACCCAGGGAAGGCATTTGATGAGAGCTGAAGTCATAGTTGCTGTAATGATACCATATAAAATTTTCATTTTACAAGACTGGTGATATTTTATAGGGAGGTATTACTAGATGATCTGATCCAGTGTAGTCTTGTAGCTACTGCCTTTTCCTGGTACTTTTGGGAATAGAAAGAATGAAGATAGATTTGTTGGACAGCTGCAGTGAGTGCAGCACTGGAATACATGTGTCCTAATTGTCTGAGCTTCCACGGCAGAATTAAGGGCACAGTGGTTCAGTGTGGATTCTGAAGTTAAACAACCTAGCTTCAAATTTATCTGTCCTGTTGTGTGGTTGTGACAAAGTATTAACCCTTCTGTGTCATGGTAACCTCACCTGCAAAAACTACATTAATAATAAAGTTAACTTATGGGAATGGTAATATAGTTCAGGTGACATGGCACATTGACCAGCATACTTTACAGTAAATGCTGGCTGCTGTTAGCTTTGGGGAGGTAGTCTCACTCACATTTTATACGTGAAAAATAGCGGTTCCGAAAGGCAAGTAACTTATCCAAAAGTCCATAGTTAAGTCAAAGAACTCATGGGAATTAGTTTCCAGACAAAATTGGTGGCAGAGCTGACATTTGGCTTTGATCCAGCTCCAAAGCCTCCCTTTAACATACCATGCTCTCTGCTTCACTGACTGCTAATACAAACCTAAATGCTAAATACTTGGATTTTGGTTTCACAGTTTCTATTATTTCACTTTTCAGTCTGCTCTTTGAGGATAAAAACTATTTAAAAATATGTGCCTTAGCACTCAAGAGGCTGAGGCAGAGAGATTGCAAGTTTGAGGCCAGCCCGGGCTACATAAAGAGCCCTGTCTAAAAAATTTTTTTAAAAAATATCATATCATATCCAATCACAGCATTGCTTTTTCTAACTTGCCCTTTTAGTTCCTTAGCTTTGTCATCTAAAAACAGAGATAGTACCTGTCTACCTCTTAACATTGTCTGAAGACCCAGGTGAGATCAGTTATAGCACTGTGATCAAGCTTAGAGCCTAACCATTAGTAGTATTCAGAGGTTTGTGGAACCACATCCAAAGAGATAATATCCTTGCCTTGGGTTCACTATGCAGTACCAAAGACAGATGTTTTCATGTTTTAAAAATTTTTTTTAGAGCTGGGTGTGGTAACACATGCCCATAATCCCAATACTTGGGAGGCTGAAGCAGGAAGATCTTGAGTTTGAGGCCAGTGTGGACTATATAATGAGACTCTGTCTCAAATTTTTTTTTATTTGTTTTGTTATTGTTGTTGGAATTGGGGTTTGAACTAAGGGCTTCATACTTGCCAGGCAGGTACTCTACCACTTTTGCCCAGGCAGACTTTAAACCTTGATCCTCCTGATCTCTTGTCTCCTAAGTAGCTCGGATAACAGGCACGAACCACAGGCACTTGGCTTTTTTCTTTAAAGTAGGTAAGCATAACTCATATACTGGTGATGAAACCTGGCATAAAATTTGCATTATATTTAGGGTTCTTGGTACAAATTGTAATATTAAACTGAAAAGGAATTATAAAACATTGGTTTCTTTTTTCATTTATCTTCAAGAGTCCAGCATCAAAGTTGTGGCCCTGTGCGCTGGTTCTGGGAGGAGCATTCTGCAAGGAGTAGAGGCTGACCTTTACCTCACAGGTAGTATAGCCTTTGCATCTCTTTCTTGACCTTGGTTTACTTTTTAAAAATTCAAAAATAGGAGATTTTAGGAGCGTGCCTGCCACACAGATGAGATCTGATCAATGTTTTTGTTTGTTTGTTTTACTTTTCTGCATGCATGACCCTGAACCTAGGGTCTCCTGCATGCTAGGCAAGCAGTCTTCCACTTAGCTACACCCCCAGCCCCTAATAAATGGTTTTTGAACTTGAACTAAATGAACTACATCAGAAGGGAAGAAATCATTTAATATTTAACGAGATTACCTCAAAAATTTATGTTTAGCATTTATGTAACCTACTTTTCTTCTCAAGTTTCATGTTAGTGAGATACTTTTTACCTTGTCACCTTGGTTAAAAAAAAATGACTCTTATTACTCAACCCTAAAGCCAGCCATTAATTCCTATTAGTTCAACCTCCAATATCTTTCTAGAAGGGTTGGCGGAATGGCTCAAGTGGTAGAGCGCCTGCCTGCCTAGCAAGTGTGAGGCCGAGTTCAAACCCCAGTAACACCACCAAAAAAACCCTGTTTCTAGAACCTGTCCCCTTACCTCTATCCAAGCATCATTTCTACCTGAAGTACTGTGTCATGTCTCTAATTTTGTCTTCCACGTGATTCCCCAAAATTAACTTTTTCTTTTTTGCAGTACTGGTATTTGAACTCAGGGCCTCATGCTTGCTAAGCATGTGCTCTACCACTTGAGCCATGTCCCCAGCCCTCAAAATTAACTTTTGAAAGTATAAATTTAATAATGTTACTGTGCTGGTTAAATAGCCATCAGTGATTTCCTTCATCTATCCTGGTGATGCCTGAGCCTTGCATCCTCTTTCATGTTTAAGCTGTTTTCTCTGGTTGCAGCACCTTTTCCTTGCCCCCTTTTTCGTACTTATAGTGATAATTTCATAGATCATCCACTTAGAAGATTTTTCCAACCCCATCAATGTCATTTCCCCTCTTTGCTTCTTGTCCCTTTGTTCTTGACTTCTGATGTGCATTTCTGTTGGACAGTGAATGATGATTTGTCTAAGAGTAGGAAAGCCTGTCCTTAGGCTTTCCACTCTGAGCTTGAGGACACAGCCTCAAAGATACTGGTTAATTTCTTTTTTCTTGCACTCAAAGCATTGTTATTATTACTGTTTTGTTTTTTAACTTTTTGGATGGTACTAGAGTTTGAACTCAAGGCTTTGTACCTGCTAGACAGCGCTCTATGCACTTGAAGCATTGTCATACTCAGAAATAAAGAGGTACAGCATCTAAGCAAGCCTGATGTAAATGCTCTGACCTAGTAAATTGAAAATGTACATTAACATTATCTGTCTTCTATTCCTTTGAAAATACGAGATTTTATTAGCCTTCAGATTTGTGGTATAGCGAAATAAACTTGCAACATATAAGCAGTTTGAATATTTTACAGCATGGCACACATCTATTTAAAAAATGAGTATTAGCAGGCTGGGGTATGGCAGAGCACTAGGCAGAAATGTACAAACCTTTGGTTCTCATCCCCAGCACCACAATAATAAATGAATAATACATTTTATTTAGAAGAAATCTCATACCTATAAAAATTGTAAGAACAGTGTAATGAATTCCTATGTGCCTTCACTTAGATTACTATTTTGCTATATTTGTACGTTGAATGTACATGTTGTGTGTGTGTGTGTGTATGTGTGTGTATCTAGTGTGAGTATCCTTTATCAGAATGCTTATCCCATATACTTGGGACCAGAAGTGTTTTGGGCTGGACACCAGTGGCCCATGCCTATAATCCTAGCTACTTGGAAGATAGAGATCTGGAGGATAGTGAGTCAAGACCACCCCAGTCAAAAAATTCATGAGACTCCACCTCAACCAGTACTTCATCATGATTGGCACATGCCTGTCATTCCAGCTATGGTGGGAAGCCTAAAATAGGATTGTGGTCGAGGCTAGCTTGCACAAAAAGTGAGACCCTATCTCAAAAATAACCAAAGATAAAAGAGCATGCATGATTCAAGTGGTAGAGCCCATGCCTAGCAAGTGTGAAGCCCTGAGTTCAAACCCAAGTACTGCAAAAAAAAAAAAGGTTTTGAATTTTTCATGTGCATAATTTTAGGGATGAAACTCAAACATAAAATAGAAATTCATTTATGTTTCATGTATGCCTTGAACACAGGGTCTAAAGGTAAGTTCATACATTATTTTTAGTGGTCTCAAGTGGTAGAACACCAAGCATGAGGCCTTGGGTACAGTCCGTAATACTACAAAAAGAGGAAAGGGAAAAAAAGAGAGAGAGAGATACTGGATTCACAAACTGTGTTTTTAAAAATTTTAAACATTAGAGTTTTTCCCAAATCCTTTCACAAAAGATAAGACCTCCTTTCACTAATAACTAAAGAATTTCTAAGCATTTTGCATTTGTCAGAGAAAAATACAGGTTGAACATCCCTAATCTGAAAATCCAAAATGCTCAAAATCTGATTTTTTTTTTTTCAGTACTGGGTTTTGAACTCAGCGCCTTGTACTTGCTAGGCATGTGCTCTACCACTTGATCCATTCCCTAGCCCTGTTTTCACTTATTTGAGTGTGAACCTTGTGATCTTCCCACCTCTGCCTGGGATTATAGGCTATGCCACCGTGCCCAATTTAAAATCTTAAACTTTTAAAGCAACATAGCTGTAAGTGGAAAATTCCACATTTGACCTCATGTTGGGTCATAGTCAAAATACTGTGTAAAATTACCTTTAATCCAGGAGGTAAATGTGAAACAAATGAATCTCATGTTTACATTTGGGTCTCATCCCAAAATATATCACTGTGTTCATGCAGGTACCTCTCCTTCCCCTCCCAAAAAAGATCCCAAACCCAAAACATTTCTGGTCCAAGCATTTTAGACAAAGGATATCCAACCTGTAGTTTTGCTGTTTTGTTTGCACTTCTGGGGATTGGACCCAGAGCCTTGTGCATGCTAGGCAAGTGATCTACCACTGAGCTACACCCTTAGCACCTATACTTTGTTGTTAGTCTAAAAATATCCTTAAATTCATTTCATCCTTATGAATAGACTAGGACTAATGCAGGTGTTTACAAAGCACAAAAGGGTCTTCTGGGAAGTATAAGCTAAGATTTCCTCCTGAGGTATTTATTACCTAAATAAGAAGGAAACACCCTGAAAGCCTTGCTTTTCTAGCAGTGGCCATTCATTTTATTTGAATGAATGTGTAGATCTGGTTCTTGCTGGATATGCTACTTGGGTTACTTGCTGCTGTGTTTAGATATGGCTTGTGGTTCACCCACAGCCCCAAAGTTTCATGGGTTAGGAATTTAGTCCCCAGGGTGGCACTGCTGGGAGGTGGTGAAATCTTTGGGAGGTGGGATCTAGTGGGAGGTCCTTGCATCAGTGTGGGCTTACCCTTGGAAGGTAATTCTTGTAAGAAAGTTGTTGTAAAAGGAGCAAGCTTGTGTATGTGAATGTAGCTCAGTGGTAGTGCATTTGGTAACTTGTATAAGGCCCTGGTTTGATCCTCTGCACAAAAAAAAAAAAAAAAAAAAAGAAAAGAAAACACAAGCCTTGTCCACTCCTGGTTTGCAAAACAATCACTTCTTGCTCCTGCATACACATCTGTATCTCTGCATTAAGGGCGTGCATCTAACGGTGGCCTTTGTCATAGAGCCTGTGCTGCACAGCTTGGACTTTTTTTTTTTTGCTGTGCTGGGCCAGGGGTTTGTGCATGTTAGACAGGCACCCTACCACTGAGCTCTCCCTCAGTCTTGGTTTGGCCTTTCAACTTCCCAAACTAAGCTAAATAAACTGGTAAGTAGCTTGTGTCAGGTATTTGGTAAGAGTGATGCAAAACAGACTAACACACTTGCCTTTGGTCTGCCCAGGGGAAGTAAATTGGAATTCTCAGTGAGTTGACCTCTTTTTTTACATTAGAAGACATGAATGAAAGCGGTACATGAGCTGGCAGCATGAGTCAAGTGGTACAGCGTCTGCCTAACAAGCACGAGGCCCTAAGTTCAAACACCAGTACTACCAAAAAAAAAAAAAAAAAAAAAAACCCCAACAGCTATATGCAGCTTTCTAGATTTATATGTAAAAATAGTTGTACTATATTACATTTCATACAGAATGCAAACTTGGTATTTTTGCTGTTGTGGCTCAGCATTCTACAGATTCCATGTCTTAATATTTTAAGTATTTATTTGCTCTTTCTTTTTTGGCAGGTGAAATGTCCCATCATGATGTTCTGGATGCTGCTTCCCAAGGAATAAATGTGATCCTTTGTGAACACAGCAACACTGAACGAGGCTTTCTCTCTGATCTTCAAGATATGCTGGATGCTCACTTGGAGAGTAAGATTAATATTATCCTGTCTGAGACAGACAGGGACCCTCTTCGTGTGATATAACACATACAAGAACATCAGGATAACACAAAGGACACACATACTTCGATCTGAACTCAAATGCGTAACATGAGTCACTGGTGTTGGCATCCTTACAACAGAAGTGTCTTAAAATGTATTATCATTTTTGGTTTGTTAATCTGGTTCACCAGATGTGCTTATAAGGTAAAAACTGTAATGTAACTAACATATTAAAGAACAAATATTCATTATAAACTCTAGGAAAATTTGACTAAAGTGTCAAATTTCTTGGGAAATAGATCAAGTAATTTCTTAAAGATGGGATGTGTCATTCTTGGTATCTCTGCCTTTGATCAGTTTAAAAACGCTTTAGAAACTTGGGTTTCGAGCTGGGTATGGTGGTATATATCTGTAATCCCAGCACTTTGGAGACAGAGGCAGGAGGATAGCTGGCTACATAGCAAGTTTGAAGACACTGTAGGCCAAACAAAACAAAAACCCTTATTTTTAAGTAGCAGCCTCTTTGGTATTAAATTTCCCTATCCCTACTTCCACCTAAACTCAGATCTCCCACCTAAATTCACATTCAGGATGAGATTTGTTTTGCTTTTTAGAAAATAGGTGATTATTATCCTTATTTCTACATACTGCTTTTTAGTGGCTGTGCATTTGTTTGTTTGGGTAGCGCTAGGGAATCAAAACTGAGACCTTGTCATACTAAGGAAGTGCTCTATAACTGAACTGCACCCTAGTCTCCTCACCTATAATTTTACTAATAATACATAATTATTCTTGGATCTCTAAACAATATTAATGATTACTCACATAGCATTAATTTTGGGCCAGGTACTTGATTAGGTGCTTTATAAATATTAATAACTTTGAATCTTTATAAACAAGCATATAGGTGTTACTCCCATTTTACAGACAAGGAAACAAAAACAAGTCATTTGCCCAAGGCCACATAGTTAGAAGTGATGGAGTTAGGACACTCAAGCAGTCTGGCCCTGCAGCCTCATGCTTGCTAGGGAGGCACTCTGCCACTTGAGCCACTCTGCCAGCCTCAAGAAATCCATTTTTACTGTGATTTTTCTTTGGATGGTATTATGGGAGATTTAAAAGTAAATATTGGGTTGATGACAGTTCAGTGGCAGAGCACTTGTCTAGCATGCATGAGGCCCTAAAAAGTATTTCCAATTTTTTTTCTGAACATGTTACTTTGATAATGATAAAAGCAAATCTTTTACTACCCAAAATGTCCAATTTACATTCCTTTTATAGGTTACTTTTCCTAGCAATCTTAGGTCCTAGAGAACTTGGTATCCTAGTTTAGAAATTATTCTTGGTAACTCTCTTGTAATAATTGAATCACTGCAGAAATAGCCAATAGGATTGAACCTTGTGAAGTGCCCTCAATTGCAATTGGAGGAGCCAAGAAAGGAAGATGGGAAGAGAATGGACAGTGTCTGAAGCCAAGAAGTTGAAAGCTTCTAAGGGATATGTCAACAGTGTCAAAATGGAATGAATGAGATAGTGATCAACCTTTGAGAAACTATCTGATGGTATTTGGTTATTTATTCATTGCTTTTTTTGTGCTGAGGCCAAAGAGATTTGGGAAGAATTGGATAGAAATTTGAACGGTAATTACAGTGTTTTAAATAACTATGCTGGAAAATAGTATACATGGCAGATTTACTGGCGAGAGTGGTGTTAGTCATGAGGCACAGCTTGAACAAACGTGTTGAGGATGAAAATGGCACAGTGCACTGAAAATAACCAAGTAATTAATTCATTATTGTCATGGTGGAAAGCAGGAGGAAAGGTATAGCCATTACCCATGGATGATGTTGAAGAAAGTGTGGGTTCAGTGACTCTGGAACTTTTCTTTAACACATTTAAGGTATGATGTGACTTCATCTCTGACCCATAATGGCAATAAGAATCTCCTGGAATTGGATGCTGTCAATTAATTACTTCAGAAAGAGTTCAAGAAGGGGTAAGGGCCCAGAGAATGTATTCATAATTGGATATGCTTACTGACAAAGGTTTTTTCTTTTTAAGAATGGTATTATAATTTAAGGGTTTTTTTGTACAGGACCTTGTACATGTTAGGCAAGTGCTATAACACTGAGTTGTATTCCCAGTCCTTAAAACTTCCTTATTAGCCTGTTGTTTTGTCTTTTGGAGATACTGGAGTTTGAACTCAGGGCTTTATACTTGCTAAGCAAGTGTTCTGCCACTGGAGCCACTCTTTGAGCCCTTTTTGCTTTTAGGTTATTTTTCAAATAGGGTCTCATTTTTTTCCTGGGGTGGGCTTGGACATGAACCTTCTACCTATGCCTCCTGGCTAGCTGTGATAATTGGCATGTGCCACCATCCTCAGCCTGTTTTGTTGAGAATGTGTCTTGCTAATTTTTTCCTCTGGCAGGCCTAGAACCAAAATCCTCTCAGTCTCTTGTCTCCCAAATAGACATGAGCCATGGTGCCAAGTCTGGCCTGTTAGCATTCCTAAAAAACTAAAAATATACCCCAAACACATCCTCTCTTGATTTTTTAATAACAGCATCACTGAAAACTATTGTCAGGTTTCCGAAACTGAACTTTCTCTAAAATATAGCTATTTTAAGAAGTTGATTGCTTAGATATATTTATTATTGCTTTCCCAACTTTAATGTGCACAACAATGTTTGAAGATTTAGTTAAAATGCAGATTGGAAAAAAAGAAACTTTTAAAAAAAAGGTATATAAAATGCATACTGATTCAGATGCTGGCCTCAGGCCACCTATTTTGAACTCCCAAGATGTGCTGCCATTTTGAGAACCACACTTTGGGTAGCAAAGGTAAAGATGCTGATCCAAATGCTAAGGAAGGTTTAGGGCTAAAGTGATAGATCTAAAAATTGTTATGAAAACTTGGCAGTGAGTTTTGTATTATACTCATATTTAAAGTTATATTTTCCATAGCATCATTTGTTGCAGATTTACTTTATTTATTTTAAGGATGTTATATTTTTTATTACTCATTTATTAAGGATGTTATAATTTTAATATTACTAAAACCTCAGTTATTTTCTCATGTCCTCATATCTCCCATCTAGCAGAGACTTCTATGTAGTAAGAGTTCCACATTAGTTAAAATGGTTAAATAGCAATTTGAAAATTCACACTATGGGAGACCCTCCTAAGGAAGAAATCCAGTAATTGCAAAATCTTGAGTAAAAAGTTATTTACATAACATAACATTTATACCCATCCTTCACTTTTTAGAAGACACACAATCTGAGATGAGGCAGACTTCATGATTTATTGGCCTCTGATGGTCATTCAGGACTAAGCCAGAACAGTCATCTCACCTCCTACAATGTGGGAAAATACATTTGGAACAATGCCATTTATTGGCTCCATATTTGAATTAGCTGGAGGGAAAAAGTAAAAAGTTAAGCAAATCAGGGCTGGGGTATAGCTCAATGATGGAATACTTGCCTGTATGCCCAAGGCCCTGGTTCCATCCTCAGCACCACAAAAAAAAAAAAAAGTTACTTTATATGTATATTTTTTTAATAAAAAAAATCTATTAACCATTCTTCAAACTCAGTAACATTTTATATGAATGAAATGATCAAATATCAAAACAACATTAAGGCAGGCTAGAAAGAGAGAAAGAAACCCGCCACAACTCTGCCTTCTGCAGCAAAAGGCCACCCGGTACCAAATTCCTCCTTCTCTCTCCTCAGTACCACTCCGGACATCCTTTCAGTTGTAAATTTCCTTCTCAAGTGTGAATTCCTTTGCAATATAAGTTCTCCAAAAGACAAGGTAATCTCTTGGCAGGTCAGGACCAGAAAATGGCATGTGCCCAGTAAAGGAAGATCTGTCCTCAATCATATCTTTCAGGTAAATCCATCTAGTTAAAACTTATGAATATTGGTCACATCTCATACATACAATTAAAGACTTGGAAATCAGTATAAGCACAGGCACAGCATGCCCCATGTTATATCATAAGACCTTGTTAATTAAGCTTGTCAGTCACCCTAGCCCCTCCTGCAAAGACCACCCAGATTTTCCCCAGCATTTGCCCTTACAACTTAACAAACTGCCCTTTGAACAAACATGGGGTCTGCTGTGCTTTCTGGCCAGAGCCCACTCCTTTCTCTTGCTATGCCTATACTTTCCTTTTCCTTTCAATAAAACTACTGCTGTGCAATCTACGTCTCTGTCTAGTTCTATATTGGAGATCTTCTAAACCAGGATCTTCTGAAGACCACCCACCAATGACAACATGATGCTAAGGAAGTCCAATTTCTGGGGTAATAGGAAAACTAATTTAGCACTGCCTGCATAAGTAATTAAGGCTTATGCCAAGTTTATAAAAAGTAAATGTCTACTTCTGTTAAGGCACTGATTCATTCTGGGATCAGAAGACTTCCAAATTCTTTGTGTTCTGTGGAAGAATCCATGGCAGGACACATGGATGTAAATAGAGTTTATTAAAAGTTAGGAGGCAGGCACGGTGGCTCATGCCTCTAATCCAAACTATTCAGGAGGCAGAGATCAAGAGGATAGAAATTCAAAGCCAGCCCCTGCAAATCGTGATACCCTATCTCAAAAACACCCATCACAAAAAAAGGGCTGGTGGATTGGCTCAGAGTGTAGGCCCTGAGTTCAAACTCCAGTACCGCAAAAAAAAAAGTTAGGAAAGGAAAATACAAAGGGAAGCATGGTGGGCCCAGGTGGAATCCAGAAGCTGAGACAGCATGTTTCTGCTCTTCAGGTGCTTTTAAAACCTATGATGACCTATGGGAAGGAGAGAGCAAGGTGATTCTCAGCCAGTACTCAATGACTGGGGAGAAGCTCGGGCATTTCCCAGCCAGGTGAGGGCAGTTCCTGAGCCAAATCATGGTTAGTCTAAGATTTAATATTTTTTCCTATGAGTCCTTAATTTAGCCTGCCTCACATCCTCCATGCTTTTTTGCCATTTTATTATAAGTACCCAGAAAAGTCTTTCAAGATTTCAAGCCTGTTTTAATTTTTTTTTTTTCCCCTATGCTGAGGATCAAGCCTAGGCCTTGCACAAGCTCTCTATACTGAGCTACATCCCCAGCCCAGGGCTGTTTAATATTCTCAGAGAAAGCTAGCACAATAAAGAAATCACAGCTTTAGAAGTGAGGACATAACTTAAGGAACAATGTCGCCAATGCAAGGTGTATACAGTAATTTTTCAATCTTCACCAATTAAAACCTTTGAAAAACTTAGTTCAAACCAGCACCATAAATTTAAAAATTGAGCCAGGCACCAGTGGCTCTGTAGCAGGGAGGAGAACCAAAAAAGAAACAGACAAGTCTGTGTTCTGATAATGAGACGGGGAAGGGATGGCATAGCAGAGAGATAAAGAATTGAAACATGAAGATCACATAGTACTGTGGGGGGGCGGGGAGTGAAATAGCCAGTAATGTTGCATGCAAAATATATGGGTTAAGTTTTGCCTTTTTTGCTTCTGTAACCTGCTTACAAGTGTATATAAGGTAAGACCCCTTTGTTCTTGGGGCTCAGCCTTTGGACTTGAATCCGCTGAATCTGTGCTGGCACAATAAAGTGTTGCTTCCTGCTGAATTTCCTCAGTGTTCTGTATCTCAGTTCAAGATTCCCATAACATTTCTGGGGACTCGTCTGTGATTGCAGACAGTGTTTTTCACCTCCCTTGTCATTGGGATGCATCCCCTCAACTGCTGGGAGAAGTGATCCCTCCAAACACCAATAGACAGTTTGATCTGGAGGAGGGACTCGCCCTCCTGGTGAGTGGGAGTGAGGGCCTCAGACACACAATGGGAACCCAGTGAGGTGCAGGAACCAGCAAAGGGAGCACTGCCCATCAGACTGGTAAGACCCAGGTTCGAATATTAGGCCTGCCCCTAAGTGGCAGAAGGGGAGGTTGATCACCTCCCAGGGTCACTCGACTAACTTTGAGCAAAAGCAAAAGTAAAACCATGACTCCTAGGCACTGATGCAGGGCAGAAACATTGGATGCCTGTGTGTGAATGAGACAGAGCCTGACTACAAAGCAAGTGCAGAGTCCCAATCCACAGATGCATGGGAACTCATATGGTCTAGGGTGAGCCCTAACAGGGCCTCCAGTCCAGGGTTTATACAGACTCACTACAGCTAAGAGACAAATCCCCGTGAGAGGAGCAGCCGGAGATGGACAAAACAAGTGAGGACCCTGTGGGTGCAATTCCTGGCCAGGTGACCACATCCAGGTCACCGATAAGGGGCGCATATTGTTCTCCCTTGTGTGCTGGAGAACAGAGCACCCTTTACCTCTCCTCCAAAACCCCTATTCTCTGTGTCTGTCTTGCTGTCTGGTAATGGGGAGATGGGTGGAAATCAAAGTAAAAACACTCTCTTAGATGTATGGTTTAAAAAAGAATTTAATGGAGACTATAGAGTTAACTCCTAACAAGCTCAAGACCCTTTATAAAGTAGAATGGTCTGCTTTTAGAGTAGGGTGGTACCCAGAAGGGTCACTAGATAAAACTGTGGTTAATAAAGTTTATAGGGTAATTGTAGGAAGGCTGGGGCACCCAGATCAATTTCCTTATATTGACTGCCAGCAGGATGCTGTCCTCAGCAGGCCCACATTGCTAAGGCCCTGTCTGTGAGAGGCCTGTAGGATTATGGTAGCTAGGATGGCCACAACTTCCAAGTGTAGAGAGAATGCAAAGGAGCCTGTACCGGCTGAGGAACCTGAGGAAACGCCACCCCCTATTTGCCACTTTATCCACCTCTGCCACCAGCACCCAATTCCACACCCCCCACTTCCAAAATTGGATGGGGAAGCTTGAGGGACAATCACAGCTGTAAAATTTGGCCCAGAAGCCCCTGGGATTTCAACTCCCTTAACCTCCCCAAGTCCTATGGACCCTATGCCCACTCCAAGTCCACCAGTTCTCACTCCACATTCCCCCATTTGGTTGAGAACATCTGACCAGTCTCTGGGAGGACCCCCTCGTCCCCTCAGACTCCTGCTACCCAGCAGATGCCCCAAGGGAGGCCCAGGGCCCAGTGTATTATGACCCAGACAGTCGAATACAAGGATGAGTCTTTTACCACCACAGACCTCAAATGGAAGCCTAAATCCCTTCCTTCACAGAAAAGTCTCAGGCTCTGATTGATTTGATGCAGTCTATCACCCAGACTCACAAACCCACCTGGACAGACTAATGACAGCTTCTTCTGACTATTTAATACTGAAGAGTGACACTGTATAATGTTGGCGGCTCTAAAGTGGTTAGAGGATCACATCCCTGAGGGCACCCTAAACACCCAAGCATATGCTCATGCCTGTTTCCCCAAGGAAGACCCCCCTATTGGGATCCCAATAATGGCCAAGATTACCAGCGACTGAACAGTATCAGGAGACATTATTGGGAGGCATGAAGGAAGGAGGGGAAAAGGCCATAAACATGAAGACAATATCAGAGATCCTCCAAGGGCCAGATGAGAGCCTCAGCCAGTTTTATGAGCATTTGTGTGAGGCCTTCCGTTTGTACACCCCCCTTTGACCCGGAAGCCAGTGAAAATCAGCAGATGATTAACGTCGCTTTTGTTGGCCAGGCCCAGTGGGGGACATAAGGTGAAAATTGCAGAAACTGGAAGGATTTCCTGGAATGAATGCTAGCCAGCTGTCAATTGAGATCAGGCGGCTAGATGGGAGCCTGACAGGAAGATGAAAGGCAAAGTGGACCTTCTTGCAGCAGTCCTTGCTAAGCAGTCAGGTGGGCCCTGGACAGCTAATACAGGCAGAGGCAGAGGCAATCCCTGAGGATGAAAATGCCTCCGGGATGACCCCACCTTAGGGAGGAAATAGGGCAAAACCAATGTGCCTACTGTCATCAGGAAGGGAAGTGGAAGAATGAATGTCCCCAGTGGGCCAAGAATTCCCAAAAGGCCCCCAGACCAGAGTCAGAGGCCAGGTATTAAAATATCAGCCTACCTGTCAGGGAGCCAGCCCCTGGGAGGGAGATCACTGTCAGTCTGGCAGGCCTGGAAGGCTAAGAGGTGGACTAAGATAGATCGGGTTCCATGCTACTGGGCCCCCAGGAGCCTATGGCTGAAATGAAAATAGGGGGCCACCCTGTTGACCTCATGGTAGACACGGGTGCAGAACATGCAGTGGTGACCCTCCAGTGGGCCCTCTTTCCAAAAGGCATACAACTATTAACAGGGCTACACGGGACTGGGTCCGCTGCCCCTTCTTAGTGCCCAGATGATGCAATCTTGAGAGTCATGCAGTAAGGCATGAATTCCTTTATGTCCCTGATTGCCCTGTGGGCCTGATGGGCAGAGACTTATTATGCAAATTGAGGGCACAGACAACTTTTTATTCGGATGGCACAGCAGACTTCAAGTTGAGAGGAACTGAGGCAAAGACTCTAATCCTCACAGTTGCACAAGAAGAGAAATGGTGGTTCTATGCCCCTGAGGGGAGGCCTCCTGAGATTCCTGAACTTCCCTTCAAGATTCCAGGTGTATGGGCTGAAGATAACCCCCCAGGTCTGGCCCAAAATGTGCCCCCAGGAGTGGTGGAACTAAAGCCAGAAGCCACCAGTTGGCCAAAAACAGTACTTCATCCATCACAAGTCCCAGGTTGGAAATCAAAAACACCTTGACAGTCTCCTAAAATATGAGATCCTTTGACCTTGTCAGTCGTCCTGGAACACCCCCTTATTACCAGTACAGAAACCGGGGACCGAGGATTTCAGGCCAGTTCGGAACCTCCAGGCAAATAGTCAACAACTGTCACTTTGCACCCTGTAGTCCCAAATCCATATACACTTTTAGGCCTTGTCCCAGCTGAGACAGTTTTTTACCTGCCCAGATCCTAAGGACGCATTTTTCTGCATCCCCCTGGCCCCACAGAGCCAGCTTATTTTTGTCTTCCAGTGGGAAAATACCAATAATGGAGAAAGGGGGCAACTAACCTGGACTCAAATGCCACAAGGTTTCAAAAATTTGTCCACTATTTTCGGAACTGCCTTGACATCTGACCCCAAAGCCCCAGCATGGCTGCATATTCCTCCAGTACATAGATGAACTTCTGCTGGCTGAACCAACCCAGGAGGATTGTATGGAAGGGACTCACCCTCTCCTTCTCTTTTATTGGAGGATACAAAGTCTCTAGGAAAAAGGCCCAAATTTGCCAAAACACTATCAAATACCTCGACTTTCACCTGTCCCAGGGGCAGCACAGGCTCAGTCCTGAGAGGAAACAGGCAATCTGTTCCATTCCAGCCTCTAAGACCCACCGTTATAGGCTGAGCCACTGGGACCCAGCTCAAAGGATTTATATATTTTTTATATGGCAACAATTATACTAACTATCCTAAGCTACATATATTAATAAAAAAAAATGGTGCAAATTTCATGTTACTATTGTCTTTTTTAAAGGAGAGAGATAGATACTCTTATTTATGCATAGACAACCCCTGGCAGAACACTTAAACTGTTATCAGCAGCTGCCTAAAGGACTGGGGGTTAGGGTATGGCAAGGAAATTCATTTTTAGCAGTTAAAAAAAAAGAAAAGATTAAACCCTTAAGTACATTTAATGTGAATTTATACAGCACAAAGAAATTATTAAAAAATTCCAAGCATTTCTGGAAATATTTTCATAAAAGGAGTTTACAAGATAAGAGATGAATGAGAAAAGCTGATACGGTACAGATTTTATTACTGATTATTTTTAATTTTAATGAATTTCATTTCCAAGTGTGAAATATTTCAGGGGTTATGTGAAGACTATAAAATGACCACGCTTAACCTTTTTTTCTTTGGCAAGAAAAAAGGCTCAAATAAATATTTAGGAGGCTCAAGATTGTAAAAAAAAAAGAAAGAAAGAAAGAAAGAAAGAACTACACAGTAAGTTTTAGGCCCACTTGACAGAGAAATCAAGATTTTATGCAGTCATTACTATGCTACCCACCTGCATGTTAAGAAGAGAAAATATGTCAATATACAAGAATAATGAAATTTTTTTTATCTTTTGTTGTTTTTAAAACAATTACTAAAACGTAATCCAGGACTTTTTCCCTAGCCTGGCTTCTCCCTTGCATCATGAAGTCCAAGATCATGGCACAGATACTAACTTTTAAAATATCTTGATCCATAGTTAATGTGCTTTTTAGATTGGGTATGTACACTATATACTCCTTAGACACCCCCTCCCCGAGGCATGTAGCCTAAATCCAAAAGAAGAAAGCTGGATCACTGCTACTTTTTCACCTATACCATTTCTTGGCATTTCAAAAACAGTAAGAGCTGATCTGCTTTCTCCACTCAGTTCCCATACATAGAACACATGTAATTCCTGTGTTTGTACTTCCACTCTCTGGAACAAGCACACTTACAACCAATCAGCTCCAGGAGTGTTAAAGGCCGTCAAAAAATTAGGAATAGTATCTCTAGTATAAAAGAATTCAAAAACATCCAGTTCCAAATAGTCCCTGAGCACACTGTTCATCCCAGCAAGAAGTCTCCAGAGAGGTAATGAATGAAAGGCACATTTTTTTTCCCAATTCGAGGACCACTGCATAGTACTAGACATGATACACCAGCCAGGCAGATCAAAAGTTCTAATTAATGAGTTCTCCCCTCCCAATAGTAAATCTTGTATGCTGGCAAAATAATCTAATGTTGGATGTAAACACAACACTTGACTAGAGGAGTGGCAGCTGGGGCACAATAACCCATGGAAGTTCAAGAGTAAAGGGCACAGCTTCAAGCCTCCTCTTCTTCCTTTTCCAAGAAATCAGTCAATGTTCCATTGTCAACAGGAATTAATAAATACTCCACTCCATCAGTTCCCTAAAAGATAAGAATACTCAGTCTGTTAGTTTTTTTTAAGGAATGTATTTGAACTCTCTTTTATAGGTTTAAAAAAAAAAAGGATTTTTTTGGATGCAATATTTATAATTTTTTGGGGGGGAGAACTGGGGCTTCAACTCAGGGCTTCTTACTTGCAAAGCAGGCACTCTACTGCTTGAGCCACACCTCTAGTCCATTTTGCTCTGGTTATTTTTGAAGATGGGGTTGCTCAAACTATTTGCCAGGGCTGGCCTCAAACTGTGATGCTCTGATCTCAGCTTCCCAAGTAGCTAGGGTTACAGGCATCAGCCACCAGTGCCTGGCTGATGCAGTATTTTAAATAAATACCTTAAGTATAAAAATTAAGGAAGGGGGCTAGCAGAGTGACTCAAGTGGTAGAATGTCTGCCAAGCAAGTTTGAAACTCTGAGCTCAGATCCCAGTCCCACCAAAAAAAAAAAAAAAAAAAAAAGGAAACAGCACTCAGGCATAGCTATCTATTTGAAAACATAAAGAGTTAAGTCACTTTATAGCAGAAGACTACAGATGGATAAGGGGAAATTCATTTTCTTCACTGTGCTTCAGATCCTTTACCCCTCTAATCTCTCCAGAACCTGACATTATGATTTCTCTGTTCTTCTCCCCCCTTTACTGGACTCCTTCATTCCTCTGCAACTATTACACTACTTTGCATCTATCCAGAAAGTTGTTCATAATGCCTGTTCCCTCACTTCCTTCTCCATAGTCCATACCATTCCAATGGGAATGGCTGCTCCATTATCACATCATTTGCTTAGACCACCAAGGAACTCCATATTCCTGAATCCCACAGGTATTTTAGCAGCATCAGATGCTGCTAAATAATAGTAACACTGTGTACTATTATTCTCTCTTCCTTAAAACATGCTTTTTATGGCTCCTGTGACATAATATCTTGGTTTTCTTCCTCGCTTTCTGGAAGCTTATGTTTTAATTGGCTATTAAATGTCAGACTTCTAGGCTTAGTTCTTGGCCCTCTAACGTCACTATTGTCCTCTTTCTAGCCAGTCTCACTAATGCCTGGTTTGAGTTCTAATATAATCACCTTGCATTTCCAGCCAGATTTTTCCTCTGGTTTCTTGTCCCAGTTATCCAACTTACTAATTAATTTCAAAGGGACCACAGAGCAAGTGTAAACTTGAATTCATGATTATCTCCCACAAGTATTGCTTTTCCAGTTTCTCATCCAATGATTCCACCATCTCCAGTTATATAAGCCAGAAACCAAGAAACACTCTTTCCCTGGGTTTTCATATCCCATCTGTAATGTCTTGTCAATTCTGCTTGCCAAGTAGCTCTTGAATTCAGCTACTTTTTTGCTCTTTTCCCTAGTCAAAATCACCACCATCTCACTCTGACTAGTATTAACATCTCCCCAGCTGGCCTCTAAGCCTCCACTTTGCCATATTCCATGTGCCACACTAGATTAAGAACAACTTTTCAGTGACTTTTCCTTATTTTAAAGATTAAAATCCTTTCCTTGGCCTAAAAGACATATATGATCTAGCCCTTACATCACTCGCTCTTCAGATGCATCTTGTGCCATGATGGGTTTTTGTGTGTGTGTGTGTGTGTGTGTGTGTGTGTGTGTGTGTGTGTGTGTGTGTGGTTGGTTTTTGTTTGTTTGTTGTTGTTCCAGGGTCTCTCTTTATGTATTTTCCTGGCTTGGAGTACTCTTCTTCACTCTTCTCTTTCATTTTTATTTTTATTTTTGTGCTACTGGGGTTTGAACTAAGGGCCTCATATTTGCTAGGTAGGCATACTCCACCAGCCCTTTTTTATGTTGGGATTTTTCTAGATAGGGTCTTGAGAACTATTTGTCCAAGCTGGCCTGAAATCACAATCCTAGCTGCCTCCTGGGTAGCTAGGATTACAGAAGTAAGCCAGTGGAATCTGGCAAACTTTCCTTTTTGACTATCTATTAAATAGTCTTCCAGTAGATTTCAGCATAATGGTCTTTCCTAATATTCATAATTAGGTCAAATCTACCTATTTTAACATGTTCTTTAATGTATCATGTACCTTCTGGTCATAGAACTTAATATAGTTAAAACTTTACATATGTAACTAATGCCCATACATTACTACTTGGGGGACTAAGCTTTATGCTCTGTAAGATATGCAATTAAAGTGCTGGAATTTTAGCTCAGTGGCAAAGCACTTCTGCAGTTTGTGCAAGACCCTAGGTTCAATCACCAACGTGGGAAGAAAAAAAATTAGTTTTTTTTTTTTTTTTTTTTGAGTGGGACTGGGGCTTGAACTCAGGGCTTATTGCTTGAGCCACACCTCCAGTCCATTTTGCTCTGGTTATTTTGGAGATAGGGTCTCACAAACTATGGCCTCGAACTACAATCCTCATGACCTCAGCCTAACAATTAGGTTTTTGCTTATTACTTGTCCTAATATTTAATGCAATATCTGATACATAGTGCTCAATAAATACAGACTGAATGAAGTAGAAGAAGAGAGTAGAATTACTTGGCCCATATTATATTTCTAATGGCCTATAACTCGGGATTATAACTTATAAAGAGTAGTCTGCTGTGCTCTGTTCTGAAACAGAAACTTCTACCACGTCTCTTCATACAGAACTGAAATGGCACAATGAATAAATGAATCCTTATAAGTTAAGAAGGTAAATATGAAAAAAGAAAAAATAGGTGAATGTGGTTAATATACTTTCTATATAAGAATGAATATAGCATTTTTAAGCCTGCTGAAATCATCATAAGAAGGGAACTAAGATAGAAAGGAGAAAAATACAGGGGATGAACCAATTTAGATTATAACCCATACATAAATGGAAATGTCACAATGAAATTCCCTGTATAGCTATCTTACACAAACAAAAATGTCTTTTTCTAAAAACAAAGAACAGAAAGGTAAAATAGGTCCTATTTGGGTGTTGGCACCAGTAGGGATAGGGGGAAGATGTGGGGAAAGGGTGTGTGTGAGTGAATATGGTAGAATTATGTACTCATGTATGAAAATGGAAAATTGAGACCTATTGAAACTGTTCCAGGCACAGGGGGAGGGAGGATAAAGGAGCATGATGGAGGAGGTGAATTCAACTATGATACATTGTAAGAACTTTGGTAAATGTCACAATGTACCCCCAGTATGACAACAGTAACAATAAAAAAGGTAAAAATAAATTAAATAAATCCTTGTGACCCATCATGGATCACATATGAGTGAGTCAAATATATACCTGTCCTTAAGTAAATAATATATACTATCCCTGGCATACAGTGCTAAAATAGCAGTCTTACCTTCTTTGTTCTTATAAGTTTGTGATCCCTAAATTCAGTTAACTGGGCTCTGAGTGTCAGATCACTGTTGACAAGGAATGCCTCACGACACTGCTGGTAAAAGTCTTGAAAAGAAAGTCCTAGAGCATTCAAAAGGAGATGTGAATATAAATCAGCACTTATGACATACCCCTAAGAGATACCCATTCCAAGAATACAGAACAAAATAAGCAAGTTTTGCTTCTTGCTGGAAGAAGCAAAACTAGAGAACACTTAGATGTTACACATTGAGGCTTGTACTTTTTAAAGACTGATGGCTGAAAGTAGTTAATTGCAACCAATGAGTCAAGAGAAGTGAACAAGTACTAAAACATTCATTTACATAAACACATTATTTTGGCCAAGAGGGAAGAGCTAAGATGCCTCATAAATGAAAAAATATGTAATTGACAGGCCGACATCCATAGTTATAGCACAGGAAATTTAAAAAGTAAGTGGGTTTATCTTTCAATTCCTGTTAGAAAACAACCTGTTGAGCAGCGTCTGTAGGGCTGCTTGAAAATTTGCTATGTGGCCAACGTACCCATCACAGAGCAACCACTTATCACTGCTGTGAAAATCTACAGTGCTCTCGTCAGATTTCAGATAAAACAAAAGTCACATAGTTCAATAACATAAATATTAGATACCAATGTAAGAAGGGTTATCCTGGTTATCCAGCTGATACTTTATTAGTAGCTTGAAAATCCCCCTAAGGAAAAAAACAAAAAACACACAGGAATTCAAATCAAGAAATGTAATATCAAAAGATAGCACTAGTAAAATGCACAAAGAATGTCAAACACTTGGCCTGTGTGCATTATCTTCTATTTCTTTTTCCAAGGAACACACTATATCCTTATCTATTTACAAAGGAAAATCTTTTTTATCTAGGAGTGGTTTTATTTTTTTCCCCTCTCTGACTGCACATCAGTCCTCCTTGTAGAAAATATGTAATGTCTCTTTTTATTCTCAATTTTTTTCTCTACTTTTTCTTTCTTTACCAGTACTGGGGTTTGAACTCAGGACCTAATGTTTGCTAGGAAGGTATTCTACCACTTGAGCCACACCTCCAAGTACTGAAATATATGAATAATATCTAAAGAGAAAAACATCAATCTCACAATAGTCAGTAAACAGTAGGGTTAAGATCATATTGCTGCTGTATCAAATCTTTGTGGAATGAGACAGTGTAGAAATATATAAACAAACATTTATATTCTGTATATACCATTTTATGCTTTGCCTTTTCACTTACTGATTTTACCATGTCTTTAAAAATTCTTCCTAAACCATTTTTTTTTTCTTTTTGGCACTACTGGGGTTTGAACCCAGGGCTTTGTGCTTGCTTGGCAGGCGCTTTATTTATTTTCAGCAAGGTTTGTTGTTTCTCAGCACTTCATTTCCGCCCCCCCAACCCGACCCCAGTACTGGGGTTTGAACTCAGGGTCTCATGCTTGCTAGGTGGGTGTTCTGGTACTTAAGCCACAATGTACCCTGCCCTTTTCTGCCTTTCAGTTATTTTTCAGATGGAGTCTCATGTTTTTTGCCCAGGCCTGGCCTTATACCACACTATGCCTACCATGTTACTGGAACCACAGGCATGTGTTAGTTACCTCACGTAGCTTTCTGACTGATCTGGGGGGTCTCACTAACTTCTTGCTAGGGTGGCCTTTAACTTGATCTTCCTGACTTCTATCTCCAGAGTAGCTGGGGTTACAGGTGTAGTCCACCATGCCTGGCAACACTTCGTCTGTTTAAATACAGCACAGTTCTGGAATTTTATGCTTTTAAGAAGAACATAATGTTCAACGTGCAATTAAAAATAACTGTAAGGTTCAGTGGAGTTGCTCAAGTGGTACAGCATCTGCCCAACAAGCTCAAAGCCCTGGGTTCAAGCCCCAAAACTGAAAAAAAAAAACAACCCATAAAACAGAAGTAAAATCTGAGGCGGGTGTGGTACACACCTACAGTCCCATCTACTTAGGAGGCTGAGGGAGGATTGCTTAAGCACAGAAGTTCAAACTATTCAGCCTCTGCAAAACCTCAGCTAAAAAAGAAAAAAGTCCATTAAAATTCTGCTTTTCTCTGTGATGACAAATTATATGTTCTCATTCAGAAATGAGAAAATTCATTAAGAAAAAAAATGTTAGTACTCCTGCCTTACTCTTGGGTAATTTGAAAGACTAGTATTGAGAATTTTATCTCTTGTACAATTTGGTATAGGCAACTATTATTATTACTATTCTCTTAATCCTTTAAACTAAGTATAGAGAAGTTTTAGTATCATCAATAAACCTAGTAGTACATATCTTCAAAGGTACAGAAATTTTTTTTTTTGTGGAGCTAGGTATTAAACCCAGGGCCTTGCGCATGCTAGGCAAGCACTGTACCACTGAACTATACCCCCAAGCCACAATATATAATTTTCTAAAAAAGAAATAATGGGTTTCATTCTTACCTTGCATTAGGGGTAAGGCTTCGTAAGACATGAGTCAGAGAACTAAGTGGTAGAGATCCAGATTGTTTAACCAGAAGAGAATTCTCATAGGAGGTTTCTTCAGTATAAGGACTATATGTAGTAGTTTCATACCAGAGCCAATTATAAAGACTCTGCTTTGCATGATCCCACACTATAGCACATTATCAAAGAAAAGAATTACAGATTATTTTCATACTGTCATGCTACCAGATTCCAGAAAAGAATGAGAGAGCATCAAATAAAAAAAAATGAATCCCCTAGGGCTGGGGATGAACTCAGTGGAAAATTGCTTATTAAAGAGTGCACAAGGCCCTGGTTTGATCCCCAGCATGTTAAAAAAAAAAAAAAAATCCTAAAATTTTTCATTTTTGTTGCCTCCCATCCAAATCAGTAATTCACAATCTGATTTCATTATCAATCAACATCTGAACCTTTATTTGTGCATTATATACAAATTAAAATATCTTAAAGAAAGACATTCTTTCAAAAAGTTAGTATTTTCTCCTATAGGATTATCATAAAGTCTAAGAATTGTGTTTATAAAATAATTGTTGTAATACCTACCACAAAAAGTAGAGAGACCAAAATAATATTTAAATCTCCTCCTCCTCATATAATTTTAGGTATAGAATATCCCTTTTTTGGTGTGTGAATTTTTATTTTCAAGAATTATGGTTCAAATCAAACTAAGTATACCTAACTTTGGCAACCTGTGTCTTTAACTATCTAACGGGGGAAAGTATCCTGAAAAACAGTAAGAAAATTTTCGTAAGACTGATTTCTAAGAAAGAGTAACAGTAATATTTAACTTACTGAGAGGAGCATTGAGGTGATCAATAGATGCTATAAGGTATATGTTACGCAAAGATGATAACTGTCCAATAATTTGCTGGCTATTATCTCCTCTCAACATTTGGCTATCCAAATTGTGGATAAGAAGAAAGAGATGTAAAGAAGAATCTGAAAGGAAAGAGAATCCAATTATTACTATTAGTGAGTATTTATAAAGTCCGTACCACATGCAATGCCTAAAAAATATATCAAAGTAATACAGGACAAAATAATAGTTGCTAGCCAAGCATAGTGTGACACATGCCTATGCTCCCATACTCAGGAGACAGAGGCCAGACAACTGCTTGAAGCCAGTTTGGGTAGTATAGAGAGATCTCATCTCAATAAACAAACAAAAATAACAAAACAATTGCTTAGGGGTATACAGTTTATCTAAAAGGATATGTCATTTACTCATAAAATAGGCAAGACTTGAATCAAGTCCTAAGAAAGCATTTTTAATAAAGCAAAATGCATATAACAAATTGGAGGCACATACTGGAGGTGAATCTGTGTGTGTTATATTGCAAGGTGGGAGTAGGAAGGAGACCAAAAAAACGGGGGGGGGGGTATTAAGCAATGAGAGACTATTAGAAAACCCTAACTATCACAAAGACAAAAGAGACAAAAAAGGCAGAAGAGCTTGAGGATATTGCTCAAAGCATCCGAAAATTCAAAGATCATGGAAGTCACGGAAGAATGAATTTGTGGAACAGAGCTATCAACACCACTGAATATATCACAGATTAAGATAAAGAATGAGATAATATTAATGTGCTGAGCAAAAAAGAAATTACAAGTGATCAACAAGCATAGAATAAGGAAGTTAAAATGGAAATAGGTAAAAAGTAGAAGGAAGAAAAATTTCCCAAAACTGAAATCCTAGGAAAACAGCACGGAAGGGCAGCAGAATCAGGTAAATTTTCTTCTATACATGTTTAAAACCAATGGCATTTGGCAAGTCTCCCTCTGGGCTCAGTAAAAAATTGGACAATTAGCATGTATGATAGAAGACAATCTTTTCAGAGAGTAAGCAAATTTCTCTTCCACTACAAACAATAGGGTCTAGGGGTATAACTCAGTGCTAGAACACATGCCTCACATGCACAGACCCCTGGGTTTGATCCCAGCACCACAAAAAAACAAATCAAAAATATAGTGACAAAGTTTCTGAGGAAATCCCAGGTTCCCTGAATTGTAGAAGTCACTACACTCAACAGTATTAAAACACAAGCACACACACATGTGCCCAATGACTTGGACATCTATTTGAATAATCACATAAATACTGGGCTGTCTTACAAAGATCTATGGTAAAGGGATGAAAAACAATGCTTTTGCTATTCTACAAGTAGGAAAAGATTTTGATACTAAAACAGAATAAAATATAAAAATAAAAACTAAACTAACAATTAGTTTTGGGTTTCAGTGAAAATATATACTTGACTCTTGTTCTATAAAGTCACTGCAGATATTGAACTAGTGAAAACTGAACCATTGCTCCTAGAAAAAATAAAGGGTTTGGGTCCTGTGAGCTTCTGGTAAGAGTATTTCATCAACAAATCAATACATACATATATAATTTTATGTATGTTTCTGTTTAAAGACAGAACATAGTCCTTTTCTGAGACAGTGTAATGTTATGTAACCCATACGTTTCCTCAAATTCTGAATCTTGCCTCCACCTCCCGAGTGCTGGGATTATAACATGTACCACCATGCCCAGCTACAATTTTATTTTTAATATACACTGTTGAACCTTTCACATGGACCTCACTGTCAGTAACACTGCAACTTATACCCTAGGAGGCTTACATAACACAGGAATTTTTCCCTCAAAGGTATCTAGTAGCTTTCGTGTGTTTAGAAACATCAAGTATTTAGTACTATAATTGGGAGCCATTTTAAAAGCCAAATTATCAATACAATCACAAACATGAAAAATGTGGAACTAAAAAGACTGCAAAAAGGACAATATGAGAACTGAAACAAGACAGAGTGCTGCCTTCCATGGCTCCCACTAGGAATGTGTGCATTGGGTGATTCACATTTCTCGTTGGTCAGTGCATGTTCACATATGACTACAGTAATGTCAAGAATATAAGGCTGGGGCCAGGGCTCAAGTGGCGGAGCGCCTAACTAGCAAGAGTGAAGTCCTGAGTTCAATCCCGGTACCACCAAAAGAAAAAAAAAAACTGACTTGGGGTATAGTGAGTAGGTAAATTTACAGTTAGCCCTCTGTATCTCTGTGTTCCATATTTACAGATTCAACCAACCATGGACTGAAGTATTTGAAAAAAAAATTGCACTTGTACTAAACATGTATAGACTTTTTTACATCTAGTAGACCCTTGATATCTTCAGACACTGAGGAGAAAACATAAATTCTCAGAATGTGTGAAGTACAGTACTGCAGATGGTGGATTCATTTTCCCTATAATGCTGTGCAACTTCCACTAAAGACATGCTACCTTTCAACAAATCTAAAACTTACTTAAGCATATTTACATGCCCTTTTTGGTTTGCGAGGATTACATACTTTTATCTTCCTTTTTTGGCACCAATTGCTTTTTTGGGAGGCATATTTTCACAGAATTAAGGGTAGGGAAACACTCAGCAGATCACACTGTGATTTAAACACAACTGACGATAACACGGAACTGACTGAAAGTTTTCTGCATCAACTGACCTATATAACATACGTGCAGGAAATTAAATTTTTTTGTTTTGAAATTTTTGATTTTTAAAATTTATTATTTTTTGACCATGCTAAGTCAAAAAGGGGTGTAATAAATCCACAAATAAGCCAGGTATCAATGGCTCATGCCTGCAATCCTAGCTACTTTGGGAGGCTGAGATCAGGAGGATTATAGTTCAAGGCTAGCCCCAGTAAACAGTTTTTGAGACCCCATCTCCAAAGTAACCAGAGCAAAATGGACTGCAGTTGTGGCTCAAGTGGTAGAGTGTAAAAGCCCTGAGTTCAAACCTCATTCCACTGACCCCCCCCCCAAAAAAAAGGCACACAAATAAGGTGTACTTACCATATTCCTTAAATTCAGTATAACTATTTATACAGCATTAAGTACTACAAGAAATGGAGAGATGCTGTGAAGTATAAGGAGGATGTGCACTGCTTATATGCAAACATGCCATTTTTAAGGAACTTGAGCATGTGTGTATTTTGGCCTCCACTGGAGGTTCTAGAACCAATGATACCAAGGGACAACTGCACAGAACTTTTGAATTAAAAAACTCAAATTTACTTGTTTTTAAATGTATACAATTGGCATAAGAATGAATATTGCCCATGTCTATACAGACTGGGTTTAGAAACCTAAAAGGAAGAAATCTGGAATAGATACCTTTTCAGTTAAGAAAAAACGAGAAGAGAAAACTAAATACACTAGGATACTGACAAAATAAATAAAACTATTTTGGAAACAGAGCTAGGATTATTGTCACTCTAAACAAAATTATCCATCAAATCAGTATGATAAATTACTCCTTTTAATTCTTAAACAATGACTAGTTGACAGTAGGTTAGAGCCTGAAAAATCTCATCTCTAATTTTCTAATATACTCTTATAACCAAAACGTTCACATCGAAAGAGGAACAACCTCCCCCTTTTTGTCCATTCTACAGATCTTGGTACAGCAAATAAAATTATCTCAATACAGCAATATTCACTGAAAATAAAGAAACAGGACTGGAGGTGTGGCTCAAGAGGTAGAGTGCCTGCTTTGCAAGTATGAAACGCTTTTAAGTTCAAACCCCAGTTCCACCAAAAAAAAAGACGAAAAAAAAATGCCTATTTCTAATTTTTGTATTTTTCCTTGCAATACTGCAGTTTGAACTCAGAGCCTCCTGCCTTCAAGGCAGGCACTCCACCGCTTGAGCTTGAGCCACTCTGTCAGCCCTTTTTTGTGTTGGGTATTTTCTTTTATTTATATGTGCATACACTGTTTGGGTCATTTCTCCCCCCTTCCCCCACCCTCTCCCTTACCCCCCGCAACCCCCTCCTGTGTTGGGTATTTTCAAGATATGGTCTCCTGAACTATTTGCCTGAGTTGGCCTCCAGCCATGATGCTTCTGATCTCTGCCTCCCAAGTAACTAGGATTACAGGTGTCAGCCACCAGGGCCCTTTTTTATCTTGTAGTTCAGGAGATTGAACATAGGGCCTTGCAAATTCTAGGCAAACACTCTGCCACTGAGCTACACGCCCAGTCCCAGAAATAAAAATGTTTTATAAAAATACTAAAATATATAAAAATGCCAAAGATGTACTGATCAACTAGAAGCACTTCACATTAACAAAACTAAACTAAAAATTAATTCTGAAGTATGAGCCAAACAGATTTGAAATAGCAGGAGTAACTCAGGTGATATTCGCAGAACAAGTTCACAAAAAAAATTAAAAATTATTTTAGAGAAATCTAAATCAGCATTGGGAAGTGTCCATATTAAAATAATCCCAAACTTTTCGTATACAATTACATAAATACATAGAAGTGTATGTTTAACTTTATCCTAAAACTATAGATCATCTACTTTCTGTTACCTTCTTTAAATTTGTTTATTATCCAGTCTAGCTGATCCAGTACACTTCGGAAAGTACCCATATGATTGAGGACTTCTTCTGTTATAGAATTCAGGATCTACATCATAGAAACACAAGAGGTACTATATCAATTACAACTTATTCTGTAAATAGGATAGGATGTAGGCTAAATGCAACTAGTAAATCAATCCTTTTATAAATTAAAAATGATTTTGGATTTCCCATAAAGTTTAAGAAATCGCTTTTAAAAATTCTATTCGGTACTGAAGTGTATTGAATTCATTTTTTGTTTAAGTTATGGCTAAAAGAAAACAGAGAAGAATAGCAAAAGTGTAGATAATGTGAGAGGGCAGCAAAAACAAAACCCATCATTGAGAAACATTAGAAAAGTACAAATTCATCAAAGAAAACAGGATACAAACACTAGTGACACTAAAAAAGGATACTACATTGGTTAATATCTACCATCTAAAAGCTTTAACTCTGAAATGACAGGTCTGGTGGAGTAGCTCAAGAGGTAAAGCACCTGCCTAGCAAGCATAAGACTCTTGAGTTCAAATCCCAGTACCACCAAAAACAACAAAAGGACCTGAAATGAGGAAGAGGAGATATGAGCATTTGAACTAAAAATATTCCATCATAAAAATGTGCTGTGAAACTACAGACTTTTATTATTTTTAGAGTACCAAATGACATGAAGTATAATAAAATTGCAGGCTCCATAATTCTTTCAGAGGTGTTCCACTGATATTTGGACAAAGCTAACATCTCCCTGATGTTGGATATACATCAGCTTCAAAGTAGGAAATTCAGGGCAGAAGGCGTGGCTAAAGCAGTAGAGTGCACGCCTACCAAGCACAAATTCCTGAGTTCCCACCCCAGTATCACCAAAAAAACCCAAAAAGGAGTTATTCAAAGATGGAGTTTCAAGGCTAAATTCTTCTAAAGTCTAAACACATGATCTAATCTTTAAGACTATGTAACCTAACTGGTGAGAAGGGCATAACAAACATCTTTTAAATGTAATGTTTCGGAATGAGAAATAGCATTTTCATTACTGTGGGGTATGGTTGGCAGGGGACTTACTGTGATTCCCTTTAACATTTATGAAACTTACTGATTTCACAGTGATTCCAGGGAAGAAGCCGTTGATGACAACATGAATGGAATCTTGCAGCATGGTGGTTCGAAATCTTTCTAGCAAATCTCTTTTAGAACCCAAACCATAAACCACAATGTTGAACCCAAGGCTGTTAGGAAAGACAGCATTCATGAAATTAAAGTTTAAAACCTGTTGTTGTAAATTTTATTATGAGCCAATTTCTTTAAGCTTAAAAAGAATAAAGCCTAAAAGAAAAAAGAATAAAGAACTGAGATAGCCAAATAACCAAATTATTGATTCCCAACCTATACAAGGTAGAGCACTATTTTATCATATATATAAAAGTTTACAGTTCCAACTTCTCTCCAACTCCCATTTCAAGAGATAGATGCCTGGAGACCAGGGATACTATGGCCAGTAAACACATGAAACTGTTTAACAGGCCAAAGAAGAGTTGAAATTGACAGATCAAATTGGAAAGGTAAGCGAGGGCAACATAACAAAGATCATATTAATGAAATCATACTAATACATTAATTATACTTCAATACAAGGATAATGAACACTTAAAAGTAACATAATTTTCAGGAGGAAAAATTGCATGATCCCTCTAGAAAGATCACCTTGGTTGTGTTAAGGGAATAGACAGGTGTTAGGGGAATAGATAGGAAGTGATAACAAACTGCAAAAGATGAAAGACTTGAATTAGCAGTCTTGAAGAAAAAGATAAGGTGCCAAAAGCTTTTGCTGGATGTGTGGCTTAAGAGACCTTGGGTTCAAACTCCAGTACGGCCCTGCTCCCCTCCACCCCACACACAGGAGATATGGAAAATGGAATGTTTAAGACAACTGTTTTCTGCTATAGGCAACTACATGAACAGGGTGACTAAAATTCTCTGTGTTGATGGGGCCAGGTAGGAATGTCAGGTTTCAAATGAGTTCAATTTTATATATGCTGAATTATTTACAGGGAATCCAAGTGGAAAGTTCTAACCTACATTCAGCTATTCATGATGAGTAGACTTTGGGTTAGAGATATCAGTTACGTGAGCCATTCACAGAAAGAGCAACAGATATGTATGTACATAAACTAAAAATAAAGAGCAACAAAAATCAAGAGAGTGAACTACACTACCCAGAACATGAACTCCATGGTGGATAGCCTAGAAGTAGAACAGGATAGAGATAACCCTGAAAGGCAGAGATTAGCAAGGTCAAAGCAGAAGAAAGATGAAACTCCATCAAAGTAGTTGACTACAAGGTCTAGACTGGGAAGCAAATCAAATCAAGCTATCTTGAGTTGACATAACTAAAGGAAGGAAGAACTGGAGGTTGGGATTAAGGTGGGACTAAAGGAAAAAGCTGCCACACAGAAGAATGATTGAGGGGGAGGTGAATTCAACTATGATTTATGTGTAAGAACTTATGTAAATTTCACAGTGTACCCCCATTACAACAGTACGATAATAAAAAAAAATAATCAAAAAAAGGGTTGCTATACAAATTCACCTATCACTCCGTAAACAGTTTCTGAAAAAAGCTAAGGTCCTTGCAGGAAAGGCAATCATTCTCTTCCTAGCATAACCTTTGGACATACTATGAAAATAAAAACTGGATCCGTTGGAGGTGACTGTGATTATTTATATGTTCCTACTGCTTGTTGGACTTTATTTACCCTAGTGACTATGTAATTGTGAGTACAATTACAATAATGTACATTTTAGTACTTCTTATGTTAAGGTCCTTTTTCATATAACTATAAATGTAAAAAAAAATACAGCTTGATTTTAATCACTCTCGCAGGTATTTTAATGGAAATTTTAAACTTAAAAAGGTACCTGAAAAAAAATGAGAAAATATCTACTCCTAATCAATTTTCAAGATCACTGTTAAAATTAAAAATATTAAACTATTTGTTTTACCAAAAACAAATTTTTCAAGTTTGCAATGATAACAATACTTACTGTAACTGCAGCATCCATTTAGGAAACAATTTTTCATATTGTTGACTTAATTGCTTAAGTTCAGTGGAAAAGGAAGGAGAAAACTTGCTCAGTAAGTTTCGCAAAGTTTGCTTTAACAAAAAAAAAAAAAGAAAAGAAAATCATTCTTAGACCAGATACAACAAATCAACCCAAACTAAGACACTTCCTTAGAAGCTGAGGTTTGGAAATGAGTAAACCAACTGATTATACACTGTACTTCAAATAGGACTGAAATATTTGTTTTCTTAAACTGTTTTTTAACATTTTTTTTACTACAAATATTTAACAGGAGTAAAATATTTGCTAAGTTTTGTTCAGGACCATTTAAATGATTGTAAATTCCAAATATAAAGCTTTAATTTCTAAAAAGATAATTACTGGTAAGATGATCAAACCTGCCTCCCAGCTTTGACAACAAATTCAGACAGACTGAAAAAACCTATGGGATTTGGGGCTGGAGGAAGCAGGTCACTGGAAGGGTGCCTTAACCGGTATATCTTGTCCCTGGCCCTTTCCTGTTTGCTTCCCTGCCTCCCGTCCACTATGAGGTAGGTGAACCACTTTGCTCTACCACCTGCTTCCCACCATGATGTTCTACCTCACCATGCAGAGGCCCAGAAACAATGGAGCAAGGTAATCATGGACTGAAATCTCTGAAATGGTGAACCAAAATAAACCCTCCCTACCTTAAGTTGTTTCTCAGGAATTTTGTCACAGCAACGAAAAGTGACTAACACAGTTTAGCAAAATTTTAAAAACAGTAATAGTTAACAAAACAAAACAAAAAAAACCTGAGGGACTTACATCCAGAACACAGAAATTCATGCTGGTAAATCAAATAAGGTTCATTTTTGAAATGAAAATTCCAGCAAAATCTGTATCTTTCCCTGGCACTGCCATGTTTTCATGACTCTACCTTTAAAGTATATGTTCTTCTAGTCTACGGCTATACCACCCTGAACGCACCTGATCTCGTCTACAGTACATGTTCTTCTAAAGATTAGTTGCAATCAATACTCCAAGCACCCTGGTCTGTACAGTTCTTAAAGAGAAACAGGAAACTATCTCTTAGTAAAACTGTTGAGCAGGTAGTATTTTAAAAATCTCTCTCAACAACAGTACAAAAGTAGATATGCTAGGCAAACACTCTATGACTTAAGCCATGCCTCCAGCCCTAAAAAAGTGGAGAAAGCCATGGTATCATTTCCAGTAGTGCTTTATACTAGATTATCTGAGTCTATTTACTTGAGTATTCTGGAATGTTACTCCCATCTATGCACTTCTATTTTAAGCTTCAATATTCTTGGAGATTGCACTATTGGCCCCAGTATTTCCTCTGTAAATCCAATCCTTTGCCACATGATCTTGCTGTCTGTCCATCTAAATGGGTATAGTTCCCTACCTGTTGACTTTATTTTCAGCTATGTGATTTGTTGTGACCACTAGAATGAGTAACATGCCAGTTTTAAACCTAGGCTTTTAGAGGTCACATTTTTCCACTTCATTTAAGCCTGCCAATTGTAATGAGAATCTACTGATGCAAAGAGGAAAAGACATGAAACAAATCCTAGTTCAGCCTACCTCCTGCTAACCCACAGACATGAGAAATAAATGCTTACTGTTACATGCTACTGAGGCTGTACTGTTAAGCCATGCTACATATCCAATCAATGAAATGCTTTCCCCTCCTTTATTATGGTCAACAGGGATTTCTTCCAGCTTCTTAAAGATCTTTTTGCCTGTAGGTCTTAGTCTCACCCATTTATTTTTCTTCCATGATGCTTATATAAAATGTATGCTCTAAACAAACATTAGTATCATCTCATTCTTGGAACAATTTGGCTTTCTCCCACTTAGCTTTAGCAAATCTTTGATTTGAGTCTTGATACCAATGAGCCAGGTGACAAAAATTTCAAAGGAAAAGAACCATGCAGTACATATCCCTCTTCTTTTCTGTATCTCAAAAACTGTCAAAAATCCTGCGCACCTTAGAAAAGTCACTAAATTCTGGCTTGCAGAATACAGATTAAATTCAAAATATAAAATTCTCCAAAATCTGAAACTTGTTTTTTTGGCAGTACTGGGGTTTGAACTGAAAGCATTGGGCTTTCTAGGCAGGCACTCTACTGCTCCAGCCTTTTTTGCTCTTGGAGATAGGGTCTTACTTTTTGCCTACATAGGCCTGAATTGAGATTTTCCTATTTTAAACTTCCCACCATTGCTGGGATGACAGGGACCACACTTACTTTTGTTTGGTTGAGATGGAGGGCTCTATAACTTTTTGCCTAGGTTAGTCTCCCTTGTAGCTTAGGATGACAGGAGCATACCACATGATCTAGCTATTGCTTGAGATGGGGTCTCGCAAACTCCCTGCTGAGACTGGTCTCAAACTGCAATCCTCACCATCTCAGCCGCCCAAGTAGCTAGAATTACAAGCATGAGCCATAGGTGCCCAGTCAAAATCTGATACTTGTTGAATATTGACATGATGCCACAAGAAGAAAATTCCACACTTTACCCAGGAGAGGTCACATGCACTGAAAATATGATCTAAAATTACCTGTAGGCTATGTATACCTGGTATATATATGAACATAAATGAATTTTGTGTCTAGATTTGGGTCTCATCCCCAAGATGTCTCATTATGTTTATATAAACATTCTAAACTCCCATAAAATCCCAAATCTGAAACACTTTGGATCCCAAGCATTTTAGATTATGGACACTAAACCTGTATAATAAAATCTTGGTCATCTCTGAGCCAATAAACCCTACTTTAGTTTATAAACCCTACTTTCTATTGAAAGATTTTCTCATACAGATGATTTTATCTCGTCTTAGGTGAGGTACTCATCAAAACTCCAACAAGTATTGCCGTATGGTACTTTTTGTGAGATGACTTACTGGAGCCATAGTACCCAGTAACCTCACCACCTTATTGTATTGGACAAGTTTTCCGTAGCATCATCAAAAAGAATACCCTCTACATTCTGCAAGTTTCTAACTGAAAGAAAGCCAGGTAGCACACTCTGTTTTATGACCAGTTTGAGGTTCAGTGAATGTGTGGGTTTACTGAATAGCAGAGATTAAAGGTATATGAACATCAAGGAAGTATGACATAATGATTATTACAAATCCTGAAGAAATGAAAAGTAGTAAGAGGAAAAAAATGTATAATTATATCAATTTCCAATCCAGTGAATTATTTACCATTTAATAAAAAAAATATGTAATAATGACAATACTTTGTGTTTCACTTGGTCGGGGCAATACTTTTTTGTGTGTGTGTTACTGGGGTTTGAACTAAGGGCCTCACACTTAATAGGCTCTACCACTTGAGCCGCACCTCCAGCTAGGGCAATAATTCTGCTTATGCTTCAAACAAATATGTACTAAATTTGTTACTAAAATGCTGTACATTATAGGTCACAAGTGGAAAAGTTTCAAAGTAACATTATTTGCAACATACCTGATCCAGTTTAGCTCTCTTTAGCTTTTGCAGTGTTCTATCAGAAGTTAAAACTTTCGAACTGCTGTGAGCTTCAAAATATTCTTCTACTAAGTCACTCTGGAAGTAGACAGAGTCAAGTCAGTTCTAAGTAGTTTCAGATATATCCAAACTATATAGCAATCAGTATAAAACAGTGCATATAAAATTATTTTCTGTGTGTTTGGTTGAGGCAGGTTGAGGAGGTATTACACAGAATTTTCCTTTAAGGTTACAATCTCTTTCTTCACTTACTGTTTTATCTCTTTTCATTTTCTTAGAAGGTATTCCTTTACCAGGAGCTGAAACTACTGTATTCTGAGCTTGAATCTTTTGGCTGAACATGATTTCATTAGTGTCTTCTTCATATTCCTTTGTAACCCCTTCATCATCCTCTGAGTTCGAAGCAGAATATTCACTCTCACTGTCAGAATGAGACTTTGGCACTGTAGGGGGATAAAAGCAATTGGGAAAACTTGACAGTTTGACAAGAGAGTCATTGTGGAGTAAATGAAAAAGGATGCAGGCCTTACTTGTTCATGATTTCACTAGAGTACTTACATAAATTCTCTGATTACCAGTTTCTCATTTATCAAATGAGGCCAAAGTACCTAATTTAATAAATCATTGGGAAGATGACACTGAAATGTACCTAAAGCAACTAATAATGGCTGACATATAGAATTGTGATAGAATCTGCCAACCATACCTAATACCACTTTCCTTGTTAGTAAAACTTCCTTTTTGTTAAAATGTGGCACTGTTCCACAGCTCATGAGATCAATCATGGTACCGTATTTTCCCTCTGCCAGATACTTGCTTCTGCAGCCTCCCTTGCAACTAATTGGTTATACAGCCTCTATACCAACGAGACTTAAATTTGCTGGAAGCTTCTGGGAAAGATTGTTCCTTGCTTATGGAAGTTATGTCTACATACTCACTTACATACATAGCTTAAAGTAATGGAAGCTATTCTCCAATATGAAGTATCACACCTAAAGCTGAAAAATGCTAGAGGCAGAAGAAAGATAGAAACTGGGTCCTTAATAATACATCTGAGTTGCTTTTTTTAACCTTGGAACATGTACCTCTAGACTTGTTAGAGAAACTTAAGTGTCTACAGTTTTAAACAACTACTATAAAATTTTCTGTGTTGCCTATTAAAAATGCCATCCTAACTGATCTAGTAATGAGTAAATGGAAGCTAGTGTATACTAATACATATACCACTCTACCCTACAGTTGATTCAAGAATCATATTTTTAGGCTGGTGGAGTGGCTCAATTAGTAGAACACCTGCTTAGCAAGTGTGGGGCCCTGAGTTCAAACCCCAGCCACTCTCATCACAATCTCACAACAATAGTTAGTTTTATACTTATCAAATAAGGATGTAACTATTTTTAATAGTCAACAAATCTAGAACTATTTTTTAAAGTTAACTTCCAAAATATTAACTTTAGCCAAATAGGTAATAAATGTTTTCCAAAGGATTATCCACAATCAGCATATAACAAAAACACATATTTAAAAAAAAGGACTTCATTTTGTGGGCATAGATAGTTTAGCAGATTCCGATTTGCACTAAAGTTGCTCATGGTATATGTGCAGGTTAGAAGCAGTAGCTGATACTAGGAAATGTTTCTATCTTATTAACACGCAGGCAGACATGTTTGTTGGTGAATGAGAAGGAAGAGTTTACCTTTTCTCTAAAGAGCATTCTTCTTTGGGGTAAGGAGAAAATATAAGACATGGGATGTGTTTCAAATGAAATAATAAGAGTAATAATTATAGGAATAATAATAATTGCATATTTTATCTTTTACTACTTCAGATAGCCAGTCACTTAGCATTACCATTCCTATCCTTATCAAAAATGTGGTATTAACAGCTATATGAAATCCATACCTTGAAAAGAAAGGGTTACGGCATGAAGCCCTTATTTTTTACTAGACTTGACAATAATAGTTAATATTATTGCCAAGGGGTCAACACCAAGAAAAAGGTTTACATCTTCCTGAAATATAAAGACCAACAAGCCATCTGCCCCAAAGTAAACTACTCAAACATCTAAAAACATCCTTCATTTTCCAGAAGGCAGACCCTGTGTCTGTTTATTTGGCTTTCAGTACCATTCAGTACAGTTCTGAATATTTAATTATAAAATTTCTCAATAAACTAACAGAAATAACAAAAAGGCATGTTATTTTGTTGGAGAGATGTTCAAACCAAATTCAATATCCAATGACTACAATATGAAAGACACTAAGTTTTGAAGTTATAAAGATTAAATAGTCTATCAGTCTTTGCCATTAAAGAATGTACAGTTTGAGAACATGAGTATATCCTTTCTTTCATGAAAAGAAATAGCAAGTTATAATAATTGCAATAACAAAAGACAGAAACTAACATTTGTTAAGCTTGTTCTGAGGTCAAATACTACCCTGAGCATGTGTGAAGTCCTTTATTTCAACTAGTCCTCAAAACAACTGAGGTTGGTACCATGAAAAAACTGAACCATAGGAGTAACCATTACTGACCCTTATTTAGATGCTATTTTTACAAAAACTTCATGTAAAAAGAAATACATACCTATTAATCTTTTCCTCAGACTACGTGGTGGTGTTGCCATAAATTCATTTTTGTCATTGCTCTGTTTAAAAATAAAAAATCCGTAATAAATAATACAATAGAAGTTATGACTAATCTGAGAGGAAAAAAAGCTAGAAAAGAAAACTATTTTTCTTTCAATAAATAACATTAGAACTAGATGAGTCAGTTCCTAGAAGATAATGACAAATGAATTTGGTGAAACAAAAAATAAAGTGTTTAACAGGAAAAATAAAATAACAAATTCTATGGCATTACTAGTGTTTGTAGAAATTGAATTCCAAACATGTGTAAAGTACGTATACACTTTTATTATTGTTTAAATAAAGGGGCATCCGAATATTAACCTTTTAAACCAAGTTAGAATTATGTTGTTGTTGTTAAGATTGGGTGTTACTATGCGGCCCAGCTGTCCTCAATCTCAAGATCCTCCTGCCTCCACCTCCTGAGTGCTGGGATTATTGGCATGCACCAACACACCTGGCTTAAAATTTTTAACTTTTTACAGAAGTATAAATTGTTTTCTTCTCACAGAATACTTTAATACCATTAAATTTCTAGCACATTAAAATGTCTACTGTTATACAGATTAACTTCTAGCAGTACTTATAAAAAGATAAAATATCCTGTGTTTCCTTGTCAACATGTCATTTTTTGACAATATGACAAAAATTAGATCTGTTGTCCTGTGATAGTGATTAGTGAATGCTAGTTATAAATATTAATAAAATTTCATTTGGAGATATTAAGAAGACTACTATACTAAGTTAGTCTTTTCTCAATAGATTTATGAAGTATATTACTGTATGTTTCAACATTTTTATTGTTGATGGTACCAGAATTTGAACCCAGAGCCTTGACCATACTAAGAACATGTTATACCACTGAGCTACACTATACATCCAGTCCCTATATCAACATTTTTTTCATGAAAATCCTTAAAATTTTTTATTTTTTGCCATTTTGATGCAGTACATATGTGCATATTGAATTGAAAAATATTATGATAAAATAATACTTACAAAAAGAAATTCTATTTCATTTTTTAAAATACAGGTAGTATATCCTACTAAACTGATTTCAAATTTGAAAATTGCAACAACTTGCATCTACCCAGCTTAATTAGTCTGTGAACTTAGAACACACATGTCAAAATAACTATTTCAAAAAATTCTTGCCCACAAAATACTACTTCCCTGCTTGTTACAGGAAATTTCTATTCTCTGTTCTTTCTTTACAGTTTGCCCATTTGAGCCAACTGTTCTCCCATGAGGACAACAGATTACTCCCTAAAACAGCCTGTTCATCATCAAACAACAGTTTCTTTGTCAAGATGCACTTCACGACCCTCTTTTTATGGCTGGTGGAGTGGCTCGAGTGGTAAGAGCGCCTGCCTAGCAAGCATGAGGCCCTGAGTTCAAACCCCAGTGCTGCCAAAAAAAAATTCTTTTCCACTTACTGTAAAACACCATGTCCACATCTTTGCCCAAAACCATCAGTTCTCCATTTTGATACATGTATGTTAAACTACTTGAGCTGAGATTCCCAAGCCCTACATACACTTCCTCTTGAACTGCCTCCTCTAAGACAGCACAATAAGACCTTGCCACAGTGATCTCTTATCATGGTAGGTGGCTTTGATCAGTGGGTTTTCTGATGGTCTTTGGGGCAGCTGACAAGATTTAATCATAGGTTAACCTATGATTAAGTTTTTCCAACTTGAAAAAGAAGGTCCGATGCATCTAAATTCTTGCTTATAGAAATATGTTTCTTTTATAGTGATATATCATAAGACACAATGAAGGGAAAAAAAAAAGCATTATTAAAGGCAAAGGAGGCTCTGATGTGTCTAATTTTATATACATATACTTACCTAAATAGAACATTGTTGCCAAAGTCATAACCAAGGTCTTGAATGCCTATATTCCCCTCTTGTAAAAGGGCTTAATAAGCCGAGAAATCTAAATCTAGACCAAATCCTATACTCAACTCAATATACCCAATGCCCTAAATTTCTCCATGACATGTTAGGCTTGCCCATATCCAGGCAGGGCCACTTGACAGAGCACAGTAAAAAAAGAAAGTCACTAAAACACAAAAGAGGAGATAAAAACTGCCAGTTCCTTTCAGCCAACTTGGTTGACAAATGTAAATAATAAAAGTATAGAATAATGGATTTAGTGGATCAACTCCTCCAAAAAACACAGAATGTTATTCAAGACCCATAAAATTTCCCAGACAGTTACTAAGTTAAAAATACCAGAGAGCATTGGTGACATGGCAGAAAAAGGACAACAGTTGGGTTCAGAAGATTTGATTAATTTTCCAGCTTCATTCTTTCCAAGTTGGTGAATTCAGGCAAGGTCAGCTCACCTCTCTGGCACTTCAAATTCTTTAACAATGTCAAGTATGTAACTAGAAAACACCTATAAACTATAAAGTGCCTATAAAAAACTAAGAGAAACCAGGTGGCTATGTTCATCACATGTCTTTGTAACACTAAGGTTTTTTGGCTTTGTTTTTAGTGAATTACTTACTTTTAGCTGAACTTTGTCTGAAAGCAGAATGCCTAAATGACATACAAAGGCATATTTACTTAGCAAATAACTTTTACTTTTCACTAGTTTCATTAAAAGCAAAATTGTAGCTTCTATAGAGAAGCCACCATGTTACTGAGTTCTCAATCAACTACATTTCCACTAGAAGCTAATTTGTAACTATTAATTTCATTCATGGTTACTTGCATTAGTGGTAGCTATTTCCTACATTTCTGTAAAGCATTATTAAAGGCAAAGGAGGCTCTGATGTGTCTAATTTTATATACATATACTTACCTAAATAGAACATTGTTGCCAAAGTCATAACCAAGGTCTTGAATGCCTATATTCCCCTCTTTGCTAAAAGGCTTAACTAAGCCCAGGAAAATCTAAATCTAGACAAAATCCTATACTCAACTCATATACCCAATGCCCTACATTTCTCCATGACCATTTAGGCTTGCCCATATCCAGGCAGGGCCACTTGACAGAGCACAGTAAAAAAAGAAAGTCACTAAAACACAAAAGAGGAGATAAAAACTGCCAGTTCCTTTCAGCCAACTTGGTTGACAAATGTAAATAATAAAAGTATAGAATAATGGATTTAGTGGATCAACTCCTCCAAAAAACAACAGAATGTTATTCAAGACCCATAAAATTCCCAGACCAGTTACTAAGTTAAAAATACCCAGAGAGCATTGTGACATGGCAGAAAAAGGACAACAGTTGGGTTCAGAAGATCTGATTAATTTTCCAGCTTCATTCTTTCCAAGTTAGGTGAATTCAGGCAAGTCAGCTCACCTCTCTGCACTTCAAATTCTTTAACAATGTCAAGTATGTAACTAGAAAACACCTATAAACTATAAAGTGCTATACAAACTAAGAGAACCAGTGGCTAATGTTCATCATGTCTTTGTAACACTAAGGTTTTTGCTTGTTTTTAGTGAATTACTTACTTTTAGCTGAACTTTGTCTGAAGCAGAATGCCCTAAATGAAATAAAAAGGCATATTTACTTACAAATACTTTACTTTTCACCATGGTCTAGTTTCATTAAAAGCAAAATTGTAGCTTCTATAGAGAAGCCACCATGTTACTGAGTTCTCAATCAACTACATTTCCACTAGAAGCTAATTTGTAACTATTAATTTCATTCATGGTTACTTGCATTAGTGGTAGCTATTTCCTACATTTCTGTAGCATTCTAAAAAAGAAAAAAATGGAGCCATTTTTCTTTTTCTTTTATTTTTGCAGGACTGGAGTTTGAACTTAGGGCCTTATGCTTGCTAGGCAGCCACTCCTACTACTTGAACCAGTCCACCAGACCTGTCGTTGTGTTGGGTATTTTCGAGATAGGGTCTCAAAAACTACCTGCCTGGGCTGGCCTTAAACCGTGATCCTTCTGATCTCTTCCTTCTGAGTATCTAGGATTATAGGTTCACACTACTACTGGCACCTGGCCCCTTTTTCTTTTTAATTATTAGAAAGTACACTGTTTAGGGTCAGATGTGGTGGCACACAGCTATAATCCCAGTATTTGGAAGGTGGAGATAGAAGGATGCAAGATTGTCAAAAAGTCAGTGAGACCCAACTCAAAAGATAAGCCCAAGCTAGATGTTAGTAGCTCACACCTAAAATCCCAACTACTTGGAAGGTTGAGATCTAAAGGACTGTGGTTCAAAGACCAGCCTGGCAAAAAATTCCTAAGACCCCATCTTAATGGAAAAAAGCTGAGTGTGGTAGCATGCACCTATCATCTCAATGATGGCCAGAATCTTATAATAGGAGGATTGTGATCCAGGCTGGCCTGGGTAAAAAGTGATACCTTATCTCCAGGACAACAAGAGCAAAAGGGCTAGAAGTGGCTCAAGCAGTAGGGTGCCTGCCTAGCAAGCAAAAAGCCCTGAGTTCAAACCCCAGTACTGACAAAAAGAAAAGCCCTGTGCGGTACACTATGCCTATGGTCCCAGCTACTCTGGAGCGGAAGATTGTGGTTGGAGGACAGTCCAGGCAAATATCCAGACCCTATCTAACAAACAACTCAAGACAAAAAGTGCTCAGGGTATCGCTCAAGGTAGAGTGTGCTTGCCTAGCAAGAACAAGGCCCTGTGATCAAATTCCAGTAATTTTTTTTTTTTTTTTTTTTTGCTGTACTGAGGCTTGAACTCAGAGCCTCACACTTGCTAGGCAGGTACACTTAAGCTATTCCACCAGCCCCAAACTCCAGTACTGCCCCCCCAAAAGTACACTATTTATACCACTTGGAATGGATCATTCAAAAATACCTGCTTTTCAATTCTCCACAATCCATACAACTGTGAAACCTCAAAAGCCTTATTTCATAGACTATGCTAAAGCCAAATCTTCCCTGAGCAAATGGCTACTCAAGCAAATGACAACGGGACTTAAAAGATGTTTCTAGTTGGCCCTGTCAATTTGCACAACTTCAGTTAGCAGAGATTTTTCCCTTATATTGACTATTAAGTATGGGTAGATGTAGGGCAACAAGTTGGGAGTATTAACTGCGTTTTGTTGCATAAATTTTTCTAATAGAAAAGATGAAAATTTGCTCAGAAAAGAAAAAAGTAACTAACTTGAAACAACTATGAAAATTCTTCCTTTTTTTTTTTGGCTCCCCGTTGGGGAATTGAACCCCGAAAATTCTTTTCAAAGAACTATGGTAGCATGATGCCTTACCCTTGCTACTTTGAGGAACGCTTATCGTAATTTCAGGGTCATTCTTCAAACTGAATGAAACACTTTTTCTTGGTGTTTTTGCCAGTTCTGAAGCTGTATCAGACAAACAAATATATTAAAAACCTCTTAATGAACAACAGGAGATGTAGAGGGAAATGGCTTTTTTTCACTTACCTAAGTTTTTAAAAACAGAAAACCTGCACATTTTTAAGAAAGATAAATAGACCTACCCATATATTAAGAGTACTATTTTTACTATTATTAAGCTGTCTTCCTACAATGTCTTCTATCTTCCAATTATGCACAAGTTTCTCAAAAAATAAAATCAAGTAACTTGAACACTGCAGCTTTCTCTACCATATTCTATCAACAACTTCTCCTCCTCCTTCTGTTTCTTATCATACATACTGAAGGCAGAGCTTCACTAGGAGCATAATGGGAGAAAGTAACACCTGAAGCCAAGTCAAAACTGTGCATAGGTGAAATTACATTTTAAAATCTCGTAAATTTCCCATAAAATGCAGTCTTCTTTTGTGTCTAAAACTCTGTAAGTATTGAGCTAGCGGCTGTTTCTTTGGTTGAACATAAGCTTCTGTTCAGGGAACATTTTAAATGAAAAATCTAATCTTTAATGATGCTTATTGCACCCTGACACTATGACAGGGATGTGGGAAACCAACCTTAAATGAAGGAATATATTTACATTTCCCAAATTAACACTCACACTGGGACTTTGCTCATTGAGCACAAAGGTACACAGCAGTTAAATGATCTCATTTCTTTTTCTTTAAATGGACAACATGTTGTTAAATGTGTGTAAGTTAAAGCTATTTTACTGGCCTCAAAGCCCTACCAAAACTCGCTTCCACTTTTATCTTCTAATATTGAAACTGGCCACTTTCTTCTTAACCTCTTGTTCTTCTATATAATTCATTAAGAGTTTTTAAAAAAGTCTTTCCTTGAATTGATTTCTCTATTTGGGCTCTACTACTATTATCTTGGTCCCTGGCTACTCTGGTAGTGTATTTTACCTCTTCTTCACTGTCCTCATCCTCTCCAAAGTTCTAGGCATGCCAATAGCTCAGTCCTTAGCCATCTCTAATACTGGGAAAACGTACATTTGCTTTAAAGGCTGCAAATCCACAAAATGGGAAGAAACTTTTTATCAACCAAAAGCCACACAAATAAAAAGAAATTTAGCGAGATTATTTTATATTGAAATGAAAATTCTCTATCTGATTGTAGACAGGGTCTCACTATGTTACCCAGGTTGGTCTTGAACTCTTGATCTTCCTGCCTCAGCCTCCTGAGTAACTGGGATTACAGGCAGGCACCACCACAATCAGCTTTCTATCTCACTTTAATTAACTATTAAAACACAAAAGGAACAGTGAGAAGGGAAGTAAAAGAATGGAAGAAAAAGAACATCAATGTGAGCACACAGAGATAGGCAAATACCTCTCAGGTGACTCAAATTCAACATGTGTAATAAACACTAGCACAATGTCCAGTACAATTCTCTTTCTCTGAAAACTCTTCCTGCAGAATTCCCTATTCTAGCACCTCTATCTATGAAGACATTAAGTCCAGAAATCTCAGGACTATCCTAGACCTCAGCTTCTTCCTGTTCCATTCTTGACTGCATCTCTAATGCAGTCAAGACCTACCACCTTCACTCTGGCTATTACATCTGTCTGGACTCTTAAGAATAACCAGCTCTCACTGCTGTCATGAGGTTTCTAAGTTACAAATCTGATCAGGTAACATCTTTGCTTCTTACAATCATCTAATGACTTCACCTCATCTTATCCATAGGTGTTACATCCCTTTGCTTGATACACAGGCCCTCATCCATCACCTAAAACTTATCTTTACTAGAGTTCATTTTGCAATTTGTGTTCCAACTGTATCTCATACCCTTTTCTCTTAAATATCCTTTTCTCCCTGTATTCCTGACAAATTCCTATTCATTCCTCAAGAATTGGCACTATCACCTCTAGAGTGTTTGATTTGTCCCAAACAGAGGTCTTTCTACCTTGGGCAATTGCAGTAGCTCGCACGTAACACTATGGAGGCTGGGTAGTAATAGTCAAGGGGGAAAGCTTTGAATTAAAAACAGTTTAAATGTTTAAATGTGAATCTGTCATCTAACCTGTGATTTTTGTGCAAACTGTAGTTCTTCTAGGTTCTAAGAAACTGTAGGTTCTTGTAGGTTCTATATGTATATAGACAGATTGCATATATAGCTCTGAGTAAAGATCCTAGAATATAGTAATTGCACAACAGAAACAAATGAAAAAATGAACACTGGGGTGCCATCATGGATAGTTTATAATCTAGCTCAGAACAAAGATATCTGGGCATGAAATAAAAGCTAATGAACTTAAGTGTGTTTAACATAAAATGACATCATTCTTTTTGGAAATGTCGAATTCCCAAAACCTTAGGAAATGTTTCACCATTCTTTTAGGGAATATAATAGGATGATAACTGTGGGGAGCATGGTTAGTGTCTATAATGACTAGATATCAGAAAAGCAACATACCTAATTTAGCCATCTTTTCAGGGGGTTTTCTATTCTGAAAAGAATAAACTTTATTCCCCCCATCTGCAGCAGAGCCATTTTTCAAGGATTCTGAAAAAGAATACAATATGCATTTAGGAAAAAGGGATAAAGTTAACCTGAAAGAATATATAAAACTTTATATCTCTTCTTACTGCATTGCATAAATGATACATATTTTTATATAAAAGTTGAAAATTCACAATAAAGAAAATATGTTGATCCTACTTATATAAATTTTAATACAAAAAACATACTATTCACAGACACAACATTTTTTTTTCCTCCAGATTGATGGATTAATAGTCTGAGAATTAAGCTAAATATGTCCTGGTGTGTACTGCTCATAAGGTTACGCTTCAACATGAAGTAAAAGGATTATTCTGTAAAGACTGTCTTCATCAGTTTTGTTGTTACAACAGAATACTTTATAAACAAAAGAGGTTTATTTAGTTCATAGTTCTGGAGGTTCAAGGACATAGCACCAGTATGGGCTCAGTTATGATGAAGGTTCCCTTGGCTGTGTCACATGGTATATGGTGTCATGGTAGAAGCAGGTACGAGACAAGAAGCCTGAGAGCAATTCAGGTGACAAGTTCACTGCTTTACTTTTTTTTTTTCTTTTTCTTTTTTTTTTCTTTTAACTGACTCTTGCAAGAACTAACTCAGGGCCTCACAAAAACTACTTAATCCATTCTGAGAGTAGCACCCTTAATGACCTAACTAACTCCCACTAGACTCCACCTCTTAAAAGTCTCACTACCTTTCAACCTCTTCACACTGGGGCTATACTCTCAACACATGAACCTTTAGGGAATAAACCACATTCAAGCCATAGCAGAGATCCTTATTAAAAAGGATTTTTTTTTTAACTCTTCATAAACATTCTGTGTCAAATGACCCTCTATGTTCTAAAAGTCCTTGTTTTCTGTTCATAATAGTTTATGCAGAAATTTACTGTTCAGTATCTCACATAAGGTAAAAGATGACTAAAAAAGATGACTAAAATAGATGTGACCATTTCTTCCATATAGAAAAGATTAAAGCACTACTTTCAATAATTCATCTGGAACACCACTCTCTTCTACCCCTGCCACATGTTGGCAAATAACAAGAGAAAAAGAAAAGACAAGTCATGTTGGTTAAGATGTAATTGTAAGTCATAGATTCTCTGTTGTACATGCCTATAGTCAAATGAGGCACTCTGTTTACAGGACTCAAGAGACTACTGACACAGTTGAAAAGCTTGTACCAATACAGTTTATGTCCAAAGAAAGAAAGACCCTTTACAGAACTCTGTTTCTATGTCTATTTATTTTACTAAGATCAAGAGAACCATACAGTACAATCTTACCTAGGAAAGAGACATATCTAGTTTGAGACCTTAAAACAGTAAAACAACATCCCTACATCCAAGTTTCATAGAACACTGTTATAATCGGTTTTCTCAAATGATATCACAATAAATTGGGGTATGTAGCCCACTTGGCAGGTTGAGGAGGGAAGACTGCTTGAGCTAAGGTCAAGACCAGCCCTGGCAACATAACAAGAGTCCAATTCAAAAAACACAGAAAAAAAGCAAAACTCTTTAACAGCATTTTGAGATAGGGGAGATAGTAAAGGACCAAGACCATGTATTCTAAATATATACCTTTTTTTCTAAGAATGTAAGAATTTGGATAAACAGCTAGACTATATTACCTCCATGTGACCCTCTCTAACTACTGTTTTGAAATAGATTTATGTGGATTTTGGGCAACCAAGTTTGAGATAATCCCTGAAATATAAATGATATTTGGTTTTATTTTATATAAGCCAAGGGCTAAATTATGCTCCTTTGTGACACAGAAGCCTGACCGGAGTCCTTTTCTGAACAATAGGCTAATATCTCTCAGGTTGAAAATAGCACTGAGAACCCACTTCAATATCTCTGTAGCCTTGGTGCTTCTCCTGTACACACAACTGATATGATGGCTATTTCTGAAAATGGAGGGAACTTTCACTGCTATGTTCCACTCACATGTGATATGTTATTTTAAGAAAAAATTTTTTAAAACAACAAGCACTTTGTTTCTGAAATGAAATACATCTTAAATAACTTCCTCCTTCCCCTACAAAAACACTGGCGGTAACACTAAATATTCAGGAATACGTACTCTGATTAAGAATGTAACCTGTATAAACTTCATGTATTTGGCAATCTATGTCAAAAATGTTCATGACACATGGATATGTAGAACAACATCCTCTCTAGCAAGTTTCCTAAGGGAAAAATAATGAAATGCTCCTAAACATTTAGTATAATATATAGCAAAAGACTGGAAATTAAACACATCTCCAGTAATAGGGGATTCCACTGCACAATGGAATTATCTCTGTAGTCAATAAAAAGAGCATAAGACATTGTTTAATGACATAGAGTAATATGTACATAATACATGTACATATATGAGCTGCGAAAAGCATGTTAGAATACAAGTCTATTTTATAAATTAAAAAAAAAGAATGCAAATTTATGTATGTCCATGCATGTAGACAGAAGAAACACACCAAAATGTTAACAGTCCCACGTACTCTAACGTAGGCATTCTTAATGGTAAAAATTGGTTTTTGGCAGAGGGAAGGGTGTAAGAAAAAAAAAATCTGGTATTACAAAGGTGTGTGGCACTTGAAAGAGTCATAGTACATAAACAGACATACGGCATATACAATGTCAAAAGGCTAATTAGGGAACAATAATCAAAAAAGGTTAAAAGCTTGGAATGGTAGCACACTCCTGTTATCCTAGCACCTGGGAAGCTGAGGAAGGAAGATTTCAAGATGGAGGTCAGCCTGGTTAGACTCTGTCTCCAAAATAAAAAAAGAATAAGCAAAGATAATGACAAAAAAGAAGGCAACAATTCTCAATCAGTCTGCAGAAAGGAAAAATAGGCTATATGTGTGCTGGGTATTGATCTTCTCAGGCCTTTGAGAATGCCAGTCAGGGCCTGGGGTGAAGGGGGGATTAGGGCCACCAGGCAACTGTCCTTGGTCTGGAGCACCTGCATCCATTTATTTGACTATGTCTCCAAATATTTGCAGTGCATGCTATTATGTGAAAAATGTGGGAAGCACTGAGGTTTACAACATACAACCTTTATAACAAGACACAAATTTTTTGGCAGTACTGGGGTTTGAACTAAGGGCGTTGTGCTTACTAGGCAGGCACTCTACCACATAAGCCACACCTCTAGCCCTTTTTGTGTTATTTTTTAGAAAAGGTCTCACGTTTTTGCCTGGGCTAGCCTAGACAGCAATCCTCCTATTTATGCCTTCTGCATAACATGACAGGCACATGCCATCACACCCAGTTTAGTGGTTGAGATGGGGACTGGCTAACCTTTTGCCTGGGATGGCCATGAACATGATCCTCTCAATATCTGCCACTTGAGTAGTGGGGATTACTGACGTGAGCCACCACACCGACTGCAAGAAACATTTTCTCTCAGGCAGTACTGGCATTTGAACTCAGGGTTTCATATTGTGAAACAGATACTGTACCACTTGCACCATGTCTCCAGCACTTTTTGGTCTGGTTATTTTGTAAATAGGGTCTCACTTTTTGCCAAAATCAGCCTGGATGTGATCCTCCTGATCTCAGCCTCCCACATAGCTAGGATGATAGTGTGAGCTACAATGTCCAGCTATTGATTGAGATGGGGTCCACTGAACTTTTTGAATGGGCTAGCTTCAAATTGAGATCTTCCCAATCTCAGCCTCCCAAGTAGTTAGGATTACAGATGTTAGTCACTAATCCACAGCTACAAAAAGCAATTTTTAAGAAAACAAAGGCATCACTACTTGAATATTGTCCTCATTCTTTACTTAGGGCTAGCACAAGTAGTCAAGAACCCAAAGTTTTATTCAGAATATGCCCTAAAAATGTCAACTGTCTAATTAGGAACACTTAGGAGCCTCCACCCCCTGCTCACTAAGTCTAATGAGGGCAGTATGGTTCATGATACTAAACTAAATCTAAATCTACTCTTGAGAATCTAAAATAGGGGAGCTAAAAAACCAAGTCATTTAACACTGGCACTAACCATAAGAAACATAATGACTTAAGAAGTGAGATAGATTGGGAGTAGTCATAATGGCCATTTATAAGTGAAGCATGAGACAGTAAAAAACATACATGCGAAGCTCATGTATGTGGCTCATGTGGTAGAGCACCTGCCTAGCTAGTGTGAGGTTCTGAGTTCAAATTCCAGTCCTGTTAAAAAAAAATGATGGAGATAGATGGCACAGACAGAAAAGATACATTGAGATAACATAACCAACAGATCCATGTCCCTCAGTTTTTTTTTTGTTTTTTTAGAAATAGGTTCTTGCTGTTATCCACACTGGCCTTGAACTTGAGAATCCTTCTATCTCAGCCTCCTAAATGTAGCTGTGATTACAGGGATGTACCACCATGTATGACTATCCCCTAGTTTTTAATGTCATTCCAGTTCCAATGACCCAACAATACTGATTTGTTTCCTTGATCTTCATTGTTTAAAGCAACCTGTAGTGAATCTGTGTTCCTTGTACCTCTAAGAATTTTAGCCAAATTCTAATCCAAGTCTAAAATATGTTTTAAGTATAATCTGGCATGAATTTAATTTAGGTGTGAAAACAAAAACAAAAAACCCAACACAGCTGGGTAGGGTTGTGCATGCCTTTAATACTAGTACTCGGGAGTCTGAGACAAGAAACTTGGAAGTTCTAGCCCAGCCTGGGCTACTTCATGAGACCCTGTCTCAGAAACAAAAACAACAAAACGACAGTACAATATAAACTTACCTATGGTGGGAAAACACTATTTCCTAGAATGTTCCTGCTGACTCTTTCTGAAGATCAAGGTAATAATAGTGACTAGCTGTATGAATTTATTTTTAAAAAGTTAAAAATACAAATAGTATGAGTGGAGACACACTTGTAATCCCAACTACTCAGGAAGAGGTGGAAGGATCACAGTTCAAGGACTGGTTATTTGTTTAAAAACAAAAAACAACGACAAGGGGTAGCTCACACCTGTAACCCTAACTATTTGGGAACCTAAATGGGGAGGATAACAGTTTAAGGCCAGCCCAGGCAACTAGTTCATGAGACCCCATCTACAAAATAACCAAAGCAAAAGAGACTTGAGATGTGGCTTAGCAGTAGACACTTGCTTTGCAAGCATGAAGGCCTGAGTTCAAACCCTAGTCCCACAAAAAGAAAAAAAAATTGTGGAGAAAATACTTGAAGGAAATACACTTTAGACCAATCACACAATTACAGCATTCCAGTGTTTAATCTACCAAAGTACTTTTGTATATCCTGCTGCAAAGCAACTTCTGCTACTCACAGAAATATGAGCATATAGATATCCCATTAGATACCTTGAACATTTCTTCCCAAAACTTCTACATAGTTCTGATCCTTTAAGACTTCCTGGTCACCTTCCTCCAATTCATATTCCGGCTTCTTTATTATCTTTTTGGGGTTAACCAAAAGCTGAGTTCGCTCCTTCTTTAACTTAGTACCTGTAAGAACACTCAAAAAGTTAGAACACGACAGGTACAAATTCTTTCTAAATATTACATCTAAATAAGAGAACAAACTGTACTTCTTGAATGGTCATTACTTAAAAGCTATGGAAAAAAGTCAGTGTTTCTCTTTGATTAAAAGTAATGAACATTCTTCCACAATTTAATTACTGAATTAAACATAGACACATACACACATCCCTTGAAAGTGTTTATTTAGAGGGCATGTCAAAATTACCATATATTTAAATTATAATGGGTAGTTATTATTTATCACTACTGCTGAGCATTTCATTTTCAAAAAGGCTTTATTTTAAATTTCAATTAGAAGTTAAAAGAAGTAAACTAAAAATCAGAGATTTTATTTAGGATGATAGATCAATTACTGTGTAGCATATTTTCAAAATAAAACGTTAAAACATTTAAAAAAAAATTCATATGCATCTCTTGAATTGTACACTCAATACCTCCTTCTCTATCAAGAATGTGATTAAGAACATCATCATCTCCCACGAATTGAACCTCCAGCATCTTGTCTTCCTTTGATTCCTGTTTACTCATCATGGCCAACCTAAACAAAGACAATAAATCAATGCAATGAAGAATCCATACCAACTACCATATCAATTAAACACCCACAAAATGAACATTTACTTATATAACATTATAAGAAGTCTTTTAAAGTTTGAAAGTGTTTTTTTGTATTATTTTATTGTGCTTTTGATTGCAGGTAACGATTATTTTTGGCAGTACTGGTGTTTGAACTCAGGGTCTCACACTTGCTAGGCAATCATTCCATGACTTGAACCACACCTCCAGTCTAAAACATTTTATTTGTAAAGAAAATTCTAACTTATCTATATAACAGCCATACTGACAAAAAGTGAGGTGGCTAAGTGAAGGTTCAGAAAAGAGACAAACATGGACCAGAGGTGTGGTCCAAGTGGTAGAGCATCTGCTTTGCAAGCATGAAGCCCTGAGTTAAAACCCTGGTTCCACCAAAAAAAAAAAAAAAAAAATCAGAAAAGAGACAACCAAAAAATAAAGGTTTGATAGTTTTTATTATTTGTTCACTAGAAAGACACAGTCTACTGGGAGAAGTCTGTGGTACTTTATCAGATCAAATAACCCTCAACCACCTCCCTTTACTTATATTGCATGCTACCAAACACTTCACAAGTATGGCTTTCGAGGTATCTTGGTATATCATAATGAACATAAACAAACTTCAGTTTGGCAATCAAAAGCTTGATCAGCTCTGGCTATTCTGACAAAACTTAGTTTCAAAACTTACAAGGATAATCGCTTAAAACTAATAAATGATGATTCTAACTACTGCCAGATAATCAGCTTACCCTAAATATGAAACTGCCAATTTTTTTTCTCTTTATTCTAATTTATAAAACCTGTTTTTGTCTCTTTGAACAAAAAGAGCTACTGGCTGCCCCTCATAAGTTAGTTACTATTTGCATGAAGATAAATTGTCAAATTTGCTTTTGACAACTGGCACTTTTTTTTTTTTAATTCATATGTGCATACAATGTTTGGGTCATTTCTCCCCCCTGCCCCCACCCCCTCCCTTACCACCCACCCAGCCCCTTCTTCCCCCCCCTCCACCCCTTCGATACCCGGCAGAAACTATTTTGCCCTTATCTCTAATTTTGTTGAAGAGAGAGTATAAGCAATAATAGGAAGGAACAAGGGTTTTTGCTAGTTGAGCTAAGGATAGCTATACAGGGAGTTGACTCACATTAATTTCCTGTGCATGTGTGTTACTTTCTAGGTTAATTCTTTTTGATCTAACCACTTCTCTAGTTCCTGGTCCCCTTCTCCTATTGGCCTCATTGACAGCTGGCACACTTAAATTACTTGTTTCACTGTTATTTACCTTTTAAGGTGCCACGCATTCTGCAGCTGGTAAATTCAGAAGATCACCTGTAATTGGAAAAAGTCAATCAGGGTCAGCTAATAGGCAAAGGGAGACAATGGGGCAAAGCCCAGAAGTCCATGAGTTTTAACGAACATGATAAATGGATAAATGTCCTCACAAAGCCAAAGCTGTTATGATGGTATAGTGAGGTACAAAATGACCTTCCCTATTTTGATCAGAGAACCCAAGAAACAGAACATCTGATTGGGGGAGGGAAAGGTAGGAGGAGAAAATTTAAGTACTTACTATGTGCTAGACACGGTTTTAATTGCATGTTTTCTCATTTATAGGTGTATAAAGATAATACTTCACCCAGAATTTGTATAACCACTGCTAGTAAAACATACCCACCTGGTAATGTTATTACTTCATGATATTACTTCCTATTATGGGAAATCTAGGTATCTTTTAGAAAATGTGTAACTCATTTACATACTTGTATGAAATAAGGACTCTAACAATTTCTTTATGTTTGTATAAAACAAACAGGTTTTTTAAAGGGGTTGTATGTCAGGTACTGCATTAGGCACTTTTATATATATACTAGCTCATTAAATCCTCAGAGACTGTGAGAATATATGTGTGTATATAATTTCCCCAATTTACAGATAAGTAAACTGAGGTTCAACATTAAATTATTCATTAAAAGTCACACAATTAGAAAGTGTGTTAGGGTTGAAACTCAGCTGTAGCAGACTGCCAAATTCCTGATCACTCTATTATATCATTTATCTCTCCTGCAATTGAAAAATCCGTTATCCCAACTGCTTGTTTTGGCCTTTGGAAACTATTCAAAATGTCTACTGGCTTTCCCACATGTCAATATTTCAAATATCCAGAGACGTCCATTGCTCCTCTAAGTTTCCAGATCATCAGGTTAAACATCACTAACAAGTATACTTCAAAGGCAGCCAGATTCAACATAATCTACATTATTTTTATTTACATTTCATACTGCTGCATTCTACAAAGGATTTGAACAAGTGACAGTGAATAAATGAAATAAAACAAGTGGTAAAGTATAAATATTATAAATAATTTTTCTGGGTCAGGGAAAGTATAAGGAAGAGCAAAAAACAAAATCTTGTGAAGAACTTTTGGCTCAAAATTTCATGGTAATCCAAGAAAAAAGAATAAAGTTCTGTTACATAATTCTTATTAGCAAAAGCTTAGTGGTTCTTGAAAATTTATAAAAACAAAGATCTAGCCAGCTGAATACTGTCCTAGGCAATTTTTCTATGGCATTTTTACTTTTTTATTTTTTTGAGACAAGGTCTCATTACATAGCCCAGGCTGGGCTAAAACTAGAGATCCTCCAACCTCAGCCTCCCAAGTACTGTGATTATGGGCATGTATCACCAGGCCCGGCTCCCCGTAGTATTTTAATTGCCTGGACAGAGGTGGCCTAACTCATTCTTGTTTATAGCTAAATGTTATTCAAACAACATATCCTTTCTAAGATTTAAAGCACCTTATTAAGTAGTACAAAGTCACAACTGAGTTTTTTTTTGGGGGGGGGTTGGTACTGGGGCTTGAACTCAGGGTCTCACACTTGCTAGGCAGGAACTCTACCACTTGAGCCACTCTGCCAGCCCTCAAAATTGCAATTGAAGAAAATATTTACCAGACCTCATGAGAAAAATTTTTCCTTCCTTTTCAGTAGTTTCTGAAGACATACTACCTAACATTCATACAGTAAATCCAAAATATGCAGTGAATATTTATGACTCTTTGAGGCACTGTCTTGTTTAAAGATCAATTCCTTGAAAGAATTAACTACAACACAGCAGCACAAAGTATTATCAGTAATATACCTTCTTCTGGGAGCAAAATTGTTTGCTACAATTGTAAAAAAAAGTAATCCTTTTAAAAAGATGGTGATACAGATTAGTGGTTAAGCAACATTTTTATTAGATAATCCTGGATTCTAATATCAGCTTTATACTTTTTAACTGTATGACTTTGTCCAAAGACATTAAGATTAAAAAACATCATGTAGCTAGGTGTGCTGATGCATGCCTGTAATCCCAGCACTCAAGAGGGCTGAGGAAGGAGGGCTGAAATTCAAGACATAGCAAGAGCAGGGGGCAGGTGACTCATGACTGTAATCCTAGCTGCATGGGAGACTTGAGATCGGGAAGGTCGCAGCTCGAGGCCAGCCCAGGCAAATAGTTCACAAGACCCCATCTCCAAAATAACCAGACCACAATGGACTGGAGGTGTGATTCATGCGGTAAAGCGCCTGCTTTGAAAGCGTGAAGGCCTGAGTTCAAACTCCAGTCCCACCAAAAAAAAAAAAAAAAAAACAACTTCCCTATTATCAATATTTTTACTTGAAACTTCAATTTAACCAAACAGATCTCTTAAGTATCTTATTTCATTCCACGTCTAACACAAAAAGGGATAAATGATGAGCGACGTCCATTCAACATTCAGTGCCATTACACAAAGGCGTAGAGGGTCACACGAGTTCTCTTCAGATTGCAATTGAAGTCGTGGAGGACGTAATCGTTCTATTAGCATTTCAACTGTAACGTGAAGAGCAATGCTTCAACATCCATTGAATTTAAAAGGCTGTACCGAAAGATCCCGGTTTACCGACATTTTACAACCAAGCAGGGTGCCAAGATGACCGTTCAGTTCGTTAGCAGGACTTGTGCGGGGCGTCCTGCTGGGATAGCATCCAAAGTTCTGGCTCTAAAGGTAGTTTTGGCACGCGATCCCTTTCCTCCTCGTCCTGTCCTCGCGGTAGGGCTCCGCTCAGCCGTTAGGGCCTGTCCTTGGAGACCCTCGCCCTCCTAAGGTTCCATGCGGCGGGAGCCAGGTGTGTGTCCGTCACTGCCTGACGCCCTGACGGACGGTCCTCGGGTTCGAGTCCTGGGTATTTACGGATTTAGCCCGCGCCTCCCGCCGAGGACCAGTTGGCTGCGCTCCACAAGCCGCTAAGGGCAAGGAGGGGGCGCAGCGACCCTGCCCCGAGGAGAGCAAGGGGAAGTCCCGAGACGCGCGACCCCGCACGCGGGGTCCGGCGCACCTGGACTCACCTCACAAACCCGGAGCTAAGCAGGAACCCCGAGGCAGGCTGCCCGATGCCCACTGCGCACGGCTAGATGTCTGCGGGGCGCTGCTCCAGCCGCCTCACGTCGGACACACACGCCAGCGAGCTGAGTCGTAGTCGTAGGGAAGGCTGCTTCCGCCCCAGCTGGAAGAGCCAAGTTCTCATACACAGTTCTGGGGCAGGAACATGCAGGAGACCCGCGGAGCCCCGTTGGGGGATGGGAGGCCTACGCTGCACACCGAATCTCCCGCCCTGCTCAGGGGGCGGTGCCCGAGCAAGCCAATAGGAAGCGGAATTGGCTAAGAGCGACGGCTCTTCAGGCCAGTCGGAGCCAGTCAGTGGGCCTCGCCCATTAGGAAGCCTCAGGAAAATGAATCCCTAAACTCTGGGTTCCGGGGCCTTCCTTTCCTCTTTCTGTTTCCGGGGAAAGGAAAAGGAAGTGTTGCTTGGATCTGAGGAAAGCTACAGAGACGAAACCGGTTGAACTTTCTGTCTTGTGATCTTAAGTGTTCGTTAGTTTCTGGAGATTTTTTCTTTTGAGGAAAAAGTTAAGGATGGATTCGCTTTTTTTTTTTTTTTAAACTTTTTCTCCTTTGGCGTTAAAGGTAGGACCTCGTGTGTCTCAAGGGTTTAAGGAGAGGAAACAGTCCTTTATATAAAGAAAACAATGACCGAGCTCAGTGGCTCCCGGCTATTAATCCCAGCTATTCGGGAGGCGGAGATCGGGATGATCGCGGTTAGAGGCCAATCCAGGCAAAAAGTTAGCGAGATACCCATCTCAACAAGTAAGCCGGGCATGGTGATGCATGCTGTAACGCCAGCCACACACTCCGAGGCAAAAAAGAGCTGGGAGCATGGCTCAAGTGGTAGAGAACCTGCCTAGAAATCACAGGCCCTAAGTTCAAACCCCAGCTCCGACACTCCCCCACCCCCCGCCAAAAAAAAAAAAAAAAAAGGGAAAAAAGCACAGGAGACTGAATATGGAGATGGATCACACAGCTAATGAAATGAAGATGTGGACATACAGAAAATGAAGAAGAAAAGGAATGAACCTGGCGGTGATTCATACAAAATTACTTTATTTGAACTCATTTATTCCAAACAGAACAGCAATAGAAAGTCTTCTGTGCCCCAGACAGTAAGGATACAATATGGAGGTACGCAAACAGAATCTTTTGTTTTCACAATATATATTACACAGGAAGACACTGATCGCACAAAACTGAGAAAAATACCCTAATATGGGAAGTGCAGTGTTTAGAACGGAGCAGGAGTACTTAAGTAAAAGGCCAGAAGGAGCTAGGAACAATTTCCTTGGAGGAAGAAACATTTAAAGTGAAACCTAAAAGCTGAATAGATTTAAGCCAGACAAAGAGGAGAGGTAAAGTTTTCCAGGTAGAAGGGCCTGATAAATATAATAGGCAGGTAAAGTGCAAGAGATGAAAGATTAGTTGGTCCTAGGAGTGCTGGTCAGGTAGATACTGAAAGATTAGACCACACGTGGGATGTAATAGTGGAAGAGATGGAGTCAAAATATTTTGGAAGCCATTTGGGGAATCCAGTTGAGAAAAAGAAGTGATGATGCCCTGTTAACTTCATATTGCATTTTGGTTAGCTAGAGTTAAGAAAATGAAAGGGCTGTGGACATAGCTCAGTGATACAGCGTATGTGTTTTACATGTGCAAGACCCTGGGTTTGATCCCCAGCTTGGCAAAATAATAATAATAATAATTTTCTGTGCATTAGAAATTAAAGAATTGAAGCTATAAGGGACCATGGCAACTTCCCAAGTAGTCACAAAAGTTTTGAGTAGGACATCAGACTGTTGAGGGGTGAGTAGAGACAGAAGATAAAGGAAAGAAAACATGGCTAACAGTTAACATGAAGTGCTTGAAGAGGGCTTTAAAAAGGTATAGGAATAGCTAATGTGTTCTTTATGTTTTATGATGTAAGTAAACTCCCCTTCACCCTTTCCCAAATCTTCAGTAAAGTCTTCTACAGACACAGACCTTGGTGTGAATTGTGGATTTTGATTTTGTTTTTATGTCGTATGTGTGAAAATAGAGGGAAGGAGCTGAGTTTTGTATAGATTGCTAAGATAGATAAAAAATAGCCATACCATTCAGAATGGATATATAGCTTTCTGTAGTGGCAGGAAGTTGAAGCTAGAAAAGACCATGAAATGGCAACTCTCCAGGTAGTCACAAAAATTTTGCCTAAGACACAGACTCTTCCACGGGGGAAAATAAATCAAATTAATACTGTGTATATATAAACATTTTTTCTGCTGAGGCTCAAACCTCAGGCCTCACATATACTAGGCAAGCAGTCTACCTCTGACCTATACCTTCAGCCTCTGTGTATATTTTTAAAGGGCTCAGACATACCAGCAGCTAGTAAGATGATAGCTTGGAAAATAGGGTCCTACTTAAAAGTCTTTAAAGTAATCTGATTAAACACGGTGAATTGAACTCCCTTGAAATACCACTAAATTAACAGAATCTGAAATTTTAATAGGAAAGGAGGTGAGATCAAATTTTGGAAGATGTATAAATGATTAGGCAAAGCCAAGTAAGCTGAAATCCAAGCCTATAGAGGAGGAAGCCAATGAGACACTTATTCCTATTAGAGTCCAGATAGTCTCAGGAATTTCAAGGGCAACGCAGGGCTGAGAACTGGAAGACTGCTTAGCTGTCTGAAACAATTAGATCCCGTATCTCCTCTCCTACTTAGTGGAGGAACAGTAGTTTACAAGGTGAACTCCAGAGGATCTAGACTCTGTACCTGGTGGTACAGAGTCTAGTAGCAATGAGAGATCATACTGAGACTGGGGTGGGCTGGGACAGGTATGTACAAAACCTTTTGTTTGGTCCCCAGAACAGTGGAGCTAGTCATCCTCTGGGCATCACATTTAATCAGAAAATCCTGGAGGGCTGAATTGGAAAAGCTAATTTACCTGATCACCTACACTGAAACCTAGTTAATAAGCCCTGTAGTTCATGCTGAGCTTCCACTCAATATCAGCAAGTTTTTTGGGAGGTGGTACTGGAGTTTTGAACTCAAGCCTAGGCAGGCGCTGTACTACTTGAGCCATTCCTCCAGTACCACCACTTTTTAGCCTCAGCTCTAAAAAAGACAAAACAGCACCAAACATACTGTGTATAACACTCAAGACTATGATCTGTTTGTTCCAAATACCAAGTAGGATTCCTGTTGGTTCTAAAATTTGGGGAACTCAACTCTTGCCTTTGCCAGTATCTCAAAAAGCTTCCTACTGATGCTGTTGCTCCTCAAGCTGTTTTCTGCCTGAGTCTTTTTCTTTGAACAGTTTATTCAATAAACCATTGAGCCCTTATTGGGGCATAATGCCCAGGTATGCCCTTACCTTTAAGGAGTCTAGCAAGGAAAAAAGAATCAAATAATTTCAACACATAAAGTGTATGTATGGAGAATTGCAACTGCCATTTAGCTCAGCCTGCGATGGGTTAAGGGAAAGGCTAGTACAACTTCAAAAGTTGTCTTTAGTCAAAGAAAAAGAGAGTGGGGACTGGAGAAGGGATTTCAGGAAGAGTATGGTTATACAAACAGTGGTAATCCAAAGCAGCTTAGTGTTACTTAAACCTGAAGTGTGAGAATGATAGGAGAAGGGCTGAATTTACCTTTTATGATGGAACTCTTTTATGATGGAACTCTTAAATACTTTAAACCAGGGTAACAGTTTTTTTGTTTGTTTGTTTTTTGGTAGGACTGAAGTTTTGAACTCAGGGTTTGAGCTTAAGACCTACCACTTGAGCCACACTTCCAGCCCATTTTGCTCTGGTAATTTTGGAGATGGGCGGGGCGGGGGGGGGTCTCATGAACTATTTGCCCAGACTGGCCTTGAACCAAGATCCTCCTGATCTCAGCCTCCCAAGTAGTTAGGATTACAGATGTAAGCCACCAGCGCCCAGCTTCTAATGGGAGTTCTATATCAATTACTAAGAAGGATAAATTTGAGGCAAGGAGTGGTTAGGCTTTTGAAGATAAGCACATGAGTTTCTGCTGTGGTAGTAAAAGTGGAAAGGACGAATTTCAAAAATAAGGCACAGTCAGCAGGATTTGGTGGCAGACTGTACAGGGGGGCAAGAGGGGAGGTTTAATTTCAGAGTTTCTTGTTTGGTTGCCTGGGTATCAGTTTATGAGTATGCTGTGAGAGGGATTATCAACAGAAAACGGGCAAAAGAAGAGTTATAGCTTTAGGCATCTTGACTTTTGAAGTACCTTAGGGATATCTAGTTATCCTGCAGCAAGTGGATGTAGGAGTCTGAAATTCATTAAGAGATCAAGGCCTAGAGAGATCTAGGGGAGTCAGTATACAGATTCAAGGCAAAATGGAAAAGGAGAATTGTAAGTAAAATGTGGTGAGATACCTCATCTGAGAAAGGCAGCGAATTTGTAGTCAGAGTTCAGAACTCTCGTTTTGTTTTGTTTTGATACACGGTCACTATGTAGCCCAGGCTGGTCAGGAATTCATGAACTTCCAGCCTGTACCTTCCAAGTGCTTGGATTACAGGAGGGAGCCATTATACCTGGCTCTAGAGTTCCAAACTTTGAAACTGTAGGGGAAACAAGTTATTAAAGATGTTCTAGCTTGATGACCTTCACATTACAAAGGAAGTAAGAGTTGAGGCTGCTAAGACAGTGGTATTTACAGTGATGAAGCTTTGGAACAGAAACTAAAGGGATTGAGAAAGTGGGAGGGCAGGAAGTACAATACAAGGACTTCAAAATGTTGGGGGCCTAAGGTTAGAGCCAATGAAATTGTACTGATGTGTCATCGTCCTGGGGAAGGGAATGGGGCTAGGCATCAGTCTATTTGTGGAATTGGTTAGTAATACTTATATTGTCAATTACTATTTTGGATATTCCTCTAGAAAGAATATCCTTATTGAGTAAATAGTTCTGGACAGAAGAAGGAAAGCTCAGCTATGACTAGCTAAGATTGTTATAAAATTAAAGAGAGCTTTCCATCCTAGTTGTAAACCTGGTCATCAAAATTTGAAAAACATGGCTTGGGGGTATGGCTCAAGTGGAAGAGCACCTGCCCAGCAAGTGTGAGGTCCCGAGTTCAAACTTCCGTCTCACACACAAACAGACACACACATGCACACACACCCAGGTGGTGCAGCAAAGGGCTGAGAACCAGTGAGTTAGGGAGAATGAAAAATTGGTGATTAAACATG